TACTTTTGCATCATCATCACGAAAGCACATACTTTGCTGAAGGGGCGTTGCTGGAACGGAGGATATGTACTGTACTGGGCGTAGGATATATATTGACGAGCTGTTGGAGTACACCGGAGTTAGCGCCAAAGCGTGACAAAACACATTGAAGACCCGGGCCACACTGAAAGCAGCGAATGTGGTAGCATCAGCACAAAGTCTCCGTCTCCCGTTTTGTGGGCCTCCGCTGGTCATCAGCTGGTTTGCGAATCCGATCCGATCCGAACCGAAGCCCCAGAGCCGAGAGCCCGCCGAACTCCAACCCGCTCCGGCTTCGGCTGCGTTTGCTTTTTGTTTTTTTTCTGTATTGTATTTTATTTTGTTTCAAACATTTCGCCAGCGAGTTTTCATATGTGGAGCCCCTCACCAGCAACATGTTGCTAGGGCCGTTTCCGGCCTGTCAGCCAGCCACAAATGTTGCCAAGAACGGGGCCTGTTATGTTAATAACCAGCAAACAAAGTAACTAAATAAAAAAAGTAAATAAAAAAGTAAATAAAATATACAAAAATACCTTGCCGTGATTTATGAGTCATTTAACTATATTATTGTTAAGATTTAATAAGCCGTGTAAATGCCAGCTTCCTTTTTTGCAATTCTCAGACTGGTTCTTATCAATTTATTCTACGGAATAGCTTACTTTTCAAGACCATAAATCATTGGTTTATAAAAATGTGTACCAAATAATTGCTAAATCAATTAAAATATATTATAAACCAAATTAGAAAATTATATATTGCTTAATTTATTATACAAAGTTAATTGTTTTTAATTAATAAAACAACTTTTGGAATAATGGAATATTTTCTTCAGTTTAAACAATAATTAGTTACCCTAGAAATATTTTAAAAATTGAATAAATATTTTCTTGACTGAGAATATATTTATTTCTTTTCCTTTATTTCCTCATAAATAAAAATATTCACAAAATAATTACTAAATCAATTAAAATATATTATAAACAATTTAAAAAAAATTTCCTTTATTTTTCCATTACTTGGCAAAAATATTAAAACCCTTATCAGAATTTTTTCTTCACTTTAAAAATTTATTAGTTACCCTAGAAATATTTAATAAATTTAATTAATATATTATTTCACTACCTAGAATTTGTTCACCACATTTTCTCATTAAAAAACATACATTTTAGTACCCATATTGACTCTGATTTTATGCAAGCTTGCTGTGTAAATATTTCATGATTAATAAGTAATTGATCAATGCCTAAATTCAATTTAGTAACATTTCATAAATTAGGTAATGCTAATTCCAAACAGCACCGCCGCCAGATGTGCCCGATAAACATGCAAGGCTAATGCTTTTATTATTGATTGTTGTTGGATTAATTCAATTATATAAATGTATTCCGCTGACTAATTAGTATATATAATTATAATACAAAAATAATTTCTTTAATAGGCATTAATATAATTATCATTAATTTTTACACCGGTATTATGGGTTTTGTGAGGTTTTGATTCAGTTTTGTTATAAATAAAAGGGAATTTGGGTTCCCAAATAATTGTTTTTATATTTACAAAATTAATTTAGTTACAAAAATAAATGTGTTCTTTAAGTTTGATATGTTTTTAGTGATTTTATTTTGTAAAAACCCTTTTAAAATACAATTTGGAACCCCTTGACCCTGACCCCTCTTAGTAAATCATTCACTGATTACACTTTTCTCCCGAAAAACCTTTGTAAAAATATATTTCCCTTAAGGGTATTGGAATTAAGAACCTCGTAAAATTTCAGTATCATTTGGGGCCCGACCTATAGGCCTAAACATGGTCATCCCTGACCCCTTTCAGTAAATCGTTCAAACTGTGATAACACTCACACACACAGAGAGCTCCAACTACACCGCAACTGAGTCACATTACACAGAGCGATTACGTGAGCGACATTGAAATCGGATATATCTGAGTCGAGTTGAGCTCTTTACGCATGAGCTGAAGGCTGGCGCATATTTTAATTTCTTTCATTAAACACTTGGCGGCAGCCCCCACACTCACAGCTCACAGACACCGAAGTTGTTGTCCCCATCAATTTGATTGGATGTCAGCCGAGTTTGATTTTATTGACTGGCCAAGTTAATGAGACCCCCGGTTTAATTATATTATCGGTGGTCGCCTTATGTTAATGCAAAATACTTGTGTGTTTTTTTTTTTGCATTTATTTAATTTAATACATCATTTTATATGGAGTTTTGTTCCGATTGTTTCCTCATTAAGACATTATAATTATGCTAAGTAATTCTCGGGGGATTTTGGCCAGATAGTTCAGGTCAATTAAATTGTAAATGCAATTAAAAAGCCATATCAATCAGCTCGCCTATCGATTAGCATACACAAGTTTTTCCCATTATGTGTGTGCCTGGGCTGTGTGTCTTTAAGTTCGAATAGTAAATCAACAGAAATGTCTGTTAAGATCACTTTGGTCTGACAAGTTGCCTTTAGTATGGTATGTGCACAGGGGGAAATATAACCTGGATTTAATATTAATTACAAAACTAGATGAAAATTAAGTTTTCTAGAAATATTTAAACCAAAAAGAGTTCTTCAAGAGCTTTCTTTTATCTTTTTCCTATTAAAATCTACTCTTTAATACAATAATTTATTTTTATTTTTAAAATGTACATCTTTGACACCTTAAAAATATATATAAATATTATTTTCTGTGTCTACGATTTGCTATGCGAGACAGTGTGGGGCAGGCTGGGCGGTTTGGGCGGCTTTGTGGAACTGTCTTTGGCCTGCGAGCCGATCATTGCTGGGCAAAACAGGTCTTTCAAAAGATTATTATCGCTTTTATGGTGTTTTTATCGTTTTTACAGCATTTTTTTATGTCTTTATGATTGATCTGATGAAGTTTTCAGCTTTTTTGTTCGCTATTTATTCGGGACTAAACTGCTGCTGGTTTTATTTTGAGAGTGAGAGTGTGGGAGAATATTTATTTCTTATTTTTTTTTATATATTTTTTTAATCTGATGTGATAATATTTTAATTTTGATAAATTGCGTCTGAAAGTGAGCGGCTAATATATGGTAATTTTCTGGGATTGGATTGGATAAACTCGGAAACTGGGTTAGGAAACGTTATCGCCCATGGCCCAGCCCAACTCCACCCAGTTCTTTCTGGTTTCTGGACACTCGCAACTTCGTATTAATCTGTCAACGGCTATCGACATTCAATCTGGCTACCCGGTTACCCTGTGCTCCATATGCAGTACCAGATGAATTAAACATGAGCCAAACCGACACTGATTCACATTGTTCTCTCTCTCTCTCTCTGTTTTCCCTCCACCTGTCATAATTCATAACCCGGCGAGCACATCTAACGAATGCCACCAAGATGTCGGCCTACGAATAAACGAGGGTATGCAAATATAGCAACGCTGAAATATTGATATTGAACGCCTGGCTGACTGTCGGTAGATAAAGGCTGCAGAGTGAGAAAATATATGTGGGAAGTGAGGAGATTTCAAAACCTGAATCAATATAAAGAATTTTAAAACAAAATTGCAAAGTTCTTCAGACTCAAAAACAACAACAAAAAAAATTTATTTAATTTTTTAAGCATCAAAAAAAAGGTTGGATAAATGGTATTATCCTTTTGTTTTTTTCCACCCAAGTTTTTTTTTAATAAATTGATGTGTGCTTTTTTAGATTTAAAACAAGATAAGTTTTTTAATTATTTGAAAAATTAATAATTAATTATTAATTAATAATAATAATAATTATTCAACTTTCTAATTATTTGGCCATTATTTTAATACATTGCATTATTTAAGGCGCTCAATTAAGGTATTTGAAAACTCCTCTCAAATTTGTTTTATTTTTTTAAAAATTTTCAGACCCTTTTCAAATCGTTTTCCATACATATTATTTAGTTTCTGTATAAAAATATATAAAATAAAAATATAATAAAGAAAAGATAGACATCAGAAAACATATATTCACCTTCTTTATCAATTTTAATAATATGTAAAGTTAAAAATTCTAATTTCTCCCCATGTATACATATGCCAGAACGCAGAAAACCCAGCAACCGATACGATACCGGGGGTAATTGGCCGCAAAAAGTCACAGCCAATAACCCAACTCAATGCCTTTGGAACAAGCAATAGAGCAGATCGGTTGGAATGAGTGCCCGTTGGTTCATTTATCTTTATTAGGAATGGCAATTGGAACTACAGCAGATAACAGACAATAGACTCAGGCAGAAGGAGCCGCAATCCGCACCTACAGATTGCCGGAGACCCGATACGCTCATTTAAGTTAGTTATTTATGTAAAACAACACACACAAAACAAGTGCAATAATTTATGATAAATTGCCATTTAATCAGAAATCTGAAGAATGAAATTTAATCAATGCCAATGCCAGCCAATAAGCAATTTCTTATATTTTTTTAATTAACAATATGCTAATAATCCCAGCTCCCTTTTTCAGGTTCAGGTTCAGGTTCAAAAACCACTGGAACTAATTCAGCAAAAGAAGGAATTATTATCGGGTGTTTGCCAATAATCCCAAAAAAAAAAAAAATAAAATAATAATAATAAAAAACCTGTCAAGAGTGTGTTGTGCGGGTTGCATATCGGATATGATTGAACGTATAATTAATGGCCGGGGATTAGCGACAAGTACAAGCCACACATACTGGATGCTGTACCGCCTCAGGCAGCAAATTAATCAGCACACGGCATCAGCATCGGCGTGGGCGTGGGCGTCTAGATGGAGAGAGATACACACGGAATAGAGCTGGTTCTGAAAGGAGTTTGTCATGGAGCCACTCAATGATGGAATCCATCAATAGAAAAAGCATAAAGAGCAACATCCCTGCCAGCTGTGCTACTAAATATATTTCTTAATAATTCCATAACCTGTTCAGAGGTTCATTGGGGTCCATAACATATGCAAAAGTAAACATCAGCTTCGGGCAAATGATCTCCAAAAATTATTCCGTCTAAATTAAGCACTCGTCGAAAATTCATTCAAAAAAACACTTGTTTAATATACATTCTCATAAAAGCATAACAAAGACAAAAAACAAAAACTAAAAGGAAAATGCTTTCCCAAAACAGGAATATAAAAACAGCGACACACGATTAACACGACACAAATATAGAGAAAACCGAAAAAAACAAAGACAAAAATAGTGATTTGTTTGCAAAAATTGTACAACTATGATAATGGCAATCCCGAACATCCATGTAACATCTAATCCTGCTGCGACGCCGCTGCTGCTGCCGCTGCTGCCGTCTCTTCCAGATTGCAAAAGACATTGCGCATCTTGTCCAGGTCAGGTGGCGCTGTATCCGGATTCCGTATCCACATAATGTACGCCTGCTTATCGGTTCGTGTCAGTGGCTTAAAGTTGCGCGGATTCTGGGCCTCCTCGTCCTGCAACTTGGAATTGTACCGGGCGTAGAGGAAGATGCGATATCGCCAGTTATCAAAGGTCTGCTTCCACTCGGTCACATGCTTGACGGCGCCCTGGGGCACAGCGTTTAGTAGGTTCGCCAGTTTCAGCCAGTAAGGATCCAGCACGGGGTCGTTGCGGCGATGGTCGTTGATGAACTGATGCTGCTGCAGGAAGTGCACATACAGCTCCTTCTGCCGCTTGGACATGCGCTCCTTTCGTTCTGTAAGTGAGAGATATTATTATTCATTCATTCATTTATTTATTCAATAAACAAAAGCACACACACAAAATGTAAATTCCAGCCAAGGCAAATATTCAAATTAAGGCTTAAATTAATGCTGATATTATGCATTTCATGAAATTGGAATGCTATTAATTAGTTTAAATCAAAATATCGATCTTCTGGTATGCTTTTATTGTATTTTTTATGTATTTTAGGCCTCTAAATCGAAGCCTAAGTCTGGTTTTTGTTGATACAAACTTTGTGTGTTGTGTTTTTGTGCCAAAATTTAAGGCAAACATATATTAATATCAAGAATCGAAAGTCTTTTCAAGTGTTAATTTTATATATTTCCTTTTCCCAAGCCCCCAAATTGGGTTATTAAATCTTGAATGACCCATGTAGGACCTGCTCTTCATCACTTACGTCGTATATTGTTGGTGGTAGTGGTGCCCATGGCCATGTTGACTCCCTGCTGCTGCTGATGATGATGCTGCTGCTGATGCTGCTGCTGCTGCTGATGCTGCTGTTCCTGCTCCTGCTGGTGCAGGAGGGCCAAGTGCTGTTGCTGCTGCAAATGCTGATGCTGCTGCTGCTGCTGAATCATGTACTCATGCTGGATGCGCTCTTGCAGGAGCTGCTGCTGCTCCTCCTGCTGCTGCTGATGCAAATGCTGGTGGTGATGGGAGGTGGGCGGCGGTGGCAAAGGCAGAGCCGCAGTTAAAGCCAAAGGCGGTGGGGGTAAAGGTTGCGAGTGCGGCGAATCTGGCAGCTCGTCCTGCGTATCATAGTCCATCTTGGGCGAGCAGGCCTCGTAGGCGGGCATGCCCAGCTCCGCAGAGGCAGCACCGCTGCTGGCCTTGTCAATCCGATACTTGATGCTCTCCTCGTGCTCGTGATCGTGGTCGACCATGTGATCATGCTCCTCGTCGTCGCAGGGCGGCAGAGTCATGAGAGGAGTAGTTGCAGCAGCCGCCGAAGCCACATCCAAGGCACTGCTGGGCTGGCACAGATTGGTGGGCTCCTCAGGCGTGGGCGAATCGTTGAGCATTTTCTGATCCGAGCAACGGCACTGCCGGTTCAGCACATAGTTGTCATCGTACACTGCAAGAAAAGAGGCAACAGAGTCTAGTTAAAGGAACTTGTGGTCATCAAATCTTAGGTTCAAAGCATAATAAAACATAAAACAAGCATTTCCGTTCGCTTAAACATATTGTATTTGTCGCTTAGCACTAGATAAAGTACACATAACAGTTTCATCAGTAGTCGTAGCTGTTGGTGGCCGTGGTGGTCTCGTCCATCGGCACAAACATGTCCATCTTCTCATAGTCCGGCGGTGCTATGTGCTTGTGGCTGGTCCACATGGCGTACGCCTTTTGGTCAGTTGCCGTCAATGGCTTAAAGTTCTTCGGATCGCTCGTCTCCGACATGCTAAGCTTGGAGTTGTACCGCGTGTACATGAAAATGCGATAGCGCCAGGCATCGAAGGTCTGCTTCCAGTCCTCCACATTCTTGACGGCACCCTGTGGCACGCTATTCAGCCGGTGGGCCAGCTGGGCCCACAGTGGCTCGGTGAGGCCATCGTGGCGTCGATGGTTTGAGAGCATGCATGGATTATCCTCGAAGAACTTCACATACAGCTCCTTCTGGTCCTTGGACATGCGCTCGCCGCGTTCTTGAATTAGAAGATTAGCATTAGCTAAGGGATGCGGCACATTACCACCTAATCTCACTTCGGAAGCGACTCATCAGACCCGGCGTATACGGCGACTGCTGCTGGGAAGGATTTGGTGCATTCATCGGCGGCAAGGTGTGCGTGTAGCTGGGGAAGATCTGTTGTCCCGTCAGCAACTGCTGCTGCTGCTGCTGTTGGTGCTGCGGCGGCTGTGGCTGCTGTTGCTGCTGCTGTTGTGCCTGATGCTGCTGCTGTTCCTGTCGGGCCAAAAAACGCGACGCCCGCTGCAGTCGCTCCACCTCCGACTCGGCTTCTGCCTTGGGTATAATGTCCATGGGATCAATGGACTGTGTCAGCGACTCGGGCGTACGTTCGGCATAGTTCTGGCTGAGGCGCAACTTTGGGCCACCGTCTGCTCCGGGCTCAGTGCCCGAATTGTTACCCTGTTGCGGCTCCAGCAGATCATTGTCCACGCTCTCGTTGCTCAGCACCACGGCCGGTGAATTGGGCTGCGAACTGGACACATACTCGTGGGCATGGTGGGAGGCACTCTCGTTGGAGCGCTGCGGCAGTGGCACATGCAGCTGGTGCTGGTGCGTATGGGGATGGGGATGGGGATGGTGGGCCGCCGGATGCTGGTGCGACGGATGCGGTTGATGGTGCTGCTTGAGGGCCGCCGCCATCGAGCAGGAGGGCTCGTAGGAGAGCAGCTCCTTGGCATGGCCATCGTCCAGAGCTGCAATAGGAAGCACATTACAATTTGGGTTTTATTACAGATGGCAATCTGCAGAGACTTACAAGCGAAGCGCCCGCCGCGTCTACATAAACACAACAACATTGAGAGAGAGAGAGAATGAGAGAGATCTACGGGGAGACACGGATCTACAAAGATCTACAAAGTTGGGGGCTCCGTTTCGTGGGATACCCAAGAGTCACTCGGCTCGCTTAAACGCTAGTTGGAATCGCGGGCTTAGTCTACTGGCCTAAATCTAAGCTTACTCGCTATTTACCTTGGCTGATCTCTATAACGAAGTTGGTGAGGTCGTGTCGCTGGGCCAGGTAATGAAGCAGCAACTCGTCGGGTATGTTGAAGCCGATCTTTTTGTTTCTAAACTCAAAATTGTAGATGCCAAAGGCGGCGCGCACTGTGTGTGGAGGGGGATTAATGCATTAGTTAGTCCTGGCAATCATCCTGGGATTTCCCACTCCCACAGCAGCGCACCCACACCACCCACATCGCTTACCCACGTTCTTCAGGTCCCAGATGTTGAGGTTGCGGTTCTCCTCCGGCACGCCTATCATCAGCAGCTTTTTCGTGTCACGAAACTGAAAAGGAATTATGATACCCGATCGCAGCACCATTTTTCAATGCGCCCGCACGCGATTTACCAAAAATTTTCACAGATTTTCCACGTCCGCTTTGTGGCTATCGTCCGTAATTGTTTTGGTCTTTCTCTGCCCTCTCGTTCGTAAACAGCGAACTAGTTCGATAGCTAGGTATGCCTTCTTCTTATATATCGATACAATATCGATACAGCAGCTGAACAGTGTTGCCAGATTATGATCACGATGAGTGATTAAAACATCGACATACCTACCGTAATGCTACTTCCATCCCTATTAAATAGTAAAAGAAAAATTAAGTAATAAACAAATCACATTTCAGTGATTCATCAAGTAGAACCGATTTGCAATGCTGGAAAACTGCCAGAGGCACCACATGCTCATTGGGCTTGGAGCCCTGACTATTGTTACCATTCTAGTCCTGATAGTGGAGTCGCGTTATGCAGCTGAAGGACCCCGTCGCACAAGGGAGCAGCAGTTCGTCATTGAAAACAACTCGACCTGCTGGCGGACCGAGAAGTACACCGTGGTGCAGGAGTGCCATCCTTGCAGTGACTTCGACATAGTTAGCCGGAGCCTGGGCGTCTGCATTCATACCCACTACAAGGAGGTTCTCCGCTGTCAGAGCGGGGAGATTGTGACCAAAAGCTGTGACCGTGTGGCGCTCATCGAGCAGCGTAACTTTGTCAAGTTCGAGGCCCTTTGCCTTGTGGTCGGAGTGCTGGGCTACTTGGTTAGCTATGCCCGGGACCGTGTCCTGTCTAGGCGGAATTACATGCGGATAGAGAGGCAGCTGAATCGGGTGCAATAATACTGCTTAAAAACCACCCAACCCTGTGATACTCATTGCTGTACGGGAGGTACATTACATTATTTTATTAAATTTAAGTACATACACTTGAAATACCTTTGTTAAAATTCATTTGCTAATACTAAAGGGTAACTGATATTGCATATTCTGCATTGGAATGCTCGTTGTTGTTGTTGTTGGTGGTGGTGGGGGAGAGGGGTCAACATAATTCGGTGCTATTAATATGCATAACATTTTGATTCGATTATAACAAGCGTTCCCGTTTCCAAACTCACAAATCCTTAAATTGCATCAGCCTCAGAAGTAGTCCTTTCCAAGGCCTAAATATATAATTGGTGATAAAACTTGGCACCAAATTTGTTTGGAAACGGGAACATGACATAAAGATTCAGCTGCCTGGAATGGTTATCTATTCTCCTACATTTTCGCCTTAGTTACGCCAGTCAGGAATCAGATCCGGCTCGGCTCCTTTGGCGGCTGTGGCAGTGGGCAGTGGCATGGCGGGCGGTGCTGCTGCGGGCAAGGCTGGTGGCGATATCTGCGCGTCCAATGTCTCCTCGCTGGTGGTGCTCGCATTGCTGCAGGCCTTCAGCGAGTTGTCCGTCATGGGCAGCGGCTTGGCCACTCCGATGCGCACCACTCCCTTGGGAGCGCCCTTCAAGGCCTGCACGGCCTGGTCCAGCGAGGCGTTCTCCAAATTAATAGAATTGACAAACAGCAGTCGGTCTCCTGGAATCAGGCGTCCATCCAATTGAGCCACCCCACCGGGCACCAAAGAACGGATGACGATCAGCGTATCGTTCGGATCCAGCGGATCCTGATAGTCCAGTATGGAAAAGCCCAGACCGCGATCACCTTTTACCAATTCAATGATTTGTGGTTGGGAGGACCACATGGCCAATCCAGTCAGCGGCTCCAATGACCTTGACTTGAGCTTGTTGAATGAAGCGGCAGCAGCGGCCACTGAATCACCATCGGCCACGGATCCAGCAGTGGCCAGACTACCATCCGACTTCGCCTTCACCAGACGATCGGTGGCGGGCAGCAGGTTCTCAAAGTTGTTGCTCAGCTTTTTCAGAGTGTCATCGGAGAAGGGTAGCAGCGAGGTGCTGTTTCTGTTACGTCCGCACACCATGCGCACGTCCAGCGGCAGCTCCTTGAGAATGGCCACCACCTCGAGATGGTTCATGCCCAGCAGACGTTCGCCATTGACCTCCAGCAGCTCGTCGCCAGAGCGGAGCACACCATTAACGCCCACGGGACCGTCGGGCAAAATGGAACGAATGTAGTGATGGGGCCTCACCTCACGTCCACCCTCCACGTCCACGGTGCCCTCCAAGGAGATGCCTAGACCGCCCACGGCAAACTTTTTGATCTGTGCCACAATAACCTCCACATCAGAGCCGACGATCTTCTGCCACTTGCGGATGATCTCCGTCTCCATGTCGTCGGTGAGCTCCGGATCAGTGTAGTACTTGTGACGCGTAATCACACCAGTGTTCTTGGCCTATGGAAAGATGGAAACCATTATATATTTGGCCTTTTCAAGCACTTCCAAATAAGGATTTACCTCGGTTTTATCTGCCAGGGAGACCACCTCCGTGGGTATGATCTTGGTGGAGCCATCGAGTGAGTCCCTTACCGCCACCAGCTGCTTGCCAGCACCGAAAGTGCCTAGCGTTGTCGTGGTGGTCAAGGTGGTAGCCGAGGAGGGCGGTGTGGCCATGAAGGCCTCGGGCGCTGGCAATGCCGCCGCCTCCTCCTCCAGCTCTCTGGTTAAACTGCGTGAAGGTGTTGTCGTTGCCGAAGTCGTGGTGTTTACTGGCGTTGGCAGTGGTGCCCTTGAAGGCGTTCCAGGAGCACTTGATGACGGCTTATCGTTGGCAGCAATGGCCTGCTGCAGCTGCTCGAACTTGGGACCACGCAGATAACGCTCCAAGCGGAGATTCACCACCTGGCCGGATTTCTTGAGCAGTTCGACGGCCTGGTGATTAGAGTATCCCTGCAGCGACTGTCCGTCCACCTCGATGATGCGATCATTGACCCGAATGCGTCCACTTAAATCCGCCGCTGAACCAGGTGAAACGCTTTTGACAAAAATGCCCGACAGCTCCTCCTTTTCGCACACATAGCCCGCAATGGTGATGCCCAACCCGTTGGCATCCTTCTTCAGCTCCACTTGGAGCTTTTCCGTCTCCGGTAGGGCCAGCAGCTCCTCGAGATCAATGCTGGGATCAATCAGCATAGAAGTCTCACCGCGATACACGAATCGATCATCTTCCGTAGTCGTCTGGGGCGTTGAAGCTGTCGAGCTCTCGCCAAATATCTCTGGATAACCGGTGGAGATGAGGTATCGCTCCAGCTCGGCGGGATCGACGAGAACGCGAGTGGGCACCACAGCAGTGCCGGGTTCAAGGCTATACTGAGGCGTGGGAACACTCTGTTCGACGGGACGGGCAACCACCAGGCGGACATGCGTTCCGGACTGCCGCAAAACGGCGGCCACCTGCTCGGAGACCATCTCGTGTAGATTGACTTCTCCTATCTGCAGGATATGATCGCCCGAGCGCAAGCGTCCATCACGATCGGCCACGCCACCCGGCAGGATGGTTTTCACAATCACTCCGGAGTTACGGGCCCCGATGATACCGAATCCCAGGCCCGTGCCGTCGTTAACCAGCTCTATGGCCTGGATCTGGGCATAGTCCGTGGCATACAGATCCGCTCCGGCGGCTCCCTTCGAGTTCTGGCTTTGGGGACGCGGCTCCTCGCCGGCACCGCCCGACTTGTCCGGACTGCCGGGCGCCGAATGAGAATGCGAGGAGGATCGCTGCTCGTCGTAGTCGTACATCACCTCGCCGCCATTCAGGCTGAGCACAAGGTTGCCTGCCACATCGATGTCAAAGTCGTTGGGCAGCATGGACGGGTGCTGGCCCAGCTGGGCATTCAGCTCGGACAAGGAGTCCTGCACATGGACGATGGTGCGGAAGACTGGGTCTTGCAGGATGCCCAAAATCGTGCTGAGGCTCTCCGCCGTCTGCATCTGCAATTTGGGGTCATCGGACTCATCGATGCCCTTCTTTACAGCCTCGATCTGCTGCAGGGCACTGGATATGTCCGCGCTGAGGTGCATCTTGCAGGTGCCACCTTATGGGCGCGGTCTGCGTGCGTCCAGTGGAGCGTGATCCGCCTCTTTGTTCCACTTCCGCTTGCTTTTGCCACTTGGATGGGGGCGTCGTCGTCGTGTGGCGTTGGCACACTTTGTCGTGTAATCGGCTTTGGGCTTAAAGTGGAGCAGCTCGGAACCAGTTACTGTGTCCTGATTATCTCGCGTGGTCTCCACGAGCGCTTAGTCTCCTTTCGATGGCTACTTTCTGAGCTGCGCCGTTTGTAATTGATTTTTAATTAACCTGCTCAGCATAGAGATGGGAGTGACGACAATCGATATAACGATAAGTCGAACGTGATACAAACATCGATACAACAAAATTATCGTCGCCAAATGTGAATATTGATTCCCAATCATTTATTTTCATTATACGCATAATTTAAAGTGTGCTTATGGCACACACACAGTCACTTAACACTTGGCTATGTTGCGTTCCTCCTCCTCCTCCAGCTCGAGCTCCAGTTTGCGGAAGCTGCGGAAGAAATCCCGAGCCATGTGTTTCATCTGCGGTGTCAAGTATTTGGGAAAAATATCTGTCAAAAAGTACCGTTATAAAATCTATACAGAAAAGGCAGGGAACACGTAAAGAACCTACAATTAAATTCAATGATGAGATCCCCGAACTGCTCAATTTTCTTGTTGGCCTCCTTGATGGCCGTCACCGCGTCCATGTTGCGGCACTTGGGCAGCCCCTCAAGAGGAATCACCTTGGTGTAACCCGGCTGCACAACGTCCGAGATGACGACCTTCAACTGCCGCTTGTCCAGCGTGTTGATGAAGAACGTGAAACCTGTGAAGGCCTGGCACAAGTCTATATCGTGGCGATAGGCCAAATCGTGGAGGTTCCTCCGCTCAAACATGTCATGCGGCTTGTCGGCGGCTATGAAGATGATGTCACCCGGAATGGTGGCGGGATAGCGGTCGCCCTCCTCCTTAAAACAGAAGCGAGTTCCGGCTGTGGTTCCCGGTGCAATATTCAGCTTGAGGGTGTGCTTCCGCTTTTCCATCCGCGACTCCTTCGAGTCCACAATTTCCTGGCGCCACACATTCATCAGCTTCACACACCCCGTGCGAACTTCTTCCAGAGACAGTTGTATGATCCGTTCCGTGTTGGCATCCTTGGAACGCACACCTATGCCATGCTGCCGGCTGGCATACAAGCTTGGAGGATTGGCGATGGCATCTATCAGATTGGCGTATGGCGAGTAGCTGGCAAAGACTCGCTCGTAGACCTTCATGTGATCGCCATCGTACTGATACGGCGGAAAGTACCCGTTCGGCAGCATCACCCCTTCAAAGAGACCCGCTTCTCCATACCGATCGTATATGGCTCGGTAGAGATCGTTGCCCAGAACATCGAAGGCCATATTGATGTACGCCCACTGTCTTGGCTCGCCCATGGGCGAGAGGTGGGTGAGCCGACCCTCCTGGGCCAGGGGCACAAAGTCCTGCTCATCCTTTTTGTCGCGATGTGGACAAAGACGAATGGCCAGACGGCGATAGGCCAAGGTCAACTGCTCCTTTGTAGCTCCCCGCGGCTGATCCAACACCGCATAATAATCCAGCTCCGGGCGGTTCATTGTTTCTACTTGGAATGGTATATTATTACGATTACATGTGACAGCGGGTGGCAGCAGCTTACTGAGAATTTAGCGCTGACTTTATTCAAATTATATACAAAAACTCAACTGACGCGGGGATCTGGTTATGGATGAAGTATGCATGTGAACAGTACATTAATATTAGAGCTATGGTGGAGTTGGAACGGGTGGCAGCGATCAGTCAACGTCCTCGGTGCTGACGCCAGTGTAAATGGGCTCCTCCTCCTTGGCCGCCCGTTCCGATTTGGCGTCGTCGGTCTTCTCACCGCCGGCAGCGCCATCTGATTCCTCATCCTCCTCCTCCTGGTCTTCCTTGTCACCAGCCAAATCAGCTGCATTGGGCACCCAGAGGCCAGAGTCAACGCAACGCTTCATGTGCAACTTGGCCACGTCCACAGGCATGGCGGCGATGGTCTTTTGCAGCAGCTCCACATCCCGAGACTCGAAGCAGGCCTTCAGTTCCTGTTAACAAAAAATATGCTTTACATCACGAACATAAAATACCAAGTCAACCTACATCTGGCAGGGATTCAAAGACATCGGCCGGGTCCAGGCCACCGGGTCCGAGACGCTCCTTGCGTTCTTCCTCCTCGGCCTGGGCTATCGCCTCCTGGATCTTTTCCTGCGCCCTTTTCTGGATGCGTCCCTTGAAACCCTCAATTTCGCTCTCAAACTGCGCCCGGTACTCCGGCTGACAGTGCTGGATCTTGGAGAAGAAGGAGCTGACGCAGGCCCGCGGGTCCACGTCCAACTGCTTGGCCAGCTCCAGGATGTACTGCATGCAGATGCACTGATGCGCCACGTGGGCCATAAGCTCATGCTTCTCCTCCATCTCTAGGTTGATCGACCAGATGACCAAATAGTTGGCCGTCTCCTCGCCCACCAGCTGCAGGTGGTCCTGCAGGAAGCGCTTGGAGTCATCGTACTTGCGCAGCATGCCGTACTGCTTGCAGAGCTTCTCGTTCTCCTTGACGAACTGCTTCATGCGCTTCTCGCGCTCCTCCTCAGACAGATTCTCGTCGGGCTTGCGCCCGGCCTTCTTATTGATCACAGTCTTCTCGAAACCGGGTTTGCTAATGGTGTCCACATTCCAGGGCGTCTTCTTTTCCTTTTTCAGCATATCGTTCTCGATGCGATCCAACTCCTTGCCCTCGCTCTCGATCTTCTCTAGCTCCTTCTGCGGGTTAATTAACAAGGAAATTACATTTTGGTCTACATGACAATTGGACAGTGACGCACCTTAAGGGCCTCCTCGTCGCCCTCCTTCTTTGAAATCCGCTCCTTGACGTCCATGAGGCGTGCCTGATAGCTCTGGCGCTTCTTCTTCATCTCGTCCTTCTCCTTATCCATCTCCGCCATGCGCTCCACGCGGGCCTGGTGCCGCCAGCGGAACAGGGAAGGCGTGTCGATGTTCGGGTGTGTGTCGTCCTCATCGTCAGAAATCTGAAATGCGAGATGCGGCGAGTTCACCGGCGATCAGAGCTGCAGATGATACTGCTCCCGCAGGATGCGTGGCCGACCACTCACCTCGATGTTCTTCCACTTGCTATAGTCAACCATTTTGCTGTAAATTTTCCTCGATTTTCCTTTGAATGCCGCAGGTTTTACTCCTTTATACTCTTTTTTTTTTGGATTGCTCTGGAAATTTGGGTGACCGTGTCGCAAGCACGGAAATATACCAGATGCTTACAATGCGCGCGATCTGGCCACACTTGGGTAAATATTTTAATCAAAGTTTTATATGAACCAAGGGAATTATTATTATATTTTATTCAGGCAAACCTTGCAAACAAATTAATATTAAAAAACGAAATTTCAATTTTTACAAGTCGGTGTAAAAATGTCCAACCTATCGGCTGCCCGAAACATCGGCACATCTGACCATCTCTAGCGGCCGACATATTGAAAATTGCTCTTGTACCGTGCGGATCGCGTGAATTCAGTCGCTGCGAGAAAAATACGAATAACTGCTGAAAATCAATAGCATAATTAACAAATTAACTGTGAAGCAATAGAGTTGCCGTCAAAGTGTAAGTTTGCACCAAATTTCCACCCGTAGCCTACTGATAGTTGGGTTCAAAATGCAATTGAAATTTGGTTTGCGTGTGAAGTGAAAATTTTTTCGGGTCAACGCCACACCCTCTCAGGGCGTCGTAAAAATCCAATTAAACATGGAAAGTGCGAGAGCAGAGTCTTGACCATTGCTCAAAAAGCCGAACGGCCAGCGCCGGTGCTCGATTAGTCATCAAAATTAAAGATATTCTGCCGAAAAATCAGGATTCCAATTGCAGTTGAAGAAAAGTATCTGGTACTCCAGTTGTGCATGAGTGTGCGTGTGTTATGCAGGAGTCGGTGTGTGTGTACGTCATCGGGTGTTGGTGGTGCGGCAACTTCAGCAGAGAGAAAGCGCGTTGGTGAGAGCGCTGGCTCTCATTTCTTTCCCTCTCTATGTTTGTGTTCGTGTCTGTGTGTCTGCAGGAGATAAATAAATGTTTGCCTTACATTTGCGCAAACCTGTTTAGGTGGGAAATGTCCTTGACTTTGCTTAAGGCTTGTTTTCGGTCCCTGATCTCAGTGAAGGTGGGGACTTCAATGGGTTAAAATTATTAAATCTATTCAGTTAATTTTGGGGCCTCGATCCATTTCGTGTTCCTCATCATTGCTCATAATTCCAAACCGTTCGCATTACGTCATCCCAAGCTATTTTCTGATAGACACTTCAATTAATGTAGCCTATGCGTGTGTAAGTGAGTCCGTGTATTTTCTCTCGCTCTCTTTTTGAGGGAAGCCTCTCTCGCACTTGCCGTTTTCTGTTGTTGTTTGTTATTTGTTAGCGCGATAAACAGTTAAATTGGCTGTGTTTGTGTGTATTTGGAATTTGTACGGCTGCCAAGCCTTGGTGTGTGTTCTTCTCTCCCTCTCCCCCTCTTGCTCTTTCTTTCTCTCTCGCTTATTTCAATTTCCTGTGGCACAACGCATGAAAAGTGTTTTGAATATATGTGCTGTTTGTTTGTTTGTCTGCATGTTTGACCCACCCCACGCCAAACCCCACCCTCTTCCCAAATGATGTCACTTCCCACGGCCACAGACTTTGCGGTTCGCCGCCTTATTTGATCCCTTTCTCCCTCCGCTTAACACCAACCGCAAATATTAAGTAATCTATATTGAATTCCGGACATTTCTCAGATTTCCTTATCGTAATTGCTCAAATTTGGAATTTATAGATTTGGCTGTACAGTGAAAATTGGCTAATTAAGAATAACACAAGAATTGTGGTGTTTTATAAGGTCCGAGCTCTTGAGAAATATTAAAGTACATTTTGGGAAAAGAAATCCCTTAAATAGGGTCAAAAAATGACAGGCAATTATGGCAATTTTTCGAAAAATTAAAACTCACAAAATCATGAATTACCTTTGTTTATAGCTTTTGGGGTTTATAAAAATATATTTTTGAATAATCATAAATTTATATTCTGAAATTATATATTTAAATAGGCCAAAAAATAATTAATTCGTTTTATTTGATAAATTTTATTGTCCTATCATAATTTATATTTAGTCTAAGTTAGCCTACGGTCAAATTTTGTATGTACAAATGATTTAAATCCTTCTCCAACTAACTAAAACCCTTCTATCCTAATATTTTCAAACTTTATAGCTATTAGTACAGGTGATGATGTCATCATTGCCGCCTAAATTAGACAACTTGCAACGTCTTTCGTGCCGTTTACTTTGATTTAGTTTAGTATGTGTGAAAAAAAGTGATGTCAAGAGAAAATCTACCAAAATCCAAACAAAATCTAAAAATAAAAGTACAACATTAATTAGAAAACGAAGCCGAGCGTGTAAAGAAGCCAACATTTCCCTTCTCTCCTCTTCCGTTGCAGGGAATCAAAGCAAAAGGGAGAGAGAGGGATTGAAAAATTGGAGGAGTGGCGAAGGAGTGAGAGAAAGGTCAAAAATAGCTCTCGAGAGGCAGCCTTTAAAAATAGAGCATCAGGCCATGCCAACGAAGTCAGAGCCTTGGATGTTATAGATATACATAGAAATGCCACGACCGGAAGAGACCCATCTGCAGCAGCTGCTTGTACAGCTGGAGAAGGTGCCACGCCCCCAGCTGCAGCAGAAGTTTCTTGCCCACTTTAGGAAGCAGAGCAACTGCAGCCTAGAGGACTTTGCAGCCTACTTTCTGGCCGCCTTGCGGCAGCAAACGAGTCAATATTTCCAAGTCAGGAACTCAGACACACCGGTGCACTCGTTACCTGGGACCCCTGTCCGTCAGCCAAAGCCGCCGCCTGGCGATGCATCCAAAGAATTAGATGAGAACCTGCAGCAGCAACTACTCAATGACTCACTTCTCAACCGGAGCAGCTGCAGTGTGGAGTCCACGTCGACTCCACTGCGACAGCAGGGCCGCAGATCCATGCCTGGCAGCGGCAACAACCAGTTTTGCAGCACGCCACAGACCACAGGCCACAGAAGCAATGGTGGTGGTGGAGGTGGGCACAGTTTTTGCCTGGGCGACTTTCTGGTTAACTCGCCCAACCAAGGACAGCAACGATCTAAAAAGAAGACTACTCCACAACAGTCGCAGAATCAACATCAGTCAACGGGAGCTGCTTCCGGCGGCACTGTGCAGTCTAAGCCACGTAGACGTGTCCTCCCCATGACCATCAGCAAAAATGTTTCGGCCGGCTCATCTTTCGGAGACACCAGTTCCTTTAGCAACGACAATAATCTGTGGCGCCTCTCCCAGAGCAGCGAACTTTTCGATAGAAGTCAAGGAGCTGCCTTAGATATGGAGGCGCGAAAAACCCTGCTCCTGCATAAGCAGGAGATTAAAATCGAGGCGCCGCCCCTTAACGTCAGTCAGCTGGAGGGAAGGACACCAGAGGATGAGGTCTTTCCGCACGACACATTCTCGCTTGAGGATGTGACCGATTCTAATCAGTTGCAGCTCCTCTCTGTCATTTATAGTCTTCTCATTGACCTTAATATGGTGCCCAATGTCCTGAGCGAACTCAGTTTCGTGCTACAGTTGATTAATGTACGAGACCTGGGACAATCTACCGTTGGTACAAGTCTAGACTGCATGCCTTTGCAGCGCGTCTCCTCTGACTACAAGAGCTGCGTTTACTTTGCGTTGAAACTCCTGGAGAACCAGCAAAGGTTACTTCTGCAGCTGGACAAGAAGACGTTGGGGGTGTTGCTTCAAAACGAGAGACTGAACCTGCTGCCACCGGGCATTGTCCAACAGCTAGAAGCGTCCTACCAACAGAAACAGGACTCGGCTCCATCTGTGGCTCTAGACACGTCCTCCTCCTCGCAACACAACGTATACTACCATGTCGAAAAGGACTCACGGGATAATTTTCCCTCGCAGAACGAGTTTGCAGCCTTCAAGACGCAGCGAGATTTATTTTACAAGGCCCTGAAGCAGTGGGAGCTAGGCCACCTGAATCGCAATTTTAACTTCACCTCGGAGGTGGCGCCCTGCATCCGGGAAATCTTCAAGGTGTCGGAACACCCGGTGAACATGGCACACTTTGCCAAGCTGTTTGTCAGTCAACTGCTGATCTCGGCCACCGAGAACACTGAATCGCCCGAGGAACTTGGCTTAAAGTTGGACCCTCTCAGACTCAATCGCTTGGCCCAGCGCCTGGTTACCTCCGACTCCAGTGTGGAGGGTCAGTTTCCCCGATCGCAGGCGTTTTTCCGTGACTTTATAGCCGGCTGCTCATCGATGGCGTTTCATGTGCAGCTCAAGCTGGCCTTGTTTGTTCAGTTGCTGCGGCACAACGACTCTACTTTTGATTTGCTGCAGTTGTCCGAGGATGTCTGCGCTGAGGAGGAGCAGTCTGCGCAGCAGGGACTCTACATAGTACGTGTACAGACGATGGCCCATATGCTGATTTTAGCCAAGTTTTTGGGTTTTGTAAGCGTTCTGCCCTTCAGCGGGACTACCCAGCACGGAAATCCTTCGCCGCCGTATCTGTGCCCGCAGCAGTTGCAGTTACGCAGTCGCTTTCAGCCGGATTTCAATCTCCGGGAGACATTCGAGCGGTCGATGCGCAATGGCAAGCTGCTCATCTCGCTGCCGTGGCTGGTCCAATACCTGGCCATGCTAGATCCGGTCAGCCTGAATCTGCCAGACGCCCTGGCCACCCTGGAAATACTTTACGGATTATATGCTTCGTTGGGTATGGAGAAATCTCAGCCTGGAGCAGTGTTTATAGCCAGGTGTTGTATTGGCTGGCTGCTAGATGCACAGCCGCAACTGGTTAATGCCTACTATAGTCACAGGTCAATCAAGACTAAATCAGCGGCCGTTGTGGAGCTTTGCCTAAGTGGAATCCGCTGTCATGAAAAATCCCTTGGCCCCCTGCTGGAGGAACTGCTGCCCATTGCCTGTCCCTTTCTCCAGGAATTCAGGGTAAGCATAACGCCCTCTCGGCAGGCGAAGAGTGGACGTTTTCGGTACATAACCACACGCCTAGAGCAGCTCCAGCAGGGAAGCAGTAGCAGCAGCACCTCTGTTACCCAGGACCCAACGGTTTCCAGCGAGCAGACACCTGCGGAGCAACAGCAACGAAAGCTAGCCGATGCCTTCTTGCACTCCCAGAACGCCTCCACACGACGACTGATTGAGTTTGTTACGGAGCGCAGCTTCAAGTGCGTGGTCAAGGATGCCCAGCAGGAGATTCTGCTGCCCTCCAAGGCCTCTGCGGATGCCAAGGTAAACGAGATATGTTCCGTAAAGCAGGATGATGTCTTGCAGCAGCTCCAGCACATCTTTCAGGGGGCCAAAGAGCAGGCCTGCCAAAAATGGAAAGAACAGGTGCCCCAGATGTTGGGCCAACGCATAGCACAGTCACTGGAGGCCCTATTGCCCGCCAGTACAAATGCAGTGCTCCGTTCCACCTACGCCCACCTGATTCGCGGCCAGGCGCAGACCCAACTACAGCAGTGGCTGCAATCCAGCGTACTGCAGTCCACCTTCTATCACGGCGACCTCAAAGAGCTCGCCATCAAGGTATGCAACTCAAACAAGAACAAGGCGGAAGCAGCAGCTGCCGGCGGTGGCTCCAATGAACTTCAGCTCAGATCGGATGTGGGATTTAGCCTTTCGGAGCTGCTGTTCCAGCTGCAGCAGTGGCTGCATCACCTCAGCCTGCGGCCGGAGAATGTGGGCAGCCGCCAGGAGTTGGGCGAGCTGCTGCGACAGTCTCAGCACGCGGTTCTACTGCCACAATTGCCCACGATTTTCTATCATCTGATTGGTTCAGGATTGGTGCATCTGCTTCAGTTATTTATCAATCGAAAGCCCGACTTCCTAGACGAATACGTTATCTCCGCTTGCTGTACAGTGTGGCGTTCGCCTCAGTTCAAGGCCAGCGAGGCCTATCCCGGAATTTTTGAAGGCCTGCTGAGCGTGCGCTTTATTCAGGAGCTGTCTTTTAAACAAAATGGATTTCGCCTGCTGGAGCAGCTGCTCCGCTCCATGCTGCTTACTGGAGCAGTGCGTGCGGATCATCTTAACGAGATATTTATGCCGCTTTTTGCGGAGAACTGGCCACCGCATGTGTGGAGCACCCTTTCCAATCTCCTGCAGCAGCTCTCGCTTTCAGGGAGCAATGGCCTAGGCGGCGCTGGACTCGACACATCCGGAGACAGTAATGAAGACGAGGCCAAGTCGCATCTTTTTATGGAAATGCTGGCCGATCTATCGCGCGATCTGGATAGTTTTTAAGGTCTAAAAAACGTTGGTTATGTCATTTATCGTTTCTGTTTCGAATAAAACGTTCCTTTTTGATATACTTTTCTGGTGAAAATACCTCTGAAATGATGAGAACTGTCTTTATTTGGTCTGTTGCTTGGCGATAAGATAGCGATAGCCGGGCAGAACCTAATCAGTGGAAGAATGCGTCAGTGTAGCAGTTTTAGTTCGGTTATTGAACGTTGAGGCCTGCCGAGAACTTAAAGGGGACGAGGTTGCCAGCCGATGTGATCATCGATCGATGTGAGGGGCCGTTGGCAACGTTAAGTCAATATATGAATGTTATTTTTGTGTGCGAAAAATTGTTAAAATGTTGCCAAAGAACTGCTAAAAGAGAATCGTTTCTATCAGGAAATATATTTAATCTATTTTTATTTAATTATGTTTATTGAAAGATTGTAAAAATAAACGTTTAGCTGAGAATAACAATTTTCAGCATAAAAGTTCGCAATTTGTCAGTGATTACTATTTTCTATTTGTTCCATGAATGACCGGTAATTCAAGCAATTGACGAGCGGCTGCTCTGTGCTTTTGTTTGTGCTGATTAAAGCGAATTCAACTAATTATTTTCCCCTCTATTTCCTCCATTACAGTTGTGCACGGTCGAACATTTGATGAGGAGAAGGAAGAACCAGTTGCAGTATTAAAACGAAACCAAGAGCAGCTTTAGAAATTTTACTGAAAGCTTTTCAATATCAAAAACGAACGAAACTCTTAATACACAAGTAAATACGAACCAAGCGAAATGGAGAACTTCACACCCAAGGAGGTGAAGATCCTCGAGACGGTCGAGGACATTCAGGAGCGACGTGAGCAGGTGCTGTCCCGCTACAATGAGTTCAAGATCGAGACGCGCCAGAAGCGCGAGAAGCTCGAGGATTCGCGCCGTTTCCAGTACTTCAAGCGAGATGCCGACGAGTTGGAATCTTGGATCCACGAGAAACTGCAGGCGGCCAGCGAGGAGAGCTATCGCGATCCCACCAATCTGCAGGCCAAGATCCAGAAGCACCAGGCTTTCGAGGCGGAAGTGTCGGCGCACAGCAATGCCATCGTATCGCTGGACAACACCGGCCAGGAGATGATCAACCAGCAGCACTTTGCCTCTGAGACGATCCAGCGTCGTCTTGATGAGCTGCACCAGCTGTGGGAGCTGCTCCTCAGTCGTCTGGCCGAAAAGGGTTTGAAGCTGCAGCAGGCACTTGTCCTAGTGCAGTTCCTGCGCCAGTGCGAGGAAGTCATGTTCTGGATCAAGGACAAGGAGACCTTTGTCACGGCCGACGAGTTTGGTCAAGATCTGGAGCATGTGGAGGTGCTGCAGCGTAAATTTGACGAGTTCCAGAAGGACATGGCCTCACAGGAGTACCGCGTAACGGAGGTTAACCAGCTGGCCGACAAGTTGGTCCAGGACGGCCATCCCGAACGCGATACAATCACCAAGCGCAAGGAGGAGCTCAACGAAGCCTGGCAAAGGCTTAAGCAGCTGGCCATTGTGCGCCAGGAGAAGCTCTTTGGAGCCCACGAGATCCAGCGCTTCAATCGGGATGCTGACGAGACTGTGGCCTGGATTGCCGAGAAGGATGTGGTGCTATCGTCCGATGACTATGGCAGGGACTTGGCCAGCGTCCAGGCCCTGCAGCGCAAGCACGAGGGTGTCGAGCGCGATCTGGCTGCTTTGGAGGATAAGGTTTCTACTCTGGGAGCCGAGGCCCAGCGACTGTGCTCCATCCATGCCGATCACAGTGACCAGATCCGCGACAAGCAGGCGGAGATTGCCAACTACTGGCAGAGCCTTACCGCGAAGGCACGCGAGCGCAAGCAGAAACTGGATGAATCCTACTACCTGCACCGCTTCCTGGCCGACTTCCGCGATCTGGTGTCCTGGATCAATGGCATGAAGGCCATCATCTCGGCCGACGAGCTGGCCAAGGATGTGGCCGGTGCCGAGGCTCTGCTGGAACGCCATCAGGAGCACAAGGGAGAGATCGATGCCCGCGAGGATAGCTTCAAGCTAACCACCGAGTCTGGACAGAAGCTGCTGGAGCGGGAGCACTATGCCGCCGCCGAGATCCAGGAGAAGCTGGCGGCTCTGGAGAACGACAAGAGCTCACTGCTGGCACTGTGGGAGGATCGTCGCATCCTGTACGAACAGTGCATGGATCTTCAGCTCTTTTACCGCGATACTGAGCAGGCCGACACCTGGATGGCCAAGCAGGAGGCTTTCCTGGCCAACGAAGACCTGGGTGACTCCCTGGACTCGGTGGAGGCCCTGATCAAGAAGCACGAGGACTTTGAGAAGAGCCTGGCCGCTCAGGAGGAGAAGATCAAGGCTTTGGACATCTTCGCCACCAAGCTGATCGATGGCCAGCACTATGCCGCCGACGATGTGGCCCAGCGTCGCCAGATGCTGCTTGCCCGCCGTGCTGCCCTCCAGGAGAAGTCTTCGAAGCGCCGCCAGCTGCTGGAGGACTCCAATCGCTACCAGCAGTTCGAGCGGGACTGTGACGAGACCAAGGGCTGGATCAGCGAGAAACTCAAGTTCGCCACGGACGACAGCTATCTGGATCCCACAAATCTCAACGGCAAGATGCAGAAGCACCAGAATTTCGAGCACGAACTGAATGCCAACAAGTCGCGCATTGAAGACATCACCAATGTGGGCACCGAGCTGATTGAGAAGCAGCACTATGCCGCCGATCAGATCAACACTCGCATGCAGGAGATCGTCGTGCTGTGGGAGACGCTCGTCCAGGCCTCGGACAAGAAGGGCACCAAGCTGAATGAGGCCTGCCAGCAGCAGCAGTTCAATCGCACCATTGAGGACATTGAGCTGTGGCTCAGCGAGATTGAGGGTCAGCTGCTGTCGGAGGATCATGGCAAGGACCTGACCTCTGTCCAGAATCTGCAGAAGAAGCATGCTCTGCTGGAGGCCGATGTGATGGCCCATCAGGATCGCATTGAGAGCATCAAGGTGGCGGCTAATAAGTTCATCGAATCGGGTCACTTTGATGCTGATAACATCCGCAACAAGGAGGGCAACCTCTCGGCCCGCTATGCCGCTCTCGCCGCACCCATGGGCGAGAGGAAGCAGCATCTGTTGGACTCGCTTCAAGTGCAACAGCTTTTCCGTGATTTGGAAGACGAGGCAGCCTGGATTCGGGAGAAGGAACCAATTGCTGCATCCACGAACCGCGGTCGTGACTTGATTGGCGTCCAAAACCTGATTAAGAAGCATCAGGCCGTTCTTGCCGAGATCAATAACCATGAGGCTCGCCTGCTGAATGTGATTAGCTCGGGTGAAAATATGCTCAAGGATCAGCCCTTCGCCAGTGACGACATCCGCCAGCGACTGGAGGCCCTGCAAGAGCAGTGGAACACCCTGAAGGACAAGTCCAATCAGCGCAAGCAGGATTTAGATGACTCACTGCAGGCTCATCAGTACTTTGCCGATGCCAACGAGGCGGAGTCTTGGATGCGCGAGAAGGAACCAATTGCCACTGGCAGTGATTATGGCAAGGACGAGGATTCCTCGGAGGCCCTGCTCAAGAAGCATGAGGCTCTGGTCTCCGATCTGGAGGCCTTTGGCAACACCATCCAGGGACTGCAAGAGCAGGCCAAGAACTGCCGGCAGCAGGAGACGCCCGTGGTGGACATCACCGGCAAGGAGTGCGTTGTGGCTCTGTATGACTACACCGAGAAATCCCCCCGCGAGGTGTCCATGAAGAAGGGCGATGTTCTCACCCTGCTGAACTCGAACAACAAGGACTGGTGGAAGGTGGAGGTCAACGATCGCCAGGGCTTTGTTCCGGCTGCCTACATCAAGAAGATTGAGGCTGGACTGAGCGCCTCGCAGCAGAATCTGGTGGATAACCATTCGATTGCCAAGCGCCAGAACCAAATCAATTCGCAGTACGACAACCTGCTGGCCCTGGCCCGCGAGCGCCAAAACAAGCTGAACGAGACCGTTAAGGCTTACGTGCTGGTTCGCGAGGCTGCCGATTTGGCCCAGTGGATTCGGGACAAGGAGAACCATGCCCAGATCGCTGATGTTGTGGGCGAGGATCTCGAGGAGGTGGAGGTACTGCAAAAGAAGTTTGACGACTTCAATGACGATCTGAAGGCCAACGAGGTGCGTCTGGCCAACATGAACGAGATTGCCGTGCAGCTGACTTCCCTGGGACAGACTGAGGCCGCTCTGAAGATCCAAACCCAGATGCAGGATCTCAACGAGAAGTGGAACAATCTGCAGACCCTCACCGCCGAGAAGGCCAGCCAGCTGGGCTCTGCCCACGAGGTGCAGCGCTTCCATCGCGACATTGATGAGACCAAGGACTGGATTGCCGAGAAGGCCAATGCCTTGAACAACGATGATTTGGGCAAGGATCTGCGCAGCGTCCAGACCCTGCAGCGCAAGCACGAGGGCGTGGAACGTGATCTGGCCGCCTTGCGTGACAAGATCCGTCAGCTGGATGAGACCGCAAACAGGCTGATGCAATCGCATCCCGACACTGCCGAGCAGACGTACGCCAAGCAAAAGGAGATCAATGAGATGTGGGACCAGATAATCACCAAGTCCACAGCCCGCAAGGAGAAGCTACTGGACTCGTACGACCTCCAGCGATTCCTGAGCGATTATCGCGATCTGCTGGCCTGGATCAACTCGATGATGAGCCTGGTCACCTCCGATGAGCTGGCCAACGATGTTACCGGTGCCGAGGCTCTGATTGAACGTCATCAGGTAAGGATTTTGCTGGGGAGCATTACGTTTAAGTTAAACTAGGTTATCTACAGGTCTGTTTGTGGTTTATTTTAAGTATACTTCTCAAGCAGGCCTGGAAAAAGAGGGGAAAAAATCCTATTAAGTCTTATATTCCCTTCTTTAGACCCGTTTTATCCTTATTTTGAAACCCCTTCGAACTATATCTTGTTTCTATTTGGTTTTCGTTTCTTTATTTGGTTTGTGTCATGTCATAAACGAACAACAAACAATCGACAACAACGCCAACTACAACGGTTCATCATGGTTCATGACAACAACATCCTAAAATCCCCCATCATGGTTATGTTTCTGCATTCCAAACCCTAAAAAAAAAATCAAATGAATTCCAATCCCAGGCACATCGTGCTGAGATCGAATTTACGTTGGGCAGCAGCTCGGCTCCAGGAGCCACCGCCTCCTCGAGCACCAGCATCGCATCTCCATCCGGCGACGAGGTAGTTCCTTCGCAAATGCAACATCATTCCAAGTCAACATCCGTGTTTTGTTGTGTTTTTATGTTTATATGTTTGCGCCTCTCTGATCCAAACGTTCTTGTGTACTATCATCATCTTTAAAACCCATTTTCAAGGTGTACTTTTTTCGGCAACACTTGAAAACTCTTTTCTATCTTTATGGCAATCAGTGTATATATATCAGATAATATTTTTAAGCTTTTGGCTTCCTTATTACATACACGCACATGTTTTTGTTCCTTGAGTAACTCCAAGCTGTTTCTCGTTATCTTATCTAATATGGCTTACACATGTCGGGCAATCATACTCATATAACCCTCACACTTGGATTTCACAACATAAGATAGAACTATAAACATAATTATTATTGATAAATATCATTCGAACTCTGAAGATTGACTTTTTTTTGCTTTGATTTTGTTGTCTGATACCTAAATATTTATATGCAATTAATCAGATTTTATATCGACAGTGTCTAGATTTTAAAGATGTTCTATAAATCTGATATTTTTCAATTATATTTGAATTGTCAATATTTTAAAATTAAATGCGATATTTTTTTAAATTTCGGTATAATACATTGGGATATATTCTCAATATGATATTTCCATACTAAGCGCTATATCTTAGATGGATATATTACTTAGACTTTTTGTATTCCTTTCTATATATATACCTAATTCCTAACTATCTATTTTAAAATTTTAAAACTTCAAACCCCACCTAGAACAGAGGTTAAATTTATGTGCAAAACAAACCCCAAGTTAGAGCTCTCTACATAAAACCACACCCATTATAATCATACAAACATACAAACCCCAAAAATCCGTTCATTCTCTTCAAATTCCACCCACTTTATCATCCACCGAAAACGGTTTAGTTTAACTTCGTTGTTACTTTTGACTAATTTGAAGCTGCAGCGCAATCGTTCCTCAGCGGCCAAGCATTGCCATGTTGTTCTAACCCGGCGTTGTTACCATTCCCAAAGTCCACAATGTTTCAAAACTAATCCTCGTCTCAATTCGAATCTCCCCTTTAGGAACATCGCACCGAGATCGATGCCCGTGCCGGCACCTTCGGAGCCTTCGAGCAGTTTGGCAACGAGCTGCTGCAGGCTAATCATTATGCCTCGCCCGAGATCAAGGAGAAAATCGAGGATCTGGCCAAGGCACGCGAGGATTTGGAGAAGGCCTGGACAGAGCGCCGTCTGCAGCTGGAGCAGAATTTGGATCTGCAGCTATACATGCGCGACTGTGAGCTGGCCGAGTCATGGATGTCGGCCCGCGAGGCCTTCCTCAATGCGGACGACGATGCCAATGCCGGTGGCAATGTGGAGGCTCTGATCAAGAAGCACGAGGACTTTGACAAGGCCATCAACGGGCATGAGCAGAAAATTGCTGCCCTGCAGACGGTGGCGGATCAGTTAATTGCCCAGAACCATTATGCCTCCAACCTGGTTGACGACAAGCGCAAGCAGGTGCTGGAGCGCTGGCGTCACCTCAAGGACGGGCTCATCGAGAAGCGCTCGAAGCTGGGCGATGAGCAGACTCTGCAGCAATTCTCGCGCGATGCCGATGAGATCGAGAACTGGATCGCTGAGAAGCTGCAACTGGCCACCGAGGAGAGCTACAAGGATCCGGCCAACATCCAATCGAAGCACCAGAAACACCAGGCCTTCGAGGCAGAGTTGGCGGCCAATGCCGATCGCATTCAGAGTGTTCTGGCCATGGGCGGTAATCTTATTGACAAGAAGCAGTGCAGCGGATCGGAGGATGCGGTGCAGAAGCGACTGACCCAGATCGCCGATCAGTGGGAGTATCTGACCCACAAGACCACCGAGAAGTCGCTGAAGCTTAAGGAGGCCAATAAGCAGCGCACCTATATCGCTGCTGTCAAGGATTTGGACTTCTGGTTGGGCGAGGTCGAGAGTCTGTTGACCACTGAGGATTCTGGTAAGGATTTGGCCTCTGTCCAAAACCTCATGAAGAAGCATCAGTTGGTCGAGGCGGATATCGTGGCGCACGAAGACCGCATCAAGGACATGAACAACCAGGCCGATTCCTTGGTGGAGAGCGGCCAGTTCGATACTGCCGGCATCCAGGAGAAGCGCCAGAGCATTAATGAGCGCTACGAGCGCATTTGCAACCTGGCTGCCCATCGTCAGGCGCGTCTCAACGAGGCCCTGACCCTGCATCAGTTCTTCCGCGACATTGCCGACGAGGAGAGCTGGATCAAGGAGAAGAAGCTTCTGGTTGGCTCCGACGATTACGGTCGCGATCTAACTGGAGTTCAGAACCTCAAGAAGAAGCACAAGCGCTTGGAGGCTGAGCTGGGCTCCCATGAACCGGCCATCCAGGCCGTGCAAGAGGCCGGTGAGAAGCTAATGGATGTCTCTAATCTGGGTGTGCCCGAGATTGAACAGCGCTTGAAGGCTCTAAACCAGGCCTGGGCCGAGCTGAAGAACCTGGCTGCCACGCGCGGCCAAAAGCTGGATGAGTCGTTGACTTACCAGCAGTTCCTGGCCCAGGTGGAGGAGGAGGAGGCCTGGATCACCGAGAAGCAACAGCTGCTGTCCGTGGAGGATTACGGCGACTCGATGGCCGCCGTTCAGGGTCTGCTTAAGAAGCACGACGCCTTCGAGACCGACTTTACTGCCCACAAGGATCGCTGCTCGTTGATCTGCGATCAGGGTAGCGAGTTGGTGGAGGCCAAGAACCACCATGGCGACTCCATTGCCCAGCGCTGCCAGCAGCTGCGCCACAAGCTGGACAACCTGTCGGCTTTGGCCGCTCGCCGCAAGGGCGCTCTGTTGGACAACTCTGCCTATTTGCAGTTCATGTGGAAGGCCGATGTGGTGGAAAGCTGGATCGACGACAAGGAGAACTATGTGCGCTCTGATGAGTACGGTCGCGACCTGTCCACCGTGCAGACGCTGTTGACCAAGCAGGAGACATTCGATGCAGGTAAGAACAAACGGGGGGATTATAAAATATAATGCCTGGAGGAGTACATTACATTTGGTCTACCCAGGTCTCAATGCCTTCGAGCAGGAGGGCATCCACAATATAACGGCGCTGAAGGACCAACTCATCAACGCCAGCCATGCTCAGTCGCCGGCTATCCTCAAGCGTCATGGTGACGTTATTGCCAGGTGGCAGAAACTGCGCGACGCCTCCGATACGCGCAAGCAACGACTGCTGGCCATGCAGGAGCAGTTCCGCCAGATCGAGGAACTCTACTTGACATTTGCCAAGAAAGCTTCGGCCTTCAATTCTTGGTTCGAAAATGCCGAGGAGGATCTCACCGATCCTGTTCGCTGCAATTCGATCGAAGAAATCCGCGCCCTGCGCGACGCCCACGCCCAATTCCAGGCGTCACTGTCGTCGGCCGAAGCTGACTTCAAGGCATTGGCAGCACTCGACCAGAAGATCAAGAGCTTTAATGTTGGACCCAATCCCTACACATGGTTCACCATGGAAGCTCTTGAGGAGACCTGGCGTAATCTGCAAAAGATCATAGAGGAACGCGATGGGGAACTTGCCAAGGAGGCCAAGCGTCAGGAGGAGAACGACAAGCTGCGCAAGGAGTTTGCCAAGCACGCCAATCTCTTCCACCAGTGGCTGACAGAGACAAGGTGAGTGGGGTGGTTTGGGTTTTACTTGATCCAAAAGTGTGTGTTGGTTTTATTCATTTGTTTTTTTTTTTTTAATGTTGTGTGGGATCGAATCCATGATGCACCATCCACATCCCAATCCACACAATTCCAAAAACTCTTGTGGCCTCGACTCTCTCTCTCTCTCTCTCGTCCCCCATTCAAATACGTAACTGAACGAATGTATTCTATTTTCTAGATATTATATGCTGGGTTATAACCGTCAAGGGTAATTAAGCGAGCAGGGGTGGGCAGGGTCCGACTCCTGTCTCAATTCAACTGCGTTTCAACTACCATTTTCTGTTGTGTGATCTCTCTTTTTTGGTTCCTTAACGCGTGTTGTTGGAGCTCCACTAACTCTATAACTCTTGCTTTTGCGACTCGTGCTGATGCGAGCGCTTGTACATATTCGTATATATCGTCGTGCAACGAACGACCTAAGGCTTAGTTTTAGTTAGTTGCATTAGCCACGTGCACCCACTTGGAGTGCCTTGAGGTGCTCTTCCGGATTCTCCATTATTCTTTTGGTCTCACCTCAAAATCTAAAACTCTTTAGCATGCCTAAATCGAGAGCAAAATAAAATGTAGTATACAGAAAAAAAAAAAAAAACAAATTGCAAATATGTAGAACTCGAGCAATTTAACATGTTTTCTCATATGGTTTTCAGTTTCAGTTTTATCGAAGAGTTTAACAAAAATCTAGTAGCTTTTCTTTACCAAAAATCCAATTTAAACTAGGGATGTTAAAAATAAACCATGACAATTATATAATTGTATCTTTGTATAATTTTATTTTATAATTAATACAACTATATAATAGTATCATGATATATAAACATCCCTAATTGAAATGTTTTCTTTGACGCCATATTCTTATTTTTAACTCGCTTTCTAGCAATTAGACAATTTGTGTCTTTTATTAGTTGCTGAACTCAAAAGAAAAACCCTTAACAAAACTTAACACTAATCCCGGCCAGAACGATTATCGTGCCCTTAAATTCCCACAGACACCTGTAAATAAATACAAGCCACGATACAAAATGGGAAGACAAGCTAGTTGTGAGCCCGCAAATTATATTCGCTGCCCCCTTACAGACCTCTAACCAGATTTGCTTTTCTTAATGCATTATTATCATTGTAACGTTCCGATTTGTTTTGAGACCTAACCTCGATATTCGATATTGTGTGCCCTACTAACGTGTGTTCCTTTTGTCTTGGCAAACCAACCAACCAACCAACTGTCCACCCACAGAACGTCCATGATGGAAGGCTCCGGTTCCCTGGAACAGCAACTGGAGGCGCTTCGCGTCAAGGCCACCGAGGTGCGTGCCCGTCGTGTCGATCTGAAGAAGATCGAGGAGCTGGGCGCGCTCCTAGAGGAGCATCTGATCCTGGACAATCGCTACACGGAACACTCGACGGTGGGCCTGGCCCAGCAGTGGGATCAGCTCGATCAGCTATCCATGCGCATGCAGCACAATTTGGAGCAGCAGATCCAGGCGCGCAACCACTCGGGCGTCTCCGAGGACTCGCTTAAGGAGTTCTCAATGATGTTCAAGCACTTTGACAAGGATAAGAGCGGCAAGCTAAACCACCAGGAGTTCAAATCCTGCCTGCGCGCCCTCGGCTACGATCTGCCCATGGTTGAGGAAGGCCAACCGGATCCGGAATTCGAGGCCATACTCGATGTGGTGGACAATACCCGCGATGGCTATGTTTCCCTCCAGGAATACATTGCGTTCATGATCTCCAAGGAGACGGAGAACGTGCAGTCCTACGAGGAAATCGAGAATGCCTTCCGCGCCATCACTGCCGCCGACCGCCCCTACGTTACCAAGGAGGAGCTCTACTGCGTAAGACTACATAAATTGAAAAAAAAAAGGGATATCTCTTGTTAATCAGTTGGCTTTTCCATTGCAGAACCTCACCAAGGACATGGCGGACTATTGTGTGCAGCGCATGAAACCCTTCCAGGAACCGCGATCCGGCCAGCCCATCAAGGATGCCCTGGACTACATCGACTTTACGCGAACGCTATTCCAGAATTAAAGAACCGAACCACCCTGTTCTGGTTCAGTGGCGCCTGAGAAGCATATTGTCTTACAATCTAAATCTATTTCTAAAGCAAACAAAGAAAAGTAAACAAAAATATATATATATTTACACCATTATTTTCAATAATTTAGTCTCTAAGTCCAAACTGTTTAATGCTTATTTAAGAACCTATGCCACAATGAACCTAAATTCAACAATAGCACCGCACACTGCAATACATATTTATCAAAAATGACTATAAACCCTTTTGTAGTTTTTTGCATTTATTTACCGAAAAGAAAGTATCTTAAATTTCAGTTTTGTCGCCGGAGAAGAGTATTTAATCGAGGATATAATCAATGCCTGCAATGAGAGAATATATAAATAAAGCTTAGCTTCCAGTATAATCGAGCAAAAACTCTCAAAGTTTCCATACTAAATGTTCGTGTAACCTTGCCACTTGAGCATACAAAAATACAATTGAAATACAAAGAAATTTAAGATACTATTGCTGCTTACCCACGAAAATACATACATACATAATAAACAGCATTCAGACTTTGTGTTTTCTACGTGTATTCGAAACGAAAGTAGTAAACTTTTTCAAAAAACCAACAAAAATATATAAATAAGAAAAAAGGAATACAGTAAATATTTGCCTCTGTATTGATCGTATATTTACAATCCGTGAATTTGCAAAAATAAATATCGCTGCATGTCGAAAAAAATGTATAGCTGGAAGAGTGTTTCGTGTCGAAGGGGCCACATGGGAGTGGAGCAAGCAAAGCACACCAAAGTATTACCCTATTTTCGTCAGAATAACAACCAATTTTTAATTAGAGTACATTTATTTATTTGTGCAAGGTCATGTGCAGGTATCATTAATGTTAGTTTACATTTTAGTTATTTGTAATATAAGAAAAACATTTGAATAATTGGGGTATTCCGAGGGAATGCGTTGGTTGAGGTCCTATAGAAAATAAAAAATCTTTGCGCAGTGAGAAAGAAACTATTGAACGCTGTTATGTGCGGTTCGGATGTGTGTTATAAGACTATTTCTCCTGGAAAATGACTTTGGGCAGTGGGAAAACTTTTATGGTCGGTCTCCAATACAATTCCTGATGTGTCTATTGAGATGACTACTCGTGGAAAACGCCTTTGAGCAGTGGGAACACTTGTATGGTCGCTCTCCAGTGTGTGTACGGATATGTCGATTAAGAGTACTTATCTGGGTAAATGACTTGGAGCAATGGGAACACTTGTATGGTCGCTCTCCAGTGTGTGTACGGATATGTCGATTAAGAGTACTTCTCAGGGTAAATGAGTTGGAGCAGTGAGAACACTTGTATGGTCGGTCTCCAGTGTGAGTTCGGATGTGATTTGTAAGAGCACCTTTTTCGGAAAATGACATTGTGCAATGGGAACACTTGTATGGTCGCTCTCCAATACAATTCCTGATGTGTGTTTTAAGATGACTACTCGTGGAAAACGTCTTTGAGCAATGGGAACACTTGTATGGTCGCTCTCCAGTGTGTGTACGGATATGTAGATTAAGAGTACCTCTGTGGGAAAATGACTTGGCGCAGTGGGAACACTTGTATGGTCGCTCTCCAGTGTGAGTTCGGATGTGTTTTTTAAGATCACCTTTTTCGGAAAATGACTTTGAGCAATGGGAACACTTGTTTGGTCGCTCTCCAGTGTGTCCACGGATATGTACATTAAGAGTACCTCTCTGGGAAAATGACTTTGAGCAGTGGGAGCACTTGTATGGTCGCTCTCCAGTGTGTCCACGGATATGTACATTAAGAGTACTTCTCTTGGAAAATGACTTTGAGCAGTGGGAGCACTTGTATGGTCGCTCTCCAGTGTGTCCACGGATATGTTCATTAAGAGTACTTCTCTTGGAAAATGACTTTGAGCAGTGGGAGCACTTGTATGGTCGCTCTCCAGTGTGTCCACGGATATGTACATTAAGGGTACTTCTCATGGAATATGACTTTGAACAATGGGAACACTTGAACGGTCGCTCGCCAGTGTGTGTACGGATATGTACATTAAGAGTACTTCTCTGGCGAAATGACTTTGAACAATGGGAACACTTGAACGGTCGCTCTCCAGTGTGTGTACGGATATGTAGATTAAGAGTACTTATCTGGCGAAATGACTTGGAGCAGTGGGCACACTTGTATGGTCGCTCTCCAGTGTGGCTACGGATATGTACATTAAGAGTTCTTCTCTGGGGAAATGACTTTGAGCAGTGGGAACACTTGTATGGTCGCTCTCCAGTGTGAGTTCGGATGTGTTTTTCAAGAGAACCTTTTTCGCAAAATGACTTTGAGCAATGGGAACACTTGTATGGTCGCTCTCCAGTGTGTCCACGGATATGTACATTAAGAGTACCTCTCTGGGAAAATGACTTTGAGCAATGGGAACACTTGTATGGTCGTTCTCCAATACAATGCCTGATGTGTGTTTTAAGATGACAACTCTTGGAAAACGACTTTGAGCAATGGGAACACTTGAACGGTCGCTCGCCAGTGTGAGTTCGGATGTGATTTTTAAGAGAACCTTTTTCGGAAAATGACTTTGAGCAATGGGAACACTTGTATGGTCGCTCTCCAGTGTGTGTACGGATATGTAGATTAAGAGTACTGCTCTGGGGAAACGACTTTGAGCAGTGGGAACACTTGTATGGTCGCTCTCCAGTGTGGCTACGGATATGTACATTAAGAGTACTGCTCTGGGGAAACGACTTTGAGCAGTGGGAACACTTGTATGGTCGCTCTCCAGTGTGGGTTCGGATGTGTTGTTTAAGAGAACCTTTTCTGGAAAATGACTTTAAGCAATGGGAACACTTGTATGGTCGCTCTCCAGTGTGTGTACGGATATGTAGATTAAGAGTACTGCTCTGGGGAAACGACTTGGAGCAGTGGGAACACTTGTATGGTCGCTCTCCAGTGTGAGTTCGGATGTGTTGTTTAAGAGTTTCTCTCTGGGAAAATGACTTGGAGCAGTGGGAACACTTGTATGGTCGCTCTCCAGTGTGTCTACGGATATGTCGACTAAGATTACCTCTGGAAAATGACTTGGAGCAGTGGGGACATTTGTACTGTTCTTTCGTCTCGCTGAAACCAACACCATGATTTACATTGACTGGTAGATTTTTAGTATTTTTCATCTGGAGGTAGATCTCGTGGCTCGTCTCTATGGTTTGGCGTATCTCGAAGGCGGCTCGTGCACAGTGCAGGCAAGAGTCGCAGATGTTTTCGGGATAGCAATCTCCTTTAGAAATCTCGTAGGGAGTGCATTGGGTGATCATATCGGCGATGGAGATCCCTAGTCCTTGAGCGTTGTCGAATATGTTGATCATTACAGGTGACGTTCCCAGGCAAACGCGACAGATTTGACTAAAATTGAATGCAGAGTGTGTTTTCACAAAACGATTTAAGACCTTCAGTATTGAGATTGACTTACACTTCCATGACTTCAACTGCTGAGGCTCTTTTTACTTGTATTAGTATTATACTTGGATACAGTTTTTAAATCCCGCAAAACTCTGAGTGGGTAAAACATATGATCAAAATTGTTCATCCTGTGGATTAGAGGTGGAGAAAAATTGATAATTTCGCGACTATCGATAACAAATTCGAAGTTGTTTTCGAATATACTCAAAATATCGGAAACGTATTGCGATATTTTCAAACTCAAAACCAGAAAGGTCTGCCGCTTAATTTTCTGTCACTAGAGAATATTTCTTTTATTTTATAAAATTTGAAATTTTGATTTCGGTTATTTGAGATACATTTATTTTCAAAGGACTTAAATATATTTTAAAACGTATTAAAAAAAAATTATTATAAGTTAAAATTAGATATAGTTTTAGACACGCACAGGTTTTTCGTTTTTTTTTTAAGAATTTGAGATTTTGCTCATATGAAATTTATTTATTTTTCAAGGACTTAAATATGTTTTAAGACGTACTAAATTAAGGTTATTAAATAAAATAAGATAAGATTTTAGACTATAGGTGGCAGTGTCTATTCCGTTATTTTTTCTGTGAGGTCCCAGCAATTGATCCCAGATCGACGTTTTCATTTCCAATTTTATTCTTCCTGTGTGTTAACAGGTGTCTATAAAGACTAGAACTCTGGGAAAACGACATCGAACAAAGAGAACACTTATGCGGCCGCTCTCCCGTATGAGTTAGATTGTGTCTTTGAACACCTGCTTGTGTGGCAAAGGACTTCGAGCAGCGGGAGCACTTATACGGTCTCTCCCCCGTGTGAGTTCTGATGTGTATCACAAGTAATGGTTTCTTGGAAAACGACTTCGAGCAGTGGGTGCACGAATGCGGTCGCTCTCCCGTATGTGTTAGAATGTGTGGCTTAAGATTAGATTTCTGGGTAAACGACTGTGGACATTGGGGACACTTATACGGTCGCTCTCCCGTATGAGTTCGGATATGTAACTGAAGATTTCTGTTATTGGGAAATGACTTTGAACATTGAGAGCACTTAAACGGTCTCTCCCCTGTGTGAGTACGGATATGTCTATGAAGGTGACAGGATCTTTTAAACGACTTCGAGCATTGGGAGCACTTATACGGTCTCTCTTCTGAGTGCAAAAATGTGATGTGTGCCTTTAAAGAACTTACATAGGAAAAGGAACTCGAGCACTGGGGGCACTTATACGGCCGCTCTCCCGTGTGTTTTCCCCGCATATGTTCCTGAAGAATCCATTTTTTCTTAAACTCCTTTTGACAGTAGGTACATTTGTGCGGTTTTTTAATCTCAGGAGAGCAAACATCCTGCCTGAGATTGGCGGTTAAGACTTCACGGTTCTTCAGCTGGAGTATCTTCTGGTGGCTCTTTTCAATTGTCTGCCGTATATCAAAGGCGGATCGTGCACATCGCAGGCAAGAGTCGCAGATGTTTTCGGGGAAGCCATCTCCTTTAGAAATCTCGTAGGGAGTGCATTGAGCGATCATATCGGCGATAGAGATCCCTAGTCCTGGAGCATTATCGAAAATGTTGATCATTACAGGTGCCGCATCTAGGCAAGCGCGACAGATTTGACTAAAATTGAATGCAGAAAGTCTGTTTTTCCAAAGGATCTTGTGTATTTAGATTAACTTACACTTCCATGACTTCGACTATTGAGGCTTTTTTTTTTACTTGTATTAAAGTATTACACCTGTTTAGATACTTGGTACAGTTTTAATATACAGTATCTCTAAGATACGATCATTTTTCGTCCTTGTGGATTAGAGGTGGTAGAAAATCGATGATCAGACGACTATCGACAACAACTGTTATACAAATTATTTATGTGATCGATCCCTGGTTCTTAAATTAAAATAATAATAATAGTATAAGAAAAAAACAGACATAAATATCCACGTAAATCTTTAAATTTATTCATTAGATATCAAAACAGAATTAACAATCACGATTATAATAAGAACTTGTTAACGCTTTCCGCATAGGCAGCATTCGATAGCTTCCCGTTCAGAGCCTCCTTTGGCAGCCACTCGAACTTGGGCTGTTGCTTCTCCGCCGCCACCTGTCCCGATCGCAGTGATGCCCGGTAGAAGAACACCTTGGCTCCGGTGCTCTCCGTCCGCTGATTGGCTGGATACTTGTACTTGTGGAAGCCTACAGGGGCATTGCCGTAAAAGAGCACATGCAGCTCCTGGCCGCAATGCTCCCGGAGCACGCGTTCAGCCGTCTGGCGCATGGTTTCACCTTCCTGACGCTTGCCCTGGGGCAGGAGCAAGTGCTGCTGCTGGCCCAGTTTCTGCTGGACGAGCAGGTAAAGCGTCTGCTCCAGACAGCGGTCCGTGGAACTGGTCTTGTTCGCCTGGTCATCGGGCGTGGTGCGTGAGCCCAGCTGGAACTTTTTCAGCTCCTCGACGTAGGCGTCCTTTAGATCCTGGGCCGTTTGCTTCGCCCCGCTGTCCTCGAGGTCCACCTGCACCTTGCCCTTCTTAATCAGCTCAGCCTGAACGATCTCTCGCTCGTGCTTAAGTTCGTGGTCGGATTTCAGACTGTTCTCGTACTCCACGCGCCACAGCATGTCCTGGAACTGCTTCTCCAGAGGATTCAGGCTCTTCGAGACCACTGGCAGTCGCTCAACGAGCACGCCGGCGTAAAGGTCCCATTTCTCGGGAGCGGCAGCAGTGGACTGTGTCCGCCGCAGTTCCCGGGCACCCACTTGCACAAAGCGACGCAGCATTCTTCGGGTTTTAATAGAATATTTAAGTAAAATAAAAATCTGAGAAATGCACCGATTACATGAGCACCGAGCCGGAACAGCTGTTCGCGATAACAGACCAGAGCGGCGAAGCTATCGTTATCGAAGAGCAGCGTCGTTAACTTTTCTTAATTTGTATTTTCCGGCTGAATTTATTTCTCAAAAGACTGCTACACAATGTCCGGTTTGGAGTCGTACATCAACCACACAGTGTCCATCATCACGGCGGACGGACGAAACTTTATTGGGACACTAAAAGGCTTCGACCAGACCATAAACATCATCATCGACGAGTGCCATGAGCGCGTCTTCTCCACGACGTCCGGAATCGAACAGATCGTCCTGGGGCTCCACATCATCCGCGGCGACAATATTGCGGTGATCGGATTGATAGACGAGACCATCGACTCCCGCCTGGATCTGGCCAACATCCGGGGCGAGCCCCTGGGACCCGTAGTGCACTAGGATAACGAATAAAACCAGAGACTCTCAGACTTAACCAGCATTTATTTATCTTAATTGTTGCTTTTATTCTGCATCTACATTAAAGTTGACCTGGCGACAGTCCAAAGTGTCCAAATCGACCACGGCCACGCTCTGCGTCCGGCTGAAGCTGGGCACGCACACCAGGCGCGTGCGCTTGCCCTGGGCGCCCTCGTGCAGTGCCGTCTCGAAGGACTCGCAGTTGCCGGCAAAGTACACGTGCGGACACTCGCGCAGGATGAACGGATCGCTGTCGATGTACGGGTAGCAGGCGAGCGTATCCGGAGCAGTGGGCGCCACATGGCCCCAGGTGAGGGTGCAGCGCAGAGCCTCCAGTGCCGAGTCCAACGAAGTGCTCCGCAGCAGATCTGATACATTCTGGCCCGATGTTCCAACCACCATGGCCTCATCCAAACGGCAGTTGTAAGGATTGGTCACCGCCTGAAAGGAGGCAAGTTGACCGGCCAGCGGGAACATGCATTTGTGGAACGGCTGCTGTGGCAGCATAAAGTTGGCCGGATCGTAGGCTCCCGGCATAATGTCCACGGGCAGGCTGCGTGCCCATGAGGCAAACCACTGGTCCAGCTGGGTGACGGCCTGGACAGTGTCATTAGCATTGGCCTGGGTGCGAGCCACTTGCAGTGTGGGCACATAGGCCATGGCACTGGCACGCACTGAGTTCCCGGCCACAATGAGTCGCACCATCGAGCTGGCTTCTTTTCCATTTCCCAGACTTCCGGCCAGCCAGTACTGGAAGAGGTTCAGGGCATCCGCAAAGGTATGGGCCTGCAGTTGATCCAATCCGGAGACCAGCACAAGCAGTCGGCTCTGTTTGGCTGTGGTCAGCGGCTTCTGCGGTCCACCCTCGTAGAAGAGAATGTCCTCGACGTTAAAGAAGCCTTCGCTGTCGGTTCCCCCGAGAACGGCGCACACAACGCCGGTGGCCATTAGCTGGCCCTTGAACTCTCCCTGGAGACGCACCCGCTGCAATTCGTCCTCCAGCACCACCTTGTCCTCCGGCTCCGAGTAGTTTTGACGCGGCGGCTGCGGCGCTAGCTGATTCTCCTCGGATATGTCCCGCAGAATGCTGGGCTTATGAGCCTGGTGTTTGTAGATGGTGCCAATGAGGATGCAGTGAATGTCCTGCTCGCCCCGCAGCTCGCACAGCTTCTTGATGGGCTCCTGCTTGCCCCATTTTTTCTGGGCCAACGGCGTGAGGAGGCGCGTCATCTCAGCCAGGCGGTGGGCGTATAGGTGACAGAACTGTTTCTGGTAGTCGTGACCCTTCAGTCGGTAGTGGCTGCTCAGGTTCTCGTACTTGGTCTCCAAGCGGTGGGCCATGATTCCAGTGGTATATATTTTTTGGGAACTAGGGGAATCTCTCAAGACGCGTTCGCTTTTTAAGGCGCCAAAACAAAAACAGTAAGACCTGCTCAGACACTTCGATAATTTCACAATGAAATCGTTTTTGATAATTTTAAATTGTTCGGGAAAAATGCACGATAATTACAATTGCAATATATAAATAATTATTATTTTATTTTATTACTTAAAAATACAACAAAGGTACTCGTCAGTCTAATTAAGAATAAAAACAAGTTGCCAAAGAAGCAGCTCAACTATTTAGGCTTCACTGTCGATATCGATAGCCGATAAATCCACACCCCAAAACAGCTGTTATATACATATCGAGCAGAGGAAGAAGCAGAGTAGGCAGAGAACAGCGAAAAAGTGTTTTGTGATTGTGGAAAAAATTCAATTCAATGTATGCAGGCGATGCATTTAGTGTGTAAACGCACCAAGGAGATGTGGGACTCTGCCACAAGCACCACCGGATCAGCCTGTCGCCTGCCAGTCGTCATCCTGTGCTGATTCGGGCGAGTGTTTTCAGGGCTCTTATTGATTTTTACGGTTTCTCCGACTGATACGCATTTCGCTGCATACCCCAAATCTCCCATTGAAACTGCGTCGCAGCAGGGACGACTAGTATGCCGTCTGTGTGTTAGCCGGACGAGGAACAAAACAGCAGCCAGCGGAGCCATGGGCGGCTCCGTTAGCCAGGTATTTCGCTCCGGATCGGCGCTTCTCTCGCATCGCGATGGCAAACTGTCGAAGGCCACCGAGGAAACCATCCAGACGCTGTTCGACATTCTGCGCGCCAACCCAAAGGTGTCGCTGCAGACGCTCGAGAGCCTGCTCATCCAGATACCCAAGAACGAGAACATCCTGGCCATGCACGACGACTACGGCTACAATATACTGCAGCGCAGCGTTGGTCTCAATCACATAGATCTCACCAAGTGGCTCTTACATCGTCACCGGCCCGATGTGAACAGGTCGCCGTGCTCCCTGCCGCTGCACATTGCCACCCTGCGCGGCTATGAGGAGTGCGTGGAACTGCTCCTCCGTCACGGGGCCCGCATTGACGTGGACACGCGAATGTGTTTTCCTGGCGCCCACACACGCAACTGCGAGGAGAGCGGCAAGTGGCACAACAATGTGGACGATGTCAGCGAACGGCTCAACACGAAGCTGCAAAATGCCCTCTACTATGCCATCGATGGGGATCAGTATAATGTGTTAAGCCTGCTTACCCAGAAGATGGAGGAGCCGTGGATTCCCTTTAGGGTGAAGAAGCCGCTGCTGCACCTGGCCTGCGAGCGCGGTGCCTGGAACTGTGTTCAGCAGCTGGTTGTCACGAGGTCGGAGGAGATCAATCTCATCATGGACGAGTATTATCCCATACACCATGCAGTCCTGCATGATGGACGCTTCCTAGAGCTGCTCATCCATCAGGGCGCTGTCACCACTGTGAGGACTTGCACTCAACAGATGACCCTGCTGCATGTGGGTAAGTTTCGAGGCGAATAAAACAACTAGAACTATTTAAAATTGTAATTTATTTTGTTCAGTTATCTTTGCCGCTCGCAAATCGGCCGAGGACACTTTGGCCACCCTTCGAATTCTGCTGGAGCGTGGCTGCAAGGAGCTAATCAATGCACCGGACTCGCTGGGCAATACCCCACTGCATGCCTTGATTGTACGTTATGCTCTAGAGGAGGCCCGCTATGGCTACGACAAGTGGAGCAAATGGGATGTGCTGCATCTGGTGCGATTCCTGCTGCAGAATGGAGCCAAGCAGTCCATCAATCAGGCGGGTAACAGTGCCATGGCCTGCGTGTTTCGCCATCTGCGTGACTGGGAGGTCTGCTACGAGCTCCTTAACATGCTCATCAAGGAGGATGGTAAGCAGGAAGGACTTAAAATAAATTCAATTAAACATGGAACTTGTTTTAGGCGATCCCAACATCGTGGGACGGGATGGATCCGTACCCATAATGGTGCTGCTAGTGCCGCTCATCAACAAGGATCACCTACATCACTTTACGCACTCCATGAAGGTTTGCTATCTGAACTGCATACGCATGCTGCTTCAGCATGGAGCCAATCCCAATTGCTCCTATCGCGCCAACCTCAAGCCGCTTCACGTGCTCGTGTTTACAGTGAGCGAGAATTTTACCTTGAATTGCGATGCCCAGAAGCGCATCAACTTCGACTTCATCAAGAACATATTGCTGCTGCTGCTGCAGCACGGCCTGGACTGCAACAAGACATATCAGCACATTCTGCAGGCGGTGATGGATATGGTGCATAATGTGCGCACCTGCCACGACATGGAGTGCGTCTACGAACTGACGCTGACGCTCATCCAGTATGGGGCCGATCCCAATATCGTTTTAATCGGCAAATCAACGCCGGGCATTGCCATCTTCTCCAGCGAGCTGGCCACATTCCGCAGCTCGTTTCGAACCAACTCGTGCTACCTGCTCTTCTACTACATCATCCTAATAACCAAGAAGGAGTTCATTCTGGCGGATCCTCTGGCGATATACACCCGAGTCATTCATTTGTTCTACCTGACCATGGATCACGAGCCGCTTTTCAATTGCCTGAAGTCACTGCACAATTTCTATGTGGCCCAGGTGCCCAGCAAGAAGACAGAGCAGCTGATAGCCTTGATCTCGTCCCTTTACCGGAGGCCGCGCAGTCTGAAGGAGCTCTCCCGATGGACCATCTACGAGGCGATGAACCGCAAGCTGGCGCAGAACATCAATCGATTGAACCTGCCGGGACAACTCAAGGAATATGTACTGCAGTTCGAGAGGTAGCGGGTGGAAGAGACGGACCAATGAATCCCAATGAATCCGCGAACTAGAGTCAATCAATCCACTTACCAGCTGTTGCCCCCCCAAGGCTATGTACTGTTTAATATGCATATTCACCTTATTCGGGCCAGTTCCGGGGGGCAACAGTAACGAGGAATTTACTATTGTTATTCAGCTTCAATCAACACACACAGACACAATTTTTTGAAATTTGCTTATACACTTTAACCCAGGATTTCCCCTTAAAAGAGACTAGACTCTCTCACTCTCTCGAGGTTTTTGCGCCATTGTTCAAGGAGAGACTAAATCTTTTAAAAGTGAAGCTTGGGCTTTGAGTGATACAAGAACCAACCTTGCAAGCTCTGATTTAAATACCTTTTTCTTTGAATCCGCTTTACATATTTTATCCCAAAGATTGTTGCTGATTTCAAACCGAAGAAACGACGAGAAACCAATGGAAATATTGTCAAAACAAATACACGCGCAATTTCTTTGATACGAATCTATATACTACTATATATATTGTGAACGCTCATCTATGTTTTTTGTAATTATATCTAAACGTACAACTTTTGTGAACTGTCTGTAATGCGCTTTACGCTCCACGCTATAAACCGCCTCCAGCACCAACCCAACCCCTCTCATATGCTGCATAAGTTATAGGAAATAAACTTAAGGCTGTTTTTTTGACAAACATTTCGGGTGTTTTAGAATATTGTATATTTGGAGGAGACAATGTGTAATTATTATCATTATTATTATGATTATTATTATTATATATTATTACATATTATATATTGTTGCTAAACCGTTGTTAATCTCTGTTAAACTGTAATGTCATTTTTAAACGAATTGGTGAACGCTATCGATCAATAAATAAGCATGAACTTTCACACAAAGCCGGCAAGTAGCAAAGTCCAGGTCATTGAACCTCCCAGGACACCTCTAAAAACAAATAAACAAACTCCAAAAACACACAACAAGTTGCCTTAGCAACAAACACAAGGCAACCTAGAGGAAATCATTGGGGAAATTGGAAATTCGGAGCATTTCTTCACGTACCGAGTCCAGTGAGGAGGAGTCTCCACCATGTACAGTCGCAAGCTGGAGCGGATGCACCGCCCAGCATCGGACATCACCAAGTATGACAACGAGCCCTATATGAAGAATCCCCTGCTCAAGTTCCGCATCAGCGAGGTGCACGAGCGCCGGCACTTTCAGTTCCTTAAGCAAAAGGCAGCGGATGTCAAGGTGCGTGTGGCGCGCCAGCAATGGCAGCCAGAGCCGGAGATGCGCCTGCTGCCGCAGTCTCACTACGAGGATAATCTGCGGCGGGAGGTGCGCAAGATTGTGGTGCCGCCGATGCTGAAGCGAACAGAGGCCAAGATCCTCAGCTTCGCTTCGGAGCGGCTAAAGAACAAGTATCCGGAGCTGGTCAAGGCCTACATGATGGATGTCCATGCGGAATTCAATCGTTTGATGAAGGTATACAGCATGAAGAATATTCTACGCCACCCGGAGTTCCCCGACGAGGATCCCTCCCTGTTCGAGCTGCCGCGTGCCGACATCAATACCCGGCGACCTGGGCGCACGCAGAACTACAGCAACTTTCTGGAGAACCGGCGGCGTATTGCCCAGAAACTGCTTATCCTGCAGCTGCCGCTCAGAGCCATCCTCAACCTGTCCGTCGGGGATTTGCCTAACCTGGCCTGCATCTTCAACTACGTGCTATCTACAGGCGCCCTGCAGCAGCAGCTAGGTCTGGGCGGAAGAGAGGCGCTCTCCTACAAGTTCTATCGCAAGTACATACAGAACCAGCTGGACAAGGTGAACACCTTCCTGCGCTGGATCTGGTATCCCAAGATTGTGGCCGTGCTGCGCAAGCTGATGCGCAAGCGGGTGATGCCGATGAGCACCTGGAAGCGGTCCTGGAACGCTCTGGAGGGTCTGATGAATCGCGAGATGACCAACATGAAAATTCGCACCTTCGAGGAGATGTACCGCATGTGCGGCCATCCGCGCACTATGCCTATGCTGCGCATGACCATGGAGTGGTCCGAGTTCTCGGCCGATCTGGACATAAGGCCCAATGTGTGGAGCGTCATGAGGACTTTTGCTGAAATTGCCACCGAGATCTCAATGGTGGGCTACAGGATGGAGCCACTGCAGCCCCAGGTGCAGACATTGACTTCGATGGCCATGTACGCCAAGGTGAACGATTACCTCAAGATTGAGATGAACGAAAACTATCTCAAGGATGTCATATATAAGGTGAGTGGATTTAAGAGGGTATTAAATGCCAGAAGCTTGCAGAATTCCTGTAGAACCAGAGAATCCTTTTGGAATATATTTAGTAACTCGAAAGGATATATTTCTTATAAGGAACTATTCACTCAATTCCCAGGTCCAGGACATAATAATGGGCACTTATGCCGAGGTGAACAAGTACATCGAGGACTTTCGCAGTAAGTACTATGGGCTGTACTCCTTGCAGGAGCGCGACGCCCTCAATTTCTTCCTGTCCGAGCCGCATGAGTTCGAGGAGTACTTCGCCCGGATCGACAAATACTATGGATTCATCAATATGCTGCGTAGCGAGCCCGGCACCGAGTACTTTGTCATGGCCCTCATATACAACGAGCCAGCGATCAGTGGCCTCCGCTCCTTGGCCGAGAACCTGATCGAAGAGATCACCACGATCATCATACGGGAGCATATAAAAGCCGAGGTGGAGATCTGTGACGAGTTCGAGAAGATCAAGTACCGGGCCCTGGAGATACCCAAGTCCACGGAGGAGTTGCTCGAGAGCGCGGACTACATGATCCATGTGAAGAAGGACAAGATTGCCGAACTGACCGACCGCATTCAGTATTGCCTGCAGATGGGCACCAACATTGTGGAGCTGACCGAGATGTCCAAGTACCACTTTGATCTGACCATCAAGACGATCAACTGGATCAAGGACATCAACGATATCTGTGACTATAATGCCTCGCAGCAGGAGCAATACAAGTTCACCTTTGAGGAGCATCTGCAGGAGGTCATCAAGAAGCTGAACACGGACATCGATGAGCTGCTGCCCAAGCTGGCGGTCATCGATGACATGAGTCGGCCGGACAAGTTCCGTGACAGCTACATAATCCTCCAGAACTTTATTGATCAGCTGAAGACCTTTGACGACTATGTGGCGTGGATTAACAAGGAAGAGAAGCTTTTCAAGATTGCCCAGACCATGTATCCCACGCTGGAGGTGATCAAGACGTTTGTGTATCCCTTCGCCGAGCTTATGAAGTAGGTATTCGAGTTCTTGTAGATGTGGTTTCCGTACTAATCCCATTCCCAGGTGCTGCATTGAGTGGCAGCGGTATTTAAGCGTGTGGAATGACGGACCTTTCGAGTACCTGGAGCCGCGATTTGTGGAGACCACCACGGACGACTACCTGAAGGAGTTCCAGAAGAATCAGAAGTACTACAGGGTCAAGATAAAGCAGGATCTCATCGACAATCCAGTGTGCAAGTTTAAGGTGAGATTCAAAAGAAAATACTTTATGATGTCTGCCACTTTTTTCTGTTACCGCAGGGTCAAACAGAGGATCCCGACCCAGCCAAGCATCCTGTGCCGCTGCGCCTCTGCACCTCCATGATCCAGTCCATCAAGGACTTCACCACCGGCGTCTTCATTGTGAATACCATGTGCAATCCAGCCTTGAGGAAGCGTCATTGGAAGGAAATGTCAGAAATTGCAGGCTTTGATGTTACCCCCGATGCCGGGACTACCTTGCGCAAGATCCTCAACTCGGGCCTGGACCCAATCCTGGACCAGTTCGAGATTATCAGCATTGGGGCCAACAAGGAGCTGCAGCTGTGGAATGCCCTGCAGGCCATGATTAAGGAGTGGGAGAGCAGGGTCTTTCCCTACGGCCCGTACAAGGAGACGGGCGTGCAGATCCTGAGCAGCCTGGACGACATCCAGGCTTTGTTGGATGACCACATCCTCAAGACGCTGGCCATGCGTGGCTCTGCCTTCATGAAGCCCTGCGAGGAGGAAGTACGAGCTTGGTACGAAAAGATCATGCGGGTCAACGAGACGCTGGACCAGTGGGGGAAGGTGCAGGCCAACTACTTGTATTTGCTGCCCATCTTCTCTTCCAAGGACATTGTGGCCCAGATGCCCGAGGAGGGGCGTCTGTTCACCATTGTGGAGCAAACGTACACCCGTAACATGGGCCTGGTGCTACGCCAGCCTTTGGTGATGGAAACGGCGCCAGTCGCCGGACTCCTGGAGTCCCTGCAGAAGGCTAACGAGCTGCTCGAGGATATAGCCACCGGCGTAAGCAATTATCTGGAGAAGAAGCGCCTCTATTTTCCGCGCTTCTTTTTCCTGGCCAACGACGAGATGCTGGAGATTCTCTCCGAGACCAAGGATCCGCTCCGCGTGCTGCCGCATCTCAGCAAATGCTTCGAGGGCATCAACAGCCTGCAGTTTGACTCGGCCAAGAATGTCTTGGCCATGTTGAGCAGCGACAAGGAGTCAATTGACTTTATAGAACCAGTCTCGACGGCTGCTGCTGGAGGTAGTGTGGAGAAGTGGCTCATTGGCGTGGAGGATGAGATGCTCAAGGCTGTGCGCTACCAAAACGAGCTCTCCTTTGCCCACTATCCCAAGCTAAAGCGTCACGAGTGGGTGCTCGAGTGGCCACAGATGACGGTGTTGGCCATCTCCCAGGTGTACTGGGCCGCCCGTGTCCACAGCTGCCTGCGTCGCACCTTTGGCGGCAACCAGGTCGTCATGCAGAACTTTTTCCAAGAGGTGGCCAAGGAGCTGACAGACGTGGTGACTCTGGTTCGGTCGCCCAAGATCAGCAACCTCAACAGAATCAGCATCAAGTCGCTGATTGTGATCGATGTGCATGCCAAGGACGTAACGGAGGAGCTAATCCGGATGAAGATCAGCAGCGAGTTTGACTTTCAGTGGCTGGCCCAGATGCGCTACTACTGGGAGGACGAGAAGACCTGGGTGCGGATTATCAATGCCACGGTGCCCTTTGCCAACGAGTATTTGGGAAACTCGGACCGGCTGGTGATCACCCCGCTGACGGATCGCTGCTACCGTACCCTGGTGGGTGCCTATCAGCTGCACTTGAACGGAGCACCCGAAGGGCCAGCGGGCACGGGCAAGACGGAGACCACCAAGGATCTGGCCAAGGCTTTGGCTGTTCAGTGCAAGGTTTTCAACTGCTCCGATGGCTTGGACTACAAGGCCATGGGCAAGTTCTTCAAGGGTCTGGCCTCGTGCGGAGCCTGGGCCTGCTTCGATGAGTTCAATCGTATCGAGCTGGAGGTGCTCTCCGTGGTGGCCCAGCAGATTCTGCTCATCATCCAAGCGGTTCGCGGCAATGTGACCAAGTTCATGTTCGAGGGCACCGAGCTTACGCTTAATCCCGCCTGCTACGTGTGCATCACCATGAATCCCGGCTATGCAGGCCGATCGGAGCTGCCCGACAATCTGAAGGTTCTATTCCGCTCGGTGGCCATGATGGTGCCGGATTATGCCATGATTGGTGAGATCTCCTTGTACTCCTACGGATTTGTGGATGCCCGCAAGCTGGCTGTGAAAATTGTGACCACATACCGTCTGTGCTCGGAGCAGCTGTCCAGCCAGAACCACTACGATTACGGCATGCGAGCCGTGAAGACGGTGCTTTCCGCCTGCGGCAACATCAAGAAGCAGTTCCCCGACGAAGTTGAGGATATACTGCTCCTGCGCAGTCTCATCGATGTGAATCTGCCCAAATTCCTGTCGTTCGATGTGCCGCTCTTCGAAGGCATCATCTCGGATATCTTTCCGGGCATCAAGTTGCCATATATCGACTACACCCTGGTGGAGGAGGAGTTCAAGCGAGTCTGCGCCGAGGAGGTGCTGGAGCCGGCGCCCAGCTTCCTCACCAAAGTCATTCAGACGTACGAGATGATCATCGTCAGGCATGGCTTCATGCTGGTGGGTGAGCCACTGGCGGGCAAGTCCAAGACCCTGCAGGTCCTGGCCAAGGTGATGTCAGCGCTAAAGATCAAGGCTCCGCAGAAGAGCAGCTACTTCCAGCATGTCCAGATGGGCATCATGAATCCCAAGTCCATAACCATGAACCAGCTGTATGGTTCCTTTGATCCCATCTCCTACGAGTGGACCGACGGTTTGGTGGCAAAGATTTTCCGTGACTTTGCCATGACCCCCACACCGGACAGGAAATGGGTGAGTCCTGGCTTTGATAGGGATTAGGTTCTATCCTACAAATCTGTCTCTCTACCAGGTCATCTTTGACGGCCCTGTGGATGCCGTTTGGATCGAGAACATGAACACTGTGCTGGATGACAACAAAAAGCTGTGCCTCACCAGCGGCGAAGTCATCACCATGACCCACGAGATGTCTATGGTTTTTGAGGTGATGGATTTGGCGCAGGCCTCTCCAGCCACCGTCTCCCGTTGCGGCATGATCTACATGGAGCCCTCCACGCTGGGTTGGCGAGCCTTTGCCAATAGCTGGCTGAAGAAGGCGGATCCCCGTTGGGCGGATGAAGAGGGAGTGGAATATGTGTTGGCTTTACTGTCCTGGCTGATGGTGCCGGTGGGTATCAGTCTCGGTAACTGGAACTGCTGAAGCTATACCTCCTCAACTCCCTTTTTGCAGTGCCAAACTTTTATCCGGAGGAATTGCAGTCAGTTTGTGAAGCCAGGGGAGTTCAACTGCATGCTGACCACCCTCGATCTTTTCGAGATGCAAATAGCAGAGGCCATCGAAGAAAATCCGGATGATTATCAAAAGTACTTGACGAGCTACTTCCAGGCGGCCATCCTGTTTGCATTGGTCTGGGGAGTGGGTGGAGTGCTGGACACGGCTTCCAGGGAGAAGTTTGATGTGTTTTTGAGAAAGGTATAGGAAAGAATAGAAGGTATAATCACAATTATTATAGGTTTTTCTTTTATCCATAGCTCTGGGACAACGATGACGCACCTCTACCCGAGCCCCTGGGCAAGATGGAGATAACTCCGCCCACCGAGGGTCAGCTAGTGGACTATGTGTTCTTGTACAAACAGCGCGGAGCCTGGCGCAACTGGCCTGAACTGGCCAAACGCATGGATGTGGAGGAGACAAAGACGGGCGTGATTGTGCCCACGGTGGACACGGCCCGCTATATCCACCTGCTGAAGATGCACGTAGAGCACAAGAAACGGATGCTATTGGTGGGTCCCACGGGCACTGGCAAGACGGTTTACATTCAGAACTATCTCATGAACAAGCTGGACAAGGAGGTATACGAAACAGGCTTCATCACCTTCACCGTGATGATTTCAGCGAATCAGTGCCAGGAGCTGCTCATCTCCAAGCTGCAGAAGTGGAAGCGCGGCATCTATGGTCCGCCCAAGGGCATGCAGAGTGTGCTCTTCGTGGACGATATGAACATGCCGGTGAAGGAGGTTTATGGTGCCCAGCCGCCGCTGGAGCTGCTCCGCCAGTTCTTTGACTACGGCCATGTCTACGATCTGCGCGACAGTTCCAAGGTGTTCATCCACAACGTGCTGATCATGGCCGCCTGTGGCCTGCCTGGAGGCAGTCGCCAGGATGTGTACGCCCGCTTCCTGAACCACTTCAATGTCTACTCGATCAACACTTTTAGTGAGGACAGCATGTTCCGGATATTCCTGAACGTGGCTTTGAATGGATTCCGGCGGTCTGGCCATGGTCAGGATGTATTCGTGGTCACCAACCAGATAGTGAGTGCCACGCAGAGCATCTACAAGAGCGTGCAGTCGGAGATACGAGCTACGCCCGCCAAGTCCCACTATATATTCAATCTGCGGGACATCTCGCGGGTGGTCACAGGATGCACCTTGGTACGGAAGGAGTCGGTCTCCGACAAGAAGATCTTTGTGCGTGTATGGTACCATGAGGCCATGCGGGTATTTTACGATCGCCTGGTGGACGACATCGATCGCAAGTGGATGTTTGAGAAGCTGAACGAGTGCCTCAAGAGCAGTTTTAAGGACAAAGTGGAGACGGTTTTCGAGCGTTATTGTGTCCAGGTGAGATAAGGCAATAAAAACTCCTACTTCCAACCCTTCCTCCTTTTTTCCTAGGGCAAAGACGAGCAAGTCTTCACCATGGAAGCCGCCACCAGTGTCTTCTTTGGCATGTACTTTGACGAGGACAGCGTGCCGGATGAGCGGCGCTACGAGGAGGTGCCTAGTACGGAGGTCTTCCTTAACCTGGCCCTGGCTAGCCTGGCGGACTACAACTCCACGCGCCGCTCCAAGATGGACATCACCCTGTTCACCTTCGCCCTGCAGCATTTGAATCGCATCTGCCGCATTATCTCCATTCAGGGAGCCAGTGCTTTGCTCATTGGCCTGGGCGGCTCGGGTCGCCAGTCGCTGACCAAGCTGGCCACCAATATGGTTCAGACCTCATTCTTCCAGCCGGAGATCACCAAGAGCTATGGGGCCAATGAGTGGCATGACGACATCAAGGCAATCCTCAAGGAGGCGGGCGGCTTGAACAAGCACACCACCTTTCTGATCACCGAAAACCAGATCAAAATGGAGCTTTTCCTCCAGGATATTGACTGCCTGCTAAACCAAGGCGAAGTGCCCAACATTTTCCCGATCGACGAAAAGCAGGAGGTTTTGGAAATGGTACGCCTGGCTGCCCAGGGAGGCAATCGCAACATCGATGTCTCGGCTCTGCAGGTCTTCTCCTTTTTCGTGGAACGCTGCAAGCAAAAGCTGCACATTGTGCTCAGCTTTTCGCCCATTGGGGATGCGCTGAGGACGCGGGTGCGCCTGTATCCCTCGCTGGTGAATTGCTGCACCATCGACTGGTACGACAGCTGGCCGGAGGAGGCCCTGCAAATGATAGCCAAGATGTCGCTGGTGGATGTGAATGTGCCCAGCGAGGACATCAAGCTGGCCATCATGGATACCTGCCAGTATTTCCACACGACGGCGGCGAGGGTTACGCGCTCCTTCTGCCAAATGTCTGGGCGTCACATCTACCAGACGAACGCCTCCTTCATCGAGCTGATCCGCTCCTTCCAGACCCTCATCGAACGCAAGCAGAACGAGACAATGCTGGCCAAGATGCGTTATATTGGAGGTTTGGACACCCTGGCCCAGGCAGCGGCTGCCATCTCGATTATGCAAAGGGATCTCAATGCACTGCAGCCCAAACTGGTGGCCCTGGCGGAGGCCTCGCGGAAGATGATGCTGGAAATCAACAAAGAAACGCTGGCCGCCAGCGCCGCCGCCGAGCAGGTGAAGCGCGACGAGGAGGTGGCCTCCGTGCAGGCCGAGGCTGCTCAGGTCCTAAAGCACGACTGCGAACGGGATCTGGCCAAGGCCATACCTGTGCTGGAAGATGCCCTGAGCGCCTTGAATACCCTCAAGCCAGCGGACATAACGCTGGTCAAGTCGATGAAGAATCCGCCACCGGTTATCAAGCTCGTGATGGCCGCTGTCTGTGTGATCAAGGGGATTCCGGCGGAGCGTATACCAGATCCATCCAGCGGAAAGATGGTGCAGGACTACTGGGGACCCAGCAAGCGTCTCCTGGGCGAGATGAACTTCCTGCCGGCTCTGAAGGAGTTCGACAAGGACAACATTCCGCCGGACATCATGAAGCGCATCCGCAAGGAGTTTATACCGAACAAGGACTTTGATCCCAAGGTGGTGGCCAAGGCGTCGAGTGCCGCCAAGGGTTTGTGCCAGTGGATCATAGCCATGGATATGTACGACGAAGTGGCCAAGGTGGTGGCACCCAAAAAGGCCAAGCTGGCCGGGGCGGAGAAGGAGTACGCCGACACCATGGAGTTCCTGGCCGAGAAACGTGCCCTGGCCCTGGCCCTCGAGGAGAAGGTGGCCCAACTGAACATCGAGCTGGACAAGGCCAACGAGGAGATGCAGAAGACGGAGGAGCATGCCGAAAGCTGTCGCAATAAGCTTCTACGGGCGGAGGCCCTCATCGGGGGACTAGGCGGCGAGAAGTCTCGCTGGAACAAGGCGGCCGAGGATCTGCAGGAGCTGTACGATCACCTGCCCGGCGACGTGCTCATCTCCTGCGGCATCATCGCCTACCTGTCGGCGGTGAATCTCCAGTATCGCAGCGATTGCGTCAACGATTGGTTCAAGAAGGTCACCGAACTGAAGATTCCCTGCTCGGAGAAGTACTCCATCACGAACGTCCTGGGTCTGGAGGTCACCATCCAGAACTGGCAGCTGGACGGCCTGCCCAACGATGACTTCTCCACGGAGAACGCCATTATCTCGGCCAACTCCAGCCGCTACAGCCTGTTCATCGATCCGCAGGCACAGGCCAACAACTGGCTAAAGAACATGGAGCGCAAGAACCGGTTGAACTGCGTCAAGTTCAACCAGGGCAACTACATGAAGGTCATTGCGGAGGCCCTGGAGTACGGCACGCCAGTGATCATCGAGAATGTGCAGGAGGAGCTGGAGGTGCCGCTGGATCCCATTCTGATGCACCAGACCTTCGTCCAGGGCGGCGTCAAGCTGATCAGTTTGGGCGAGACGGTGGTGCCGGTCAACCCCAACTTTCGCCTATACATGACCTGCAACTTGCGGAATCCGCACTTCCTGCCGGAGACCTTTAACAAGGTGACGGTCATCAACTTTGCGCTCACTCAAAATGCTTTAATGGACCAGCTACTCAGCATTGTGGTGGCCAAGGAGCGGCCCGATCTGCAGGAGCTGCGCATCATGCTAACCACCGAGGCGGCCGCCAATAAGGGAGCTCTCCGGGATGCGGAGAACATGATCCTGAAGACGCTAAGCGCCGGCGGCGACATTCTGGAGAACGAGGCGGCCATTCAGATACTGGCCGAGTCGAAGGGTCTGTCCAAGGACATTGTGGAGAAGCAGGAGGCCGCCAAAGAGACTTCCGCCAAGATCGAGGCCTTCCGGCTCAACTATAAGCCCGTGGCCGTGCACTCCTCCATCCTGTACTACTCCATCACAGATCTGCCCAACATCGATCCCATGTACCAATTCTCCCTTAACTGGTACATCAATCTCTACATGTACTCCATTGAGACGGCCAACAAGTCCAAGGATCTGCCGCGTCGCATCAAATTTTTGGTGGACGGCTTCACTCGAAATCTGTACAACAATGTCTGCCGCTCGATCTTCGAGAAGGACAAGCTGCTCTTCTCCTTTATTCTCACCGCACGGATTATGCTGGGCACTGGCCAGGTGGAGATGCGGCACTTTGCTCACCTGGTCACCAATGCCAAGGAGTCTACTAATATACCGCCCAATCCGAATCCCAGCTGGATAACGGAGACCGTCTGGCTCAATGTGCTCCGCCTGGAGGAGCTCAAGGAGCTGAAGGGCATCGTGGCTCATTTTCAGAATAATCTTACGGCCTGGCAGGCCATCTACGACCATTCCTCGCCGGAAACGGCTCCGCTGCCTGCTCCCTGGCACGACAAGACCACCGCCTTTGAGAAGATGATTGTGCTGAAGGCTTTGCGGCCGGACTCTGTCTTCCTGGCGGTGCGCATCTACATTGCCCAGTGCATTGGGGATCAGTATGTGACCCCACCGGAGTTTGATATATCCAAGTCGTATGCCGATTCCACAGCTTTGACTCCACTGGTGTTTATTCTCTCGCCCGGTGCTGATCCTTTGGGTTCTCTGCTGGCCTTTGCCGAGAAAATGGGCCAGGAGGAGACTTTCCAGAGCATTTCCCTGGGCCAGGGTCAGGGTCCCATAGCCACGGCCTTGATCAAGAATGCCCAGGAGATGGGCTATTGGGTGTGCCTGCAGAATTGTCACCTGGCGGCCTCCTGGATGCCCTACCTGGAGTATCTCTGGGAAAACATGGACACTTTTAATACCCAAGGTTGGAGTCTCGCCAAGGTGATTTTAGGAAGCTTTCTTTAGAGGATATTTTTTTATTTCCTTACAGCCAACTTCAGGATTTGGCTAACAGCCTATCCCACGCCCCAGTTCCCGGTCACCATACTCCAGAACGGCGTCAAGATGACCAATGAACCGCCCACCGGGTTGAAGGAGAACCTAATGCGTTCCTACAACTCGGAGCCCATCAATGACTACGAGTTCTATACGGGCTGTGCCAAGCAGGATCGCGCCTTCACCAGGCTGCTCTACGGCATCTGCTTCTTCCATGCCGTGGTCCAGGAGCGTCGCAAGTACGGGCCCCTGGGCTGGAACATAGCCTATGGATTCAATGAGTCCGATCTGCAGATCTCTGTGCTGCAGCTGAGTGTAAGTTGGTGGAGGGTGTGGGGTAAGAATCTCTAGTAATTCTCCGTCTACTCCCATCTTCAGATGCTCTTAAACCAATACGAACATGTGCCCTATGATGCCATCTCCTATCTGACCAGCGAGTGCAACTATGGCGGCCGGGTCACGGACAACTGGGATCGGCGGGCCATAGTCACGATCCTGGCGGACTTTTGCAATGCCCAGGTGGTGCTGGACAATCGTTATAGGTTTGCCAGCGACGATCGTTATATTCTGCCGCGCAAGACGGAGCACCGCGAGATCCTGCGGTATTTGGACGAGAATATACCTTCGCTGGCGCCACCTGAGGTGTACGGGCTGCATGCCAATTCAGGCATCACCAGGGATATGCAAACGACCAAGACCCTGCTGGATTCGATGATCCTGCTGCTGGGCAGCGAGGCGGCGGGCTCTGCTGGAGCCGGGGTGAGTGTGGAGCAGGTCATACTGGACACAATCAAGCAGATTGAGCGCGAGATGCCGGCGGACATGGACATTGAGGCGGCGGCAGAGAAGTATCCCGTTGACTATAATGAATCCATGAACACGGTGGTGGTACAGGAAATGGAGCGCTTCCTCAAGCTGCAGAAGGAAATCCGTGCCTCCTGCCGAGACCTGGCCATGGGCATCAAGGGTATTATAGTGATGACTCCAGACCTTGAGAACGTGATGACGGCCATGAAGTTCAATCGGATCCCAACCAAGTGGATGTCCAAATCGTATCCGTGTTTGAAACCCCTAGGCTCCTATGTCCAGGATCTGTACAAGCGGCTTAACTGGCTGCACGACTGGCACCATCATGGCAAGCCGCCTACTTTCTGGCTGTCAGGGTTCTTCTTTACCCAGGCTTTCCTTACCGGTGCCATGCAAAACTTTGCCCGCAAGTACAAGATACCCATCGACACTCTGACCTTCGACTACGATGTGCTCAAGGTGGAGACGAAGGCGTCGCCACCGGATGATGGCGTGTACTGCAATGGCTTGTTCCTGGAGGGTGCCCGCTGGGATTGGCGCGACAGTGTGCTGGTGGAGCAGTTCCCCAAGGTGCTTGTCTACGCCATGCCCGTGATTTTCTTTCGTCCGGTGGCCATTCTGGACTTAACCGATGGCTCGCGTTATCGCTGTCCGCTCTACAAGACTGGCGAGCGCAAAGGCACGCTCTCCACAACGGGTCACTCCACGAACTATGTGGTCCCGCTGCTGCTGAATACCCATGCCAAGCCCTCGCACTGGGTCAAGCGGAGCGTGGCGCTCATATGCCAGACCAATGACTAAGCCCAAGCAGTCTGTTTTCCTGCATGTGATGAATCCCATGTGGGGAAGGTTGTTTTTATCACTGTTGGTTTTTTTTTTTTGTTTAAGCTATTAAAGTAGATTATATATTTTATAAACTTTTTAAAATTTTGCGAATAACTTTGTTTTTTGCTCATTTGCGAGCCAGTGCCTCCAGGATCCAGCCTCTACCAGATCGCCTGGGATTCCATTTTAAATACAAATATCCCCCCAAATAAAGCCTTGCAACTTCGTCATCTCAGTGAGTGTTTATTAAACCATTTTAAAAATTAATATATGCGCACTTATGTGTTACACGATTATAAATTCACAGCTTCAGAAACGCTTTTTCAATTCAACAAAAAGTTAAGCCGTGGACTTTGGGGCTTCAGAAGCTCCCATCCCACGGCGGGGTCTTTGGAGGCACACAGCATCACTGCGTGCGGCAGCGCAGTGTGTCCAGGGCAGCAGCGGCGGCTTCTCCATCGCCATTGGAGCCGTCGGAACTGTTGCTGTTACTGCGGCGCCGCGGCTGCTGCTGCTGCGAGCCCGGATGGGCGGGGCTGGAGTCGTTGCTTGTGGTGGTGCTGCTGCTGCTGTTGCTGTTATGTTGATGTAGCTGGTTGGTGTCCTGCTCCTGCTCGGAATGTCGAGCACGACGATTTCTACGGGGACCCGGGCTGGACTCCAGGAACTGACGGATAAAGTATTGGAACTGATTGATGTCAAAATCGGTGTCTATGACATTGCGCCGGAAATTACGCTGAAGCACTAGCTTCAGAGTGTCTTCATTGGGAACCTTTATGGGGGGAAAAGCAAATTCTTGGGGTAATCTTGGTTTAATATACATTTGTATGGAACCTACGCTGCCTGGCCCATTGGGCGTCCAGATCTTGACCTTATGCTCTAGACCCGAGGTGGCTAGCACTGGCATCCAAGGATGCGGCTCCAGACAGTTGACCACACCGGCATGGTCACCCTTCATGAAGTTGACAATAGCCGCACTCTGCTTCTCCCAGAAGAATATGTTGCCGCAATCGCTGCCACTGACAATGTACTCGGAACGCGGGCCAAAGAAGTTGACGCCCTTGATGGTGCGACTGTTGCTGTGGAGGAGGAGCATTAAGTGGAGGCTAATTGGAGGAGGAGAACAGCTTACATGTGACCCTCGTAGCAGTTGAGGGTCTCACCCTCCGTGTAGTTCCTGCTGTCGTACAGATAGATGCCCGCATCGCTGTAGGAGGCCAGGATCTCGCTCCCGCTGTGATTGTAAACGGCACACGTAATCTGCGTGATCGCGGTCTGGGCACAAACGAGAAGAGAGAAAAGAGATTAACTTGGCCTGGCCTGGCGATCGGCACATGCTCACATCCTGAAGCCGGCGCGGAGTCATCTCATGGACGGGCTTCGTCAGCTTGCGCTTGTCATAGACCCGCAAATTGTCATCCGATCCGCTGACGCAGAACTCGGGAGCAAACGGATGATGCGCAATGCTAAACAGTCGCACCCGGTCTCGCCGTCTTCCACCACGCTCATTCCGGTTCTGGTGGACGCAACGCAGCATTGTGGTGGCCTCGGTGCTGGTGCGCAAATCAAAGTGCTTGATGGCACCATCTTCACCGGCGCTCATCACCTCGTGCCGACTGAGCGGCACCACAACGATCTTGTGCACTGCATCCGTGTGGGAGTAAAGGCGTGTGGGTTTGGTAATGCCCCCCGATGGCGGAACAACGGCTCGACGCACTTGACCATCCCGGCTAGCGGAGACTATGTCCAAGCAGCCGGCGCTGTCAATGAACTTGGTCTGGAAGATATTCATGCTGTGACCGGAGCGGAACTTGTGACGCGGCTCGTTCTTCGCCCAGTCCCAGACAATGATGTTCAGGTCATCGGAGCCAGAGCACACCAGGTCGCCGGAGCGATTGAAGTTGAGACAGTTGACGCAACCCGAGTGCTGGGACATCTCGTGCAGCAGCGACATCTGCTCAATCACCAGTCGGGAGCCATAGTAGCCCTGGGCAAAGCTATGGGTTGACGTGTGACCGCCACGCCAACCAATCCGGTTGATGATATTGTGCTCCCGCTGCATCAGCTCCTGGACGCTGATCCAGCTGTAGGCAGGCTTGCACTTGCACATGACCTCAGTGACGGCAAAGTCGATGGTCTCACGATCGGCAGCATTGGGCTCCGTGTCATGGAACTCTACCCCGTCGTCCTCCTGCTAAAGGGGAGGATTAATAACGGATAATCTCTATACTGGTGGTCACCTGCTCACCTCAATGGTGGAATCGCTATCGCTGGAGAAATCATACTGACGCCAGATGGCATTACTGTCGCTGGAAGAGCTGGAAGAAGAAGCATCGTCTGCAATTTCCACTTCTTGGACTGCCTCCTCCACCTCGCTTTCGGCGTCAGCGGTCTCCAGCAGCGGCGACGCCTCGCCTGGATCGTCGGCATCGCTGCTGCTGTCGCTACTGGAGTCGGTAACCGAGGCCAAGAGCTCTACGCTAATGCGGCGATAGGAGCGTGTACGGGGGATATGGCGCTGGTTGAAACGCGGCGAGGTGTCAGAGTCAGTTAGTGGTAATAGCTCTGCCACCTGCTCATGCGAGGTGTCAGAGTCAATAGGTGGCAATAGCTGTGCCACCTCCTCCTCTTCATAATCGCTATCGTTGGTGGCGGCACTGCTGGTGCGGCTTCTCTTGTTGTTGGCCACCACGGCAACGGCGGCCTCTGAGGATAACTGGCACATCTGGTAAGAGGGGCCTGCCACCTCTTCCTCTGGCGTAGCCTCTGGCTGCTCCTGCTTATCCTCCAAAGCTGTGGCCCGCTCCTTGCTCATCATATCGCCCTTTTCGTTGTTATTGTTGTTGTTCCCGACGCTGTCTACGCTGACAGATTTCTCCTCGCTGTGGCCCAAAAAATCAATTGGTTATCCAAGCCGAAGAAGAAGAGCTTCTTGCACATGCCTGTCACTTACCCAATCTGCTGCTGTTGCTGCTGCTGCGCCTCAGCCTCGACATGTCCGCTCGTGTCGCCGGAATCCGCATTGCGGCGCTGGCGCTTGCGGGCGGACGCCGCCCCAGTGGCCACACTGTCCTCGTCCACGTCCATCGATGGTGGCTACGGCACGAGCTTGGGAGATCTGTGAATGTGTCTGTGTGCTGGCTGCGGTTCGTACTCTTGCCCTGCCGCTGCGCTTTCCTACAAATTTCTCCGTGTACGCAGTTGTTTACGTTCTGACTTTGAAGTCCAAGAGGCAAGTGATGGCACTTGCTATCGCTGCTTGGGCCGATACTCCGATAACTTCGGCGCGCCTTGGGATCGGTTTTTAAAAATACGTTTGCTTGTTCTCACTGCGAGTTCTGTTGTGGATTTGGGGGATTATATCTTACACATGTTTATATATTTTATATGATTTTTAAGTGCATGGAATGCTTGATTTTGAGATATTTTTACGTGATCTCATATACCAACGGTTTTTCCAGCAAAAGTATTTTTGGTTTTGGAAAATTATTTATAACTCTATTATTTATAATATAAGTTTAAAATTTAAATTTAAATTTCTGCCATATAAGGGCAAACAAATATCCTCAAGGGGTATTAGTTTAACCCCCTTGAGGGTATTTTATAAAGCATATATATTCTTGATCAGCGTCAAAAGCTGAATCGTTTGAGCCATGTCCGGGGAAAAAACATTTTTTAGTCATTTTTTCAAAATTCGATAAGGGGTTACATCGTTAAAATTTTCAAAAATGGTCAAAATTTTAAATTTTAAATTAAGTATGCAGATTTATAATCCTTTAAAAAACAAACTCAGAACAGCTTTCCGAATTGAAATTAATGCATTTTTGGCTTAGTTATGATAGATTTACTATGCGATTCCATGAATCCAGTGAAAACTGTAAGGGTATTCCTCATTCGGCTTCAGGAAGTAGGATACGTTTCTAGTTTTCATTCATTCCTTAAGGGGAAATGTTTGATAAATATTCATAATATTAAATAATGCAAATATTAGATAATATAAATATATTATAAAATAATATCTAAATTTTTATTGTTTCCTGCGTCTGGGAAATGATAATTAAAAGTAATATTTAATCTTTAATTCATGTTTCCTTTTTATAAATAATGCAAGTAATTCCATTTAATTGTTAATAAATATTTATATATTACTTTCATGAATGATAAGAACAAATATTATGTCTAATGATGATTCAACTCACAACTTAATAAACTCGCTCTTAAAAGCTCTCTTTTGGTTTTTATATTTTCTCTCCCATAGCTTTTTAGGTTCTTTTCGGCGACTTGGCATTAAAGTCTCTGGCACGACTCGAGGGAGAGTGGTGTGGTTCACTGTGGCCGCGGATGTGGCGGATCGGGTTCGGCTTGAGTGGCTCTGGCTCTATGTATCAATTTACGTCGCTTCCACCAGAAAGAGCCGAGACGAGTTCAGTTATAAGCGAGCTGCCTTCGAAGGCGGTGCGAAGTCTCGAGCCGTCGCGAGTGTTGGAGTTGCATATATCGGAATAGCAGCCCCTCAAGTTCGGGTAATAAAACCTATGGCGCATAGTCTGGAATACGAAAACCCCACGACCCCCCCAACATACTCGTGCGTTAACGCCTATTAACGTATTCTCGCGGCAAGAACAACAAACGCACTTGTTTTGGCATTGCCCTCGGTTTCTCCACGTTAAGTGGGTTTCCACTTCCTCTCCGCTGCGCAGGCGCAACCCTCCAAACCCTAAATCTCTGTTCAATGTTTGTTCTGGAGCAGACTTATGGCCTGGTTTTTTCCTCTCAATTTCAATTTCGTACTCGTATTTTGATTCCGTTTTCACATGTCTCGCGGCTTTGACTCTTCTTTGGTCGGCGATCCCAACTCGTGATGAACGCCAGATTCCGGTTTGCCTCAAGCCTGAAGACAAGAAATAAAAAATACATAAAAAATACAACAAATTAATATGCACAAGCGCAAAAAAAAATATGTAAAAAACATGCCGGAAAGTGAAACTGCTCTAGGCTTTGTTTTCCACCCAATTTTCTTTGTTTTTTGGTTGGTTCCGCAACTTCCTATTTTTCCCAGCTTTTACAAAGAGTTACAATCTCCTAAGTGCCTATTCATGCCGTCGTTATCAGAGTCGAGATATCAAGGTGAACTTGTTTGCTTCACGGATCGCATGATTCACAGGCCAACTTGGTTCTGGTCGCTGCACCAAAACTTGCAAGTAAACAAGCTAAATAAGGGCGAAAAAGCCGGCGAAAGTTGAGAATCAGGTTGGACCAGGTCAGATTGGCAGACTGCTTTTATAATAAATGGCCAATAAAATGATGGAATGATCCAGACCTAAGGAAATCGAAAACAAAAAGAACAAAGAGACATCTTTGTCATGTCAGTTGGCTGGGATTTGGGATATTAAGATCGAGTGTAATGATTCACGGAGTAGTTCTTCAGGAAGCTTTTATATGAGTTTTTCCAGAATTGTTTAATTGTTAAATATAAACTTATTCAGTTATGTTTGTCTTTGACTCTGATAGATGGCAATCCCCCATGAATAATTGCCTATAAATTTAAGAGCCCCAAAAAAGCAAAGCTAGACATCTCAGTTTGTTTATTGTTGATCTCTGATGACGCTGGCTATATACTATATACTACCATTCCATCTTGTACTCACTTCTGGGCTGCCTTTCACTTTTCCCCTTTTAATTAAGGCGCCAATTGAGCTGAATTGGAATTACAAATTGTCACAACATTGTGGCCAGAGCAACCACGCAAAACCATTTAACTCAATTCTGCTTGGGTTCCTCCTCCTCCTCCTCTAGAAATCAACCGCACACAGATGACGTTAAAGGGAGCTTGGGTGCTCCTTCTGCTGGGCAGCTTGTGGGCTTCAGTGGCTGCCAGGACAGGTGAGTTGCCCAGTAAGGGGTTGGTTGCTAACTGTTTTACCTCTCCCTATTCCCGCAGGACCCTCACACGATAAGGTGGTGGTTTGCTACATTTCCACCTGGGCCATTTACCGGCCAGAGCAGGGCGCCTATGGCATTGACAACTTCGATCCCAGCCTGTGCACACATGTGGTGTATGCCTTTGCCGGGCTGGACATCACCCAGGCAGCCATCAAGTCGTTGGGTGAGTTTTTGTGGTTTGATTTATGGATGTATGCTAATTTTTAAGGCTTCCCTTAGATCCCTGGCAGGACCTCAAGGAGGAGTATGGCAAGGGTGGCTATGAGAAGTTGACCGGCCTGAAGCGCAGTCATCCGCATCTGAAGGTCAGCTTGGCCATAGGCGGCTGGAATGAAGGCTCCGCCAACTATTCCAAGCTGGTGGCCAACGATCTGCTGCGGGGACAGTTCGTCAAGCAGGTGTCCAGCTTTGTAAGGAAGTACAACTTTGATGGTTTGGACCTGGACTGGGAGTATCCTACGCAGCGGCAGGGCAAGCCTGCGGATCGCGAGAACTTTGTCCTGTTGACCAAGGAGCTGCGCGAGGAATTTGACGAGCACGGCCTGCTACTGACCTCGGCCATTGGGGCGTCCAAGAAGGTGATTGATGAGGCCTACGATGTTCGCCAGATCTCCCGCTACCTGGATTTCCTGCACATCATGTGCTACGACTATCATGGCAGCTGGGACCACAGGGTGGGCTACAATTCCCCACTTTCGGCGCCAGCCGATGATCCTTTAAGTGTGGTAAGAGATCAAGAAACTTACTTAAGTATAAACCTCCTTCTAAGCTATAATATTTTCCCTAGAAATTCTCCATTGACTATCTGCTTAAGCTGGGAGCTCCGCCCTCAAAACTGGTCCTGGGCCTGCCCTTCTACGGACGCACCTTCAAAACAGTAGGCGAGGGCAATGTGAATGATGCCAGCGATGGCGTGGGTTTCCGGGGTCCTTACACGCGGGAGGACGGCTTTCTGGGCTACAACGAAATCTGTCGGACACTGAGCAACCGCACCTCGGGCTGGACACAGCAATGGGATCCCAGCACCAGCCAGATGCTGGCCAAGTCCGAGCGGAACGTCTTCACCCAGGACATCCATGTGGTGACTTACGACAGCTCCCGCTCCATTGCCAACAAGGTGCTGTATGCCATGTCCAAGCGGCTGGCTGGGGTGATGGTGTGGTCCGTGGATACGGACGATTTCTTGGGCAACTGCGACCTGGATGAAGATACGTATGCGGACTTCACAAAGGTAAAGACAGCGCCGAGGAGACTGAACCAGAACTATCCCCTGCTGAGAACTATTAACGAGGCTACTGGGCTGGCCCTGGAAGAGCTGGCTCCTCCAGAGCCTCAACCGGATGACTCTGACAATGAGATTCCGCACGGCAGCGTGGCGGATCGAAAGAATGCTGGCGCTTCTATGGTGAGCTTGAGCCTGGGAGCCACCACTGTGTTCTTGTTGCTGCATCGACTGGCCCAATGAGGATCGAGGGAGCTGCCATAGTCTTAGGAATATCCAACATCAGCCTGATTGTGTAGTCAATAAAGCCCAAATTTTAATTGTAAGACAAAAACACAGACTTTGGTTTTGAATTTACGCGCTTAGCTGGGAAATTGATATTCGATGGAATTGATATCGGTAGAGGATTTAGCATTAGTAATCGATCTCGATAGACCGATTCTAGCTATGTTATAACAGTTATGCCAGTTTTGCTACTAGCTAGCTTAATCGATTTCGATATTTATCGTTTTTAAATTTAACCCCCCCATTGAAAGTCAGTTATTCGGCTTTTTGTTTAAAATGTTTTGGTTATACTTGGTGTACTTCTTTAATAAATTTAACTGGCTCTCTAACATTTAACTAACTAGTCATATATTCTTGTCTGTGTATATGGGTGTGTGTGTGTGTGTGTGTGTGTGTATACGCAACTATGTAAATACGCAGGTAAATATAACATAATTTGTATATAATATCCATAGATTATCATTGCTACAAGTTGTCAACATTCAATTCAATGCTACCATATGTGTTAATTAATTTATATATATTTGTATATATAGGTTCTATGTAAACTAGGCAAAGGATATCGCGTAAAATATAGTTAAAGCAAGGTGTTCGGGACCTTTGTCCACGGGATAGTTTAGGTAGGATATGGGGGCCCAGGGGTTAATACGTAGAATTAGAGTTCCTTTCATGGATGGCAAACATTACAAATGCGACGATACTGAACCAAAGGAGGACATGCAGGAGGATCTGTGAGGAGAAGTATACAGCTTTAATTGATATTAAACTTAGCTGGCTTCCAAAGGCGACTTTAGAGTGGATATTTATGTTTTTTTAAGAATTTTGATACGGATTTTATATATATAAACACTTTTTGGCCCTGCATCCTCCTCATCACAAATGATCCCCCCACAAATCCTTATCCTTACAGAATACAATGAAGGTGAAACCGCTGCTAGACAAACACTTCCTGGTCCTCGGTGCCTCACATGCGATGTCCTCCGTCCGACGACCAGTCAGAACGCTCCGCTCCGCTTCCATAGATGTCCAGCTGCTCACGAGAGCGCGTCTTGGACTTGGCCTTGTGCTTGGCCTGCTGCGAGCGCTGCATCTGGTAGGGATTCGCCCGGTCGTTGATCACCTCGTAGTGGGAGTCATTGCCTCCCCCAGTCGAGGAGGTTCCTCCGCCTCCGCCTATCAGCAGCTCATGAATGTTCTTTGTGGAGCGGCGGTGCGCCTCCAGGCACTGCGATTCCGAGGAGTAGGGAAACGAGGCCACAAAGTTGGGCGACTGCTGACCCGTCGTTGTCGTTGTCGGCGGATCACTGGCAAAGTTCGCTGGCGGTGGCAAAGGCAGGTTGCCGCCACAGGGCGTTGAGGGTGACAGGTCGGTGAACTCCGTCTTGGCCTCCGACTCCACGGAGCACATGCTCTGGCGCGAGATCTCCTTCTGCAGCTGCTGTGCCTGCTGCTGTTGCTCCTTCAAAGTGGGCATATTTAGGTTGGAGCTCTCGTAGTCATCCTCCCGCCGCGTCTGAGGAATGGGCAACCGGCTCCTGACAGAGTGTTCCCTGCCTCGACCGAATCGCTGAGCCAGGTAGTCCTCGTTGGCGTTGCTCTGCCCGCTGCTGTGGCTGCAGTTGCTGTGCTGGTGCTGGTGATGATGATGGTGGTGGCCCTGGTGGTGCCCCTGATGGCGCTGGGCATTGTCGTAGTAGCTGTCGTTCTTCACGGACATGTTGCAGCAGCTGCTCACGTCGGCGAAATACACCTCCGACTCGGCGGGGTCCGCTCCCACCGCCTGATCCTTGGCTATGGCTCCGTTGGAGTCCTGGTAGCCATTGTTCTCCACACCAGCGGACTGGGGCTGCGCCTGCTGGGCACTCGCCTGAACCACCTGCTGCTGCTGCTGCTGCTCCTGCTTGGCGAACAGCTGCTGGACATTTGGCCGCTGCTGGCCGGGATTGCTCTGCGGGCCAATGCTCTTGGCTCCGGTGCCTGCCTCCAGCCGCTTCTTGAGCTTCCGCGTGGGCAGGGTGTTAGAGCAGCGCTCACGCTCTCGCGGATTACCACCATCACTGTCCGATGGCGTGTTCTCGTACTCCGCCTTGGACTTGTAGGCGGATGAGCGAGTGGCGGCCACCAAAGTGCTGACATTTCCCACGCTGCTCAGCCCGTCCATCCGCTCCAGCGTCGCCGACTGTCCCTGGAGGCGCTGCAGCTGCTGCAGTTGCTGCTGCATCTGCTGCTGTTGCTGCGGATGCGAATGTACAATGTGCGAGTGCTGCATGTTGGGATGCACTTGCTCCTGGGTTATGGTGACTGAGGCAGTGCCGGGTTGACCTACCAGACATGCTGTGGGCTGAAGATACTGGTAGTATCCCCTTCTGGCCGGGCTATTGGGATCGCTGTACGGCGGCGGAGGACCCCATACTCCATAGGGCAACGCATTGGGCGGCGGCATTCCACTATAGGCCGCAGCCACAACGGGCTCCTCGATTAGCATTTGGTTGCCATCACCCTGGGCAGCCGCCGCGGATGAACTGAAGCCGTACTGCGAGTCCGGACTGGCGGCTGCCTGACGAAAGCGTCGTCCTGCGTCTGGGGTGGTGCGTTGCCAGGGCATCCGAGGCCAGCTCCAGCCACTGCTGCTCCGCCCGCCGCCTGCTCCTCCAGCTCCCCTTTCGCCACCCCGGCAGCCTCCAACGGCATCGTCACCGCCGGGATTTGGCGAGTAGAAATTGCCCGGCGGCTGGGCGGTCCAGAAGCGTTGCTCTCCTCCGCCTCCTCCTCCTGCCGCAGCTGCTGCTGCTGCCGCCGCCACTGTGGCCTCATCCCAGGGATAAGCGGTGGCCTGCAGCGGCAGGGTTAGCTGCCTGTGGGCGTGGCACTGCTCGCAGCATCGGCAATTCAGCATTCTTCCGGGACCCATGGAGGGAGGAGGAGCCTGACTGGCGTACAAGGAGCGACAGCGCAGCTCCAGCTGCTCCCAGTACATCTTCTTCCTTTCGTGGCTGAGGAGCTGATAAACCAGCATGCAGCTGAAGACGGCAATGAGGACTCCGGCCACGGACAGGCCAAAGATGGCCCTCAGGCAGGAGTACAAAGATCCATGGACCACGCCGCAATCCGAAAGGGAGTCGAAAACCAGGCGCACGCCTTCTGGAAGGGAATTAAAAAGGGAGAGGAGTAAGCCAAGATGACCGGGAATCCGAGCTTCTAACTCACCCTTATCCACACGATCCACCTGGGACTCGATGAGATCTGAATAGCATGTACAGGTGCGGGTCTTCTGGGCATATTCGCACTCCCTTAAAGCTTGGAGACGACTCATGTGGAGCACGGTGGTGGTCACAGTGACCAAAGCGCAGGTCAGAGCAGAAACCAAGCCGCAGGCTCCAGAAAGCTTAATCTGGAGGGGATTTAAGAATACATTTTAGAAAGGATTAAGGTGAGACACCAGAAAGAGAGACTTACCAAGTAACTATAGCGATTCCTACGCCGGGCCAGGCTCATGATACAGATCCCAGTGAGAATAAGCAAAGTGGCGGGCACAAAGGTGGGCACTGTCTCAAAATTGCCCACTGTGATGGTGTAGGAGTGGAGCAGGAAGTAGACGCCCAGAAAGAGCACACCCAGCAGACAGCTAAAGCCTCCGCAGATGAGGCACCAAACCACGTACTTCTTGATGCCAGCTCCATGGCGATGGGCTAGAAGTAGAAACCAGGAAAAACCCCATTAGATTGGAGTACTAAAATCAGGAAAACCAATCCCAACCAGAGCCGCGATGGTGACCATCCACATTGCCGGAGGTAGGCGGCGGAGCTGGCACCCAGGAGCAGGGCGGAGGCATGCTGTACTGCACGAACTGCATCACCGGATAGCCGTGCATGGTGACGGTTTAAACAGTGGCTTTTAGCTCCTCCGCTAGGCAATAACAGGCTCCTCAATCATCTAAGTACACATCCTGGAGAAGAGCTGAATTCCGGAACACGTTCTCCTCGTTTTTCACTCTTTATTTTCCTCGTTCTTTTTTTTTTTTTTGCACTCCTCAGCGAAACAGAAAAATATCTACACAGCCGTGGAAGCTGGCAGAGATTCGGGGCTGGTGATGCTTGGTTTATGGAATGGGTTTTGGGTTGGGTTGGGAGCTGCGCGGTCTTGGTGGCTGGAGTGGGTTGCCGGATGCTGGAGGCTGGAGACAGAGCGACAAAAGCTGGGAGGTGGCGCCGGAGTGTGCGTTGCAATTACAGGAACGGTGTCAACTGAAAGTCCTGACTGACACTAGCTCAGCGCCAACCCCCCAAGCAAATATTTTGCACCAGCTCCAGGACTTTGAGAGAGAGCGTGAGAGACTGAGAGCCTGCTCCTGCGCAGACTCAGAATATGCGGATGAGGAAGTAACTGCCAAGCGGAAGCTGCCTCCGCAATGGATGACAAATCACTGGAAACCAAAATCTGTGACCATGGCGAAACTGTGATTCAAAGACTGGAGGAGACCAAGAGACAGCACTCTCGGAATGGCGATGAAAAGGCAGTAGTGAACTAGGTCCTAAAGGGGTTGAGCTTTCGGAGGATATATTTACTACGGAGCTACTTGGGTTCATCAAGGAAAAGTATTAACTTTGTGGGGATTACTAATGAATGATTAGGAAATGGCTTTATATATTTTCTGAAATTTATTTCATGTTCCTATAATAATTATTTGTTAAATTAAGATTGAATGTTTCCTTTTTGAAAGATAAACATTTATTATTTGAATTCAAACAATATTCCCTGGCAAATTCTTTATAATTATTGCAGAAATTAAAATCAATAAAAAGTATTACTTTCCATTGCTAGAATTTCTTAATAATAATTTATATCTTTAATTTCTTAAGAACTTATGCTGATACAAACTTCAAAGATTGAGCAAGGGTTTAACCTGAAATATATGCATATCACCTGTTAGACCTGGCAAACTGACATTTTTTCCACTGAAAAGTTAAAGATACTCCTAATACAAATTCTTTTTTCTAGATTTTCTTTTTCTTTTCTCTCTTAAACTCCTTTTCCCGACTCACCTATAGAACCATTTGCATTGCTCCTTGGCCTGGGCGGTGGGCGTGGCGGCAGCGGTGGTCGATTGTCGTCCAGGATCTGCGACTTTCTACCCGAGCCGGAAGTGGGCGGAACAGGCCCTCCCACGCCATCCAGCTCCGTGTCGTGGTATATATCGTTGCAACTACCACCCGTGGGCTGTGTCTTCGGTGGCAGCTGACCTGCCCCTCCGCCTGAACGCGGCTTCTTCTTCTTGATCATTGTGCTGTTGTTGTCGGACTCGCTGACCGTGATCTCGTCAGCGCCGAGCATGGCGTCAGCCAGGAGGCTTCTTTTATGTTGGGCCAACGAGGAGTTGCCGCCGCTGGCCGGACAGGTGCATTCCAGATCGCAATCGCAGCTTCCGGCTCCGGCAGAGGTGTCCAGTTGAAGTTGCTCCTGCTGCTGCTGCTGCTGATCATCGTGCAAAGCCTGGTAGGAGTGATTGAGCAGGGATTGAGCGGACTGGGCCTTGAGGGGAGAGCTCCTCACCGGCAGCTCCTGTTGGCTGGGCGTCTGCTGATGCACCAGCACAGCCACTGCCATGGAGGCATTCTGGTTTTGGTTGGGCGGAGGAGGAGGAGCCCGGCCGCAAGAGCAGGGACATTGGCAGGGTAGCTGTGGCGGCGACTGTAGCTGCTGCTGCTGGAGTTGCTCCTGGTGCTGCAGCGGCTGGAAGTGAGCCGGATACTGTATGTAGTGGTAGTGATGGCCCACCATTTGGCCAGGCGGAGGCACCATTGCCTGGCTATGAACTCCTGGATCCTCGCCGAGACTCGACTCGGAGGCGACACGTTGCAAGGATGCCGAGGCATTTGTTGTTGCTGGAGGCAGCTCCATGGCTGCTATCCGAAAAACCGGTTTGACCCTTTAACTGCCACTTCCCGCGATGATCACCTCTTCACTTATGCTGCACACTCATTTCTCTGGGGTCTCACGCTTCTAAAAGCCGAATTCGAAACCCGATAAATTGGCCAAATTTATGGCTACTTCTGCAATTTTTGCGATTCACGAATATATAAATATATCTGGATTAACATAAACAAGCCACCCAACAAAAACAAAAGACGCCGCCGCGGACTCGAAGATCGACAAACCGCGCTCGCAACTCAAACACAACTGGGCAACCAGAACCACTCGGCTCTGCGGATCGATGCGAGCTCCGGAGTCGGGATCGAACCTCTGGGAGTTCGAGCTTGGAGAGCAGAGCAACCTGCAACGCACACCCACTCATATATTGGGTTTATGCGGGGTAAAATTAGTGAAGTTAGAACAAAAAATAAAATATTTAAATATTATTGAAGAGGTATATATTAAGGGACTAAGCTCCTTTTCATGAAAAAGATTACTAATGGTTAGGTGAAGTGTCGTGGCTAAATCACTAAATAATTGCTAGAAAGAGAAATATAAAATAGTAAAATAGAGTAACTTCTACTTCTACTTCCTCTTATTCTTAATGAATATAAACAATAAAAAATGTATGGGTGATAATGTCATGCCTAAATCACTCTACAATTCACCTTTTCCCACTTCACCAATAGTAAAATGGTAAAATAGAGTAACTTACTTCTAATTCCTTAGAAACTTAATCTACAATTTAATAGTTTCCACTTCACGTATTTCTCTCCTGATCAAATCCATCGCCATAAACCTGGTTTCAGAAAATGAGCAACTCCAACTCCAAACATTCTTTGGTGTGTGTGCCTGATGGGTTGTTGCGCGCGCTTCAACTTCAAACGAATTCCGGTTCTAGTTGTTTCTCTCCCTGCACTGATTCAGGAAAAAAACAACACAACTATTCAGCCCGAACAGGGAAAATCAATTTCTTTGTTGTAGCCCAAAGGTGAGCGTTTGTTTTCGTTACCTGCCTCGGCTACCTGGATCGGCAACAACAAGAGCGACAACAACCTGCAGCCTGTGTGTGTGAGTTTGGGAGAGTGAGTATATAATCGGTGGATCCAATTTAAATGAGATCCCAGCTGAAAGGAAGTCCATTTGAACAGTGAGCCCTCCCTATGGTTGAATGTGGGGGATGTGGCGTCATATTTATACGGTTGATTGAACTTCGGTTAACCCCCTTTTACTGTCCTTTCCCGCTGAAATATCCCAATCGAATTGGTACCGCTCAGCGGGTTTCCGCCGCAGGTATTTCCATATTTACCTGTGATTAATGGAGATGTGTTTCTTCACTTGTTTGACACCTGAGTAATATTTAGAGGAATTTTCTTTTAAGGTTGTAATAATTTTAAAACCTCATATTATTAGTCTCAGTAATATGAATACTGAAATTCCCGAAAGGTTTTTAAAATTTGTATAAAAACAAGAACGAAAACTAACTTCGGGAAGCTGTATAAATACCCTGACAGTTTGGGATACCCATGGGATCTTGGAATCAAATCAAAAATCTATCATAACTCAGTCAAAAAAGCATCTATTTCAATTTGGAAAGCTTTTCTGTGCTAGTTTTTTCTAGGTTAACAAATCGGCTTACTAAATTTGTAACTTTAAGAAATCAAAATTTTCGTCCATTTTTGAGAATTTTAATGATGTAACCCCTTATCGAATTTTGAAAAAAATGCCCTAAATTTTTTTTCTTTCCTAAATGGCTAGAAAAACTCGTCTGTAAATGCTGATCAAGAATATATATGGTTTATGGGGTCGGAAATGACTCTTTTGGGAACTATAATCATAAAACCCTTCAAGAAGACAGAAAATATTTGAATTATTAAATGGATTTTTTTTTTTTGACAAAAATTGCGGATTACAAATATCATAACTAAGCAAAATAAACAATTCAATTCCGAAAGCATTTCTGTGTTTCAATAGGGAAACAAATCTAGTTACTAAATTTAAAATTTTAAGAAATCCAAATTTTTGTAAATTTTTGAGAATTTAAACCATGTAACCCCTTATCAAATCTATTAAAAATGGCTTCAAAATTTGTTGTTTTCGGAAATGGCTGAAAAGATTCGCCTGTTAAAGCTGATCAAGAATATATATAGTGTTTATGGGGTCGGAAATGGATCCTTTAATGCATTGCCAGCTCTCCTATCCATTTCTCATAGAACTCAGCCGTCAAAAAGTTTTTAATTAGTCCCAATCTATTTTAGTAATCTGATCTGACGCTTCCTAGTACCGGACACACCTTTAAGCGTTAAAATCGTTGAAATACCACCTTTGGGGACAATAACAAGGCACCAACACACCCACCAACTATTAATCAATCGATTACTTTGATCATATTTAACTGATACTGACATTTCCGCTGATAGATAACACAAACAACTTGATATTAAAACATACCCCACATGGAGAGAGAGAGAGAGATTGCAACAAGGGATACGAATGACAGAAAAAGGTGTTAGTGCTAAACCCTTTTTATCTTGGAAACTAGAAGCTCGTAAACAAGGATTTCCTTGCCAAGAATATTCCATTGTCGCCTAGTACAGACACTCCTCCATTGGTTTACTATCGCTGCAACTCAGTGAGGCTTTAATCAGCGATTGTTCAAAAAGTATACTAAAATATCTCTATATAAGACGTCTTGCCTTCGATTCGTATTATTTGTGTTTATTGTTTAAGGGGCGTAATCACTACAAAATATACATACATACACATACGAGTACGAAACCTACTTAAATTAGAAATGTCGCTTTGCACTTTGGCTATATACAATTCCAGATTCCGGCTGATACGGCCAGCTCGTCAATGGGAACTACTGCTAAGACGCACGGAAAATATGCAACGCAAGAACAGGATAAGATAGTCAGGCCATAAGAGATACTAAAAATAGCTCAAAGCTTGGCGAGAATTTTCATTCTGGCCCCGCTTTTCGTTAGAAACTATTTACAAAAGGGTTTAAAGCGCGTTCAACCACCGAAGGTCCTCCAAGAGGACTATGTACAGTGTGTGTTTGTCCTGGGAAAATAATTACTATCACAACCGAGTTAATCGATGCGAGGGTCAGGGCCTCATCTAGTGGCCAGCGGCGGACAGGGAATGCACCAGCATGGCAAAGCTGCTGATAAGGAAAATGCTAGCCGGCAGCGAGGACAGCATACGGTAGTTCTCCTCCGTATGCTCCCGCGTCTTCTTCTGTTTGATCACCCAGCCCAGGCTGCGCTCCACCGCCCGCTTCCACTTGCCATAGCGCTCCTTGCGCTCCACATCCGTTGTGGTGGCCAGAAAGGTGTCGTAGTGCACGTTTTCGTAGTACCTCTTCTCGGGCTCAAACTGGCACAGATTAACACCCTCCGCCTGGGCGGCACACATGGCAGCTCCAAAGGCTGTGGAGTCCATAAGCTGCGACCGGAACACGGGCAGCCCAATGGTGTCCGCCTGGAGCTGCATCAGCAGGTTATTTGTGGTCAGCTTGCCGTCGGCATGGAGCTTGTTGATCTCATAGCCGCACTCCTGGTGCATGCACTCCAGGATGTCGCGCGTCTGGAAGCAAATGCTCTCCAGGGCGGCCCTCACTATGTGATTCTTTCGCGTGAACTGCGTCAGGCCAATGATGATGCCTCGAGCATTTTGCTTCCAATAAGGAGCATATAATCCTGTAAAGGCTGGCACGAAGTACACATCTCCGGAGGTGGGCACCATCTCGGCATATTTCTCGGCGTCCCGCGAGTCTGGGAGGATGCGCACCTTGGTCTGCAGCCAGGAGAGAGCATGTCCTGCCACCGAAACAGCTCCCTCGATGGCATATATCGTGGGTGCCTGGGGTCCCAGTTTATAAGCCACTGTGGTCAGTAGTCCATGGCGCGAGAATACGGGCTTGTCACCCGTATTGCACAGCAGGAAGCAGCCGGAGCGGTAGGTGTTCTTCGTCTGACCAGGCTTCACGCACATCTGTCCCAGCAGCGAGGCCTGCTGGTTGCCCATGATGCCACTAAGGGTCATTCCACGCAGCGGACTTCGCTCGGATGTGATCTTGCCAAACACCTCTGAGCAGCTGTGAATGCTGGGCAGCATGTCCTCCTTAATGCCAAAGGTCTTGAGCAGCACGGGATCCCAGCTTTGGGTTTCCAGGTTCATGAGCAAGGTGCGCGAGGCGTTTGTGACGTCGGTAATGTGGAGAGCGCCTGTGAAGGAGGGGATTGAGTTAAACACTTCTCCATGAAACCAAAGACAAACCCACCATTGGTCAGATTCCACACGATCCAGGTGTCCACAGTGCCCGCTTTGCAGCGTCTCTCCCTTATGGCCTGTCTCACCTCAGGCACATTGTCCCTCAGCCAGCGAATCTTCAAGGCGGAGAAGTACGTGGAGATGGGCAAACCAGTGCTGCTGCGAAAGTGATTAGGATCCTGCACCTTGGCCACGATCTGCTCCACAGTAGTGCTGGTGCGAATGTCCTTCCACAGGAGTGCATTATACAGCGGCTTGCCGGTGACGGCATCCCAGACAATCGTCGTCTCACGCTGATTGGTAATGCCCACGGTGGCTATGTCGCTGGCGGAGAAGCCCTGCTCGGGCAGCTGCTTGATGGCCTCCTCGGCACACTTGTTGATCGAGGCCATCATCTCGAGCGGATCCTGCTCGTACCAGCCATCTTGCGGCGTGATCACGCTCAGCTCAACCCGGTGTGCTGCAATCTCCTTAAAGTCTGGGGTGGTGTAGATCGAGAAGCCAATGGTCTTGGTGCCCTCGTCAATGACCCCGACCAGGCCGGTGTGCTGGATCAAAGACTGCTTGCGCAGCTCCTTGCTGCGGAATGGGACATCCGCACTGGAGTGAGGTAAGTTCTTGCCCTCGGTCATGCTGCCTGTCGGATAAGAAATCCGATAAGATGGTTATGTTAGTCGGTGTGGGGGTAAAATATTGCATAATTAGTAGAGTTTAATAGGTGATTCGCTGCATTTTTAGTTTACTTTCTAACTAATTTAAGTAAGATATATAATTTTCTATTCCCTAATTCCTATTTATTAGCTGTAGATTTTCTGTGAGGAATTCAGTACATATTTTATGGCCGAAGTACCTTTTAAAAATGGTTTTGGAACAGTAAAATAATATAGAATAATCTTGATTAATAATTATAAAAATGTCTTTCTTTAATCAGGTTTTAAAATCTGAATTTTTAAAATTAATACCCCATGATAAAGGCACTTCCTATGACGTCTAACCAATATTTCAAAACAAGAACCCATAAAATGATTCTGCGATACCGATCTTAGATAAAGTTAAAAGGCTTTTAAAAGCAACCATTGCCCCGGATCTGCCATATATACCCACTCCCCTCTTGAGTGTATGTTTTTAGCGTCCAATTTCTATATTTGTTTTCCATTGTGGCAACTGCCAAGGCAACGATACCATCTGACATGGACGAGCGTATATAAAAGAGAGCGTGTACTCCAACACTTGTTTGGCAATTGTTTGACTTTGTACCCGACCGGCTTGTTGGGGGGCTTGATTCCGCTTCTAGTGGCCGAGCCCTCTTTCCACTCACACACCAAAGCAGAAACACTTGTTGAACACCAACAACTTATCGCCCGGACCCGGTGCTCTGCTCTGCCAAAATGCTCTGAATGGAGTCAAGCAAATTCCAATACATAAATTATGGTAAACCCTGTGACAAGGTCAAGTGTGCTCGACACGGAGATAAGGCCCTAATGATTGAGTGCACCGAGTTATTTGATTTGATTTGTCGCCAGACGACACTACACGCAGGCACACACTCAGCAAAGCCACATAAATGTAGCTATTCCACCGGTAAGCAGATTGGAATTTACATTCAAAAACTTTCCACAGCTTCCCGGTTTTCTGCTTTGGGGACACTTTTGAAAGTCACCTAGAAACGCGTAGCACTACTATGTGCTTTATGGCTGTGTGCTTTTGTTAAGCACTGTTTAGTGATAAGAACCTATCGATACACGTCCCATAAACGGTTATGTTACCAGGAATCGTTGATAAGATATGGAAAGCACTTCTTTAGTGGGCTGATCGCCCAATATTTGCCTACACACTAGCGGCAAACACTCCAATAAAACCGTAAAAATAACAAAAAAGCTATTGAACAATTACTAGGGATAATTTACGATAACTGCGATTACAACATAGCAATTGTGATTACATGAGAATAACGATAACAGTTAGATTTGATGAGTTTATTGCTTGACATTGTTTAGGTTGTATCCTCACTTTTAATTTTCGATTGTTGTATGTGGCGGCTGCTGATAACACTTGTTTAAATATTTTTAAATGTAATAGAGAGCGGGAAATAGAGAGAGTTTAGAGAGTAACAGAGAGAGAGAGAGGAGAGGGATCCACCAATAGACAGAGAGTTAGAGAGCGCGTTGAATAAAAACACAACCGTCCGCGACGAGCGCCAAAATGTATCTGAAAGTCAAAAATCGCTATCAACTCGAAGGCGCGGCAGCGCAGTGAAAATACCCTCGTATATAGAAAGAGCTTTCGGCTCGGGGCCATGTATTGGAATCAAAGCGGATCGGGACTACGAATCTACTACCGACAACTAGTCATACCCACCATCGACCAGACCCAATAAAACCGGCAGCAGCCCCGACAATGCCCGCTGATAAGACAAGCCGGCAAGAGCGGCGATGTCTGGGATTAGGGGGTCGAGTGGGTGGTGGACTCATGGTTTCATGGAGGAGGGGAAGCAGGCAGTGCTCCTCTAGACGAAGCTCTTCGGTGCAATAAACTGCCAACTGGTTGCGACAGACGCCGCCAGCCTTGGCATTTAAAAACACGCATTTGCATTTGCCTCAGACGGATATAGCCAAGTACAGTGGTTATTATTTAAGGGGATTGTGTTGTGGATTTAAATAATATAAAATAAATAGATATAAATATGTACCTTTAATTGGTTTAAGCTGTAGTTTCCATAAAAAGTACAAAAAACTAATAAAAATTAGAGCTAAATTAATCACTAAACTGAAATAATATTTTAAATATATATCTTGACCCACTGTACTTTAATAATATAATATTATTGTAATATTCTTAAATATATAGTTTAAACCACAGTGCCTAACTGGGATTCCAATGAGCTTGTTATGACGTTAGTTAAGCCCCACAACGAAATGCAATTAGGTTTTGGTTTAGGAATTTTTATAGGAGCTATATTATATACATTTAACCCACAATTACGTACACGTAATAATGTCTCATTTCAAGAGCGGAAATTATTCCACAGAAATATATCCCAGGTCACACATAAATTCTTCAGAAAATTCTCAAAGACAATTCGTATGGCCAAGCGTGTGGGCGTCCATTCAGTTTTTATTTTTACTTATAGGCGCCCCGCTAAAATTAGTCCGAATAATATTAAAAATTTCCATTGGGGGGCAGGCATATTTCGTTAAACGTATAAACGTTATTTGTGTGACATCCTCAAGAGCAGGCCAAGAGAAGAAAACGAAATAAAGCAAAATGCAAAGATACATATAATATTTAAATATTTGCATCCTATTAACCGAAAAGGGGGAGTGTGCGCTCGTTATGTAAACACAGTGATTTGGATACAGGGGAAGGGACGAAGTTAATGAAATCATTTTAAGCAACTCTGGCGACTTCATTAAACCGAACTGTCAGTGTGAAAATATATGTGCAAATATATGCATGACGGCCTGTGTATTGGCCTACAAACGAAAGCGATTTGGCCCGAGTTGATGGCCTTAAGTATCTGAGTACCCTAATGGTTGGATCAGGGTATAAGGGACTTCTCTGAATTCTCTATATGAGGCTTTATTGTTAAAAAAATATTGTGTATAGATAATGTGATCCTGAATCAATATACTCGTATTGAAACTTAGGGTATTAAAGGGAAGAAAACTTAAAAAAGGAAATAAATTATATAAATGTGCATAATATTTTAATTTTAGTTTAAAAATGTTGATTTTCATAGCAGTTTCAAATATTATAATTTCTATATATTATTCCACCTATTGCAGGGTATAACTCTATCGACTCGACCTTAAACTTTGCTTGATAATGAATTGTATTTCCTTGATGTGCAACTTTTGTTTACTCACACAGAACCCTGCATATACAATTTGCATGCTGGTGTGTGTTAAGTCATCGTAAAATATCGTTTTCTGTGTTTTTGTTGCTAGTAATTTCAGTCAGAATTGTGCTTAAAGGGGAATAATGGATAATGGAGAAATGGATACTTTTTGCACTTCGTCGTTTTGCGCTGCTTTTGTGTAATCCGATAAAGAATAATGCAATAATTGATTACATCAGGGGTTCAAAGGTTCAGTAAACTTCTTATACATGCATGCAAGCATAATTACGCATACGACCCGTGGACTGGGCGTATTTATAGAAGTCTTATCACCAATACCATATCGTATGACTGAGTTTCTCACTCAAAATGATTGCTCAGATATATGGTTATCGCTTGATTGCATTTTTATACTGTGCTGCTGATGTTTTTGATTAGTTAATCGAATATTGCAACGCAAATAGGGGTGGGGAGATAGTGTTTAGCATGTAATGAAATATTCCATCACGCCAGGTTAAAAGTCAACCGATTAGCCGACTTTTCAGGCGCCAGTCGTTGATTACTAGCATTGTTGTATCAAGAATAGTGATGACATTTCTGAGAAAAATGTATGTTGATATAAAAAACAAAGGGTTTTTATATAGAGAATAAATTGTTAATTTCTTTTACGGGTGTTACGATATTTTATCTCATTAAGAAATTCATGAAGAATTTATTTTATTAGGGAAATTGAATCCAAAAGTGTTTTAAAATATATTATTAGCACTGCTTACTTTAAGGAACTATTTTTAAGTGATTTTAAACATTCAAGACCATTTACTTGGCAATATTTGAGGGTTTATATTCTGAAAAATGTTAACATCACCAAACTCATTATTTCACTGCACACCAGACCCAGCGACACACCTATTATTATTTTAGCTCAGCTCTGTTGATATTTATAATTTTATTTAGCACTTGCTGGCAATTAGTTACGTAAATTGCATTTGCCACAATATTTGCAAGATAAACTGCAGTTTGCTTCCGTATTCCGATCTCGCAGCTTCAAGTGTTCGCGTTTAAATGCTCTCTTTTTTACATATTTATTTATTTATTTATCGATGTGGACCACATATAGCGATCGGTTATAGAGAGTGGAAAGGAACCACCTAGTGGGATTGAGTGGGCGGTAGAGCGAGAGAGAAGTAGCGTAAGCTCACGTGTTCGTTTTAGTACAAACAACAAAAAATAATCGATATATTCAGACTAGACGGCGGCGGCTGTTGCACTGACGTCACTACCAACAGGCAGCGACGCCGGCAGAGCGTTGGCGTCGAGGACAAGCCCCTCAAAAGCTGCATTCCGATTGGTCCAACGCCCTTGAACAAAAACACAACAATGCAATGTAATGGGATGCCCAAACCGCAAAGCTTAATCACTTCCACTAACTAAAAGCTCTAATGAACAAATCGTGAATCACCAAAGACTGGGAAATTAACACATTTACTTGTAAACACGCAAAACTTATTGAGTAATATTTGGCCGGAGAAAGCACGTGCGTACTCACCCACAGTTGCACCGGCCGCACTTAATTAAAAGTTGAGCTGGTTGCGGTTTTATGGCACTAGATAAACGACAGCATGTCGGCACTGTTTATTAGCGGGCTTAGCAACATTTTAATTGCGGTTTTCGTGGTTTTAACAAGTCGCGGACGAGCCTCTTTTTTCACAAATTTAACAAAAGCGCTAAAAAATGACAACTGCCTGGAGGGTGGCCAGATCGGCGGAACTGGAGGTGAGTGGGAAATCGATATTGTGCTATCGATTTATTTTGTATCTGAGCGGTGCATTTGAATTTAAATTTAGATTAAGCTTTATTTTCAAGGAAATAACTTAAGACATTTATAGTTTTTAGCATTAAGTGTTTTTTATTAAAATAAAACGGTGTAGAATTTAAAACAATTTTAGACTAAATTTTCGGGTTATAAGAAATTACTCCTACATGTGTTTTACTCCCATCAATCTTTCTTATCAAGTGATTCATGTTTTATGTATTTATATTCCTAGTAGCGAGTATTGATGACAAAAGGGTCTTTTATTTATCCAAGATTATGAAGAAATTATACTTTATCTTGTATTAGTGTTTCCTGTTAAAGGGCTAAGTAAGCAAGCCTGCCATTCGTCATGCTAATTTATGTTAGTTCGCTCTTTAACTTTGTATCGGAGAGTAGCAGCTCACATTTATGGGAATTTATCAAGCAGCAATTCAGCAAACAAAAGCATAGATAAAGCTATAAACAAGCGAACAAAATATATTTAAATTTGAAGTTCAAGTTCCTTTTGCTGATTTCCTATCAGCACTTGGCTTGGGGCGGACGTTCTTGCTCGACATGCTGGCGAAATACTTCAGTGGCTATCAGTTTTAATGTTTGAAGTTTAACGAATTTCGTGTTATATTGTTACACTGGAGCCGGCTCCCCGTTTCGACCCATTTCGACTATGGGGCCATGCCTATCTATCGCCCTCCGATAAGTGGCGACTATCAGCGGGCAAATTAAGTGCCAGTTATCAGCGCCTTTCGGCCACCCAATCGGCAATCCCCGTGTAGTCGTCATGGGCAGTCGAGCGGCAGCGGACCTAGTTCTGGACCCGAATCCCAAAATTTATCACAATCAATATGGGGGCAACCGAACGCTGGAGGAGGCAATCGCAAAATATGTTCCGGTGTACGAGTGGTCCTGGACGGAGACGCTCTTCCAGAGCTGGGAGTCGCTGCTGCTGATCCTGGCCACCTTCTGGTGCATCTTTCTGGCCCGATTGGTCAGCCACAAGCTGGGACTCTTTGACTCACCCAATCGGTGCTATGCCGTGGAGTTTGCCTTGATCATCCTGCCCTGCATTCTCCTGGTAACGGTGGCCGTGGATTATAGTTGCTACGTGGGATTAGTGATGTTGCTGGCTACCCTCTGGTTTCTGCAGAGGAGCAGGTTTTTGGAGCGAGCTCGTAGTCGCCAGCAGTTCGATCTAGGCAAACGTCCCGTTGCCCTGTCCGTGCTCCGTTCGGTCACGCACCTGCTCACCGCCGTCTGTATCCTGGCCGTTGACTTTGAGAGCTTCCACAGACCCTACAGGAAGAGCCGGCAGTTCGGAGCCAAGCTCATGGATATAGGGATCGGGCTGTTCGTCTTCACCATGGGCAGTGTCTCGCGGAGAACGCGAAATTTCACGGATTTGCGGAGAAGCGTGGTGTACTCCGCCCTGCCCTTGATACTTCTTGGACTGGCGCGCACTGTGGCCATCCTGGTGGTGGGTTATGGCCAGGATGAGCACGAGTATGGCCAGCACTTGAATGCCTTTTTCACGCTGGGCTTCACCAAGCTGTTGGGTGCTTTGGTCAGCATTTTGGCCAGAAGGGATGTGCATCTGCTGCCGCTGGGATTTGGTGAGTCAACCTGTTCACCTGGCAATTCACCAACTAATTCGTTTCTTAAACCTTATTTTCAGGTCTCTTGCTGCTCCACCAGTTTGGCTTAAGTATTCTGGGCATCTCCGACTATGTGATGGACGACGAAGTTGTCCGCTCGAATTTATTCAATGCGAATCGCGAAGGATTAGTGTCCTTACCAGGATTCGTTTCATTGTACCTCCTCTCCATCTATGTGAACCGTTGGATGGTGGCCATCACCCAGCTGACCTACTCCCAGATGGTGCAGAAGCTCCAGCGTCTCTTCTCCATCGCCCTGATCCTCTGGAGCTTATTTGGACTGAGTACCTATGCCATTGGCATCTCCAGGGTCACCTGCAACTTTGGCTATGTAATGTGGATGATGGCCATTGGTGGCAGCACCCTGTTGATCAGCTTTGGAGCCATTGACTTTGTGATCAACAGCGTGATGCCCTGGGATTCCAGTGGTTTAGAGGTTGATGAGCAGGAAAAGGGCCTGCTGACCGAGGAAACGGCAGCCAAGAAAAGGGCCAAGCCCATTGTACCCTTCACCATCAGTCAAGCCTTGAATCAAAATGGATTGACTTTCTTTTTGGTGGCCAATCTCCTGACCGGCGCAGTGAACATATTCCTGAAGCCGGAGAATCGCTCCAGCCTGGAATCGGTGGTCATTTTGCTTGTCTATATGTTTCTGGCCACCAAATTGGCCCACGAGTTGTTGAAAAGAGGGATTCGATTAGCCTAAGGGTGGCGATGCCTCCAGTGTCCAGTGTCCAGTGTCCTGTGATTTTAGCTGAATTTATTTTTCATATAGTAATTACCTTTTATAAAATAAATTTTTGTATTATACTACTACTTTTAGAGTTACCTTGCTGATAAGCCTGTTTGACTTTCGTATTAAATGTAAACAATTTAATCTTGACTTTGGCCTAATCGATTATGTGTCATGTTTCTGCCAGAAATATATTTAATGTGGACCTTACTTTGTGCTTAACTGATTTCTTGATATAAAACCTTGTTAGAACGTTGATTAGGAAGGGATCTTATCGGGTTTCGTTTGACAGTAATTGAGGTTTTTAATTTAAAAGGGTAGAAAGGGTAGATTTTAGTTTTAAAAGAACTTTATTTAATTAAGAACCTAATTAAATTTACAGAATAAACAAAATTCCTAAACTAAATACTCTTACTCGTTATCGAAATTTCAAAAGATCCGCCAGTTCGATGACAAACAGGTGCTTCGATAGGCAAAGGTGGCAACAGGTAGCTCCAATTAAACCGGAAAACTGGCCTCTGAAAATGCAGGCAGAACCCGCTTGGCCAGCTGGGCAGTTTGTGGCCATAATAAATCGTATTACCATGGAGACCATTTAGTTTTGTTGCCACAGCAAATGAAGAAAATTTACTTAACTGAAATTAAACTTAAATTTACCTTTTAAATATGTTTGTTTATCTGAGCAAAAAGGTGAGTGTTCTTGTGTATCTTAAACTAGATAAAGATAGATTTCTGTATCTACAGATAGCAATACCCAACAATGTCAAGCTCAACTGCATTGCCTGGAACAAGGAGGAGGGCTACATAGCAGTGGCTGGTACAGATGGATTGCTCAAAGTCCTGAAATTGGATCAGGGTAAGTTAAGGAAATCATTGGAGGAGGTACTTCTTCATATTCTAAACCGCTATCTTTACCTTATATCTCCGATAAAATCATTAAATGACAACCAAATATCATTATCTTCTTGATTAATTAATTGCCAAAATAAAATACCAACCCCCGATACACCTTAAAATTACCTCCATCCCTTTCCAGCCGCCTCCAATGGCCAGAATAAAGGTGGCCTGGCCGCCGTCTCCAATCTCTCCATGAACCAAACCCTGGATGGCCACAAGGAGTCCGTAAAGGTGGTCACCTGGAACGATACCCAGCAGAAGCTAACCTCCTCGGACACGGATGGCGTGATCATGGTCTGGATGCTGTACAAGGGATCCTGGTATGAGGAGATGACCAACGACAGGAAAAAGTCCACAGTGGCCAGCATGAGCTGGACTTCAGATGGTTCTCGGATCTGTATTGTTTACGAGGATGGAGCCATCATAGTGGGCTCTGTGGATGGCAACAGAATCTTTGGCAAGGAACTCAAGGGCACACATCTAACGGGTGTGCAGTGGAGTCCAGACAACCGGCTTATATTGTTTGCCCTAGCCAATGGAGAGTGTCATCTGTATGATAATCAAGGGAACTTTGCGGTGAGTAAAAAGGGAATACTCTTCTTTGTTCCTTCTTAACTCTCTTTAAGCGATTCTCTTTCAGATGAAGTTACACATCCAGTGCGTGAGCATCAGTGGCTCCTCCTCCAGAGGACATAGGATTGCCAGCATCTGCTGGTTCAGCGGCAGAGTCTCCCAGAGCCGCAAGAGACCCGTGCTGGCCATCTGCTATGAGAACGGAAGAGTGCAGATCATGAGGAATGAGAATGATGATGGTGAGTTATGGATGATGCAAGCTTCCTTCGTTAGTTACCCATTGCTCCTCTTCCTTGCAGCTCCTGCCATCTTCGACACTGGAATGCGCAACGTGGACGCCAAATGGAATCATGATGGCACTGTTTTGGCTATTTGTGGCACTACCATAGACACAATGACACCTCCTTCGCAGCGTGACTCCAACCAGGTGTGTTTCTACTCGCCGCTGGGCAAGATCATGCGCACTCTGAGGGTCCCGGGCAGCGACATCACCTCGCTTAGCTGGGAGGGCAAGTCCCTACGTATCGCCATGGCCGTGGACTCGTTTATTTACTTTGCCAACATCCGTCCGGATTACATTTGGTGCTACTTCGAGAAGACCGTGGTGTTTTTGAATAGTGGAAGTGCCTCCCGGGACTCGCCCATGTGCGTGATTACCTTCTGGAACACGGTCTCCAATCAGAGTTTTCTCAAGGAGGTTGAGCCCACGCTGTGCCTAGCCTCCAGCAGTGAGCACTGCGTCCTGGGCGTGGAGTGTGTGAGCAGCAACATCAAGGAGATTGCCTTAAGTACCCTGGAGAATCGCAGTAATCCGGCGGATGATAGGGTCTACCAGTTGCTGCTCTGCAACTCCATAGGAACCACTGTGGATTGTGAGTAGGAGAAGGATTAGTCTTAAAGAGAGTGTAATTTTTACTTCCCATCTCAGCCAAGTACACGGATATTAGACCCTGCTTTGTAGGCATCAATTCCAGCTATGTGGCCATAGCCTCCCAGGAGGAGATCCTCATTTGGCATTACCACACGCCCAAGGTAAGTACTTTTAGGTTTTAAAAAGCTTTGAATTATTAGAACCTTTCCCTCCTCAGAGTGCCTCTAGCCTTCACAATGTTAAGACGCGCAAGGAGAAGCGCTTCCACATTGATGACACTCCCACTGGCGTAGAGATGGCCAAGGATCTGATGCTGAGCAGCAGCAGTGGCGATGGTCACTCCACGCAGCGTGGCATCAGCGATCCCATTTGCGCTCTGGCTCTCTCCGAGAAGCTGCTGCTGGTGGCCAGAGAGTCGGGAGCCATCAATGAGTATAGCATAGCCAATGTGGCGCTGAGGAACCGACACCTGATGAACTCCAAGGTCTACAAAATGGCCATCAACTGCAATTCCACGTGAGTTTCAATGGGAAAAGGAATTTACTCCTCTAAAGACATTTAAAACAAATTCCTATATTTACAGACGCGCTGCCATTATCGACCACATGGGGGTGATGACCCTGCTCGACCTGGATGACAACCGGGAGACACAACTGAACTTTAGCCGCGTGGAGCGCAAAGATGTGTGGGCCGTCAGCTGGGCCAAGGACAACCCGCTTCTCTTGGCCCTCATGGAGAAGACTCGCATGTACATCTTCCGGGGCAACGATCCCGAGGAGCCCATCTCCTGCTCCGGCTATATTTGCACCTTTGAGGATCTGGAAATCACCAGTGTGCTTCTGGATGACATTATCAGCGTGGGTGAGTTGCAGAATTCCTCGCATCTTATCCAGCTGAGGGTCAAGTCGCTGCGGGATACCGACGATCTCCTAGAGCACGTAGGCTTGGAGGATGCCAAGCAGTTTATCGAGGACAATCCCCATCCGAGACTCTGGCGGTTGTTGGCTGAGTCTGCTCTGAAGAAACTGGAGCTGGAGACGGCGGAGAACGCCTTCGTGCGGTGTGCCCATTATCCAGGTATCAAGCTGGTCAAGAGACTGCGCACCATCCACTCCCAGGAGCTGCAGCGGGCGGAGATCTCTGCCTTTTATGGTGAGTTTGAGGAGGCGGAGAAGCTCTATCTGGATGCAGATCGTCGCGATCTGGCCATCGAGCTGCGCATGACCCTCTGCGATTGGTTCCGCGTCGTCCAGTTGTATCGAATGGGCGGCTCCGGTGTTTCGGACCAGCAGATGGAGACCGCCTGGCGGGAGATTGGCCACCACTTCGCCAACCTGCGTTCTTGGGAGAGTGCCAGGGAATACTACGAGAAATCCCACTATCTGGAGGGCTACATGGAGGCTCTCTATCACCTCGAGCAGTTCGATGAGCTTGAAAAGTGTGTGGAGCGGCTGCCTGAGAAGAGTCCGCTGCTGCCGAAGCTGGCCGAGATGCTGGCCTCGGTGGGCATGTGCTCGGAGGCGGTGCAGGCCCATCTGCGTTTTGGTGATCAAAAAGCCGCCGTTTCCACCTGCGTCAATCTCCGCCAGTGGGGCGAGGCCGTGGAGCTGGCCCAGAGATTCCAGTTGCCGCAGGTCCAGACGCTCATAGCCAAGCACGCTGCTCAACTGCTCCAGGAGGGACGACTCAAGGAAGCCATTGAGATGCAGCGGAATGCCGGACGCCACTTGGACGCGGCTCGTCTGCTCTCCCAAATGGCGGAGCGCGAGCAGGAGAAACGGGCTCCACTGCTGAGGATCAAAAAGCTGTACGTCCTGGCTGCCCTGCTGGCCGAGGAGCACCTCAAGGCGGTGGCCACGCCGGAGATCGACTACGCCAGCGGCAGGAACACCCTGCTGGACTCCATCGCCCTGGAGGATGCAGCTGCCATCGAAAGGTTGTGGCACTGCTCGGAGGCCTACCACTTCATGCTCCTCGCCCAGCGGCAACTGCGCTTCGGGATCATCCACAGTGCGGTGATTACAGCGGTCAGGCTGCGTGACTACGAGGATGTTCTCCCGCCAGAGCACATCTACAGCCTGTTGGCTCTGGCCAGTTGTGCGGATCGGGCCTTTGGCACCTGTTCGAAGGCCTTCATGAGGCTGGAGCAACTTGCTCATCTGCCGGAGAGCACCCTGCAGCGCTATGAGGAGCTGGCGGCAGGGATATTCGCCAAGTATGAGCCGGAGGATACTGTAGGCGAGCGGGTGGAGTGTTACTCCTGCGGAGTACCAGTTCCAGACAGGTGAGTGGTGGTCATATACTCCTCTAGATCATGATGTATGCTTATTTTCAGCTCCCCCGCCTGCCCGGAGTGTGGAGCCCGTTTTCCGGCTTGCATTTCCTCCGGCAAGCCAATCACTCAGCCCACGAATAACATATGGATCTGCACTACGTGCCACCACTGTGCTGCTCCCACAGAGATATCGAGGCACCGAACCTGCCCGCTGTGCCACAGTTTGATTGTGTCCATGACGGTGGAAATCTGAAATCACAAAAATATTTTTGAAGCTTAAAAATAAAATTTAAAAATAATGTATTTAAAATTAATGCCATTTAAAATAAACGGTTTTTTGTGCGACATGAGGTTGTAGTATCAGAAGTGGTTTGAGTATCAGGTTTCGATAATTTTAAGTGTGTTGTTGGGATAATTCCATCCCCAGCCATATGGTATTTTGATTTGTCCGAAGTCTGGTCACTCTGGCGGATTAAAGTACAAGAAGCGGTCGCTGTGCGTTTCGCTCTTGAAATTAATTAAATAAATCCCTGCCCTAGCAGGCGTGCGACTGTGTGCGTTCGCGAATAAAGTAAATAAAAGTTGCCGAGCCAGCATTAATGCGAAACGAGCTCCAATTGAGCCAAATAATTGAAGTGCATTTCGGGTTAAAGAATTGCGTTGTTGTGCGTCGCTGACATTGTCGATGTTGTTGTTCTTGTCAGCGTTGGGTTGGGTTACACGTTAAATAATTTAATTGTGTCTCTACGTAAAACGAGTATTATTTACAGACGTTCGCACAGTATTTGCAAAATAATCACAACCTGCGGGATTGGTGTGCCAAAATCGAGTGAGTCGCGAAACGAGAGAAAAACGAGTTTTTGATATGTGTTGAGAAAGCCAAACAAACAAACAATACAAAAATATATTGCTACATATAGCTTATATCTGCGCGGTGCTGTAAGCATTTAAAAATATAAATTGCCACGAAAATATATGGCCACAAAGATTTGGAAACGTGTAAATTGAGTGGAATGCAGGAATTGAGCCACTTTTGAGTGCATTCTTCGGCTTTTTGTTTTGAGTGAGAACCGTAACCAGTTTGCTGGTGAGTTTTGGCCTTAAATGCTGGTAGTGCTGTAAGTAAATGTAGTTCACGGTGCTTTTGTGTTTAAAAATAAGTTTATTTCTTAAATTATGTGCCTGCATCCAAAGGAAAGTTCCAGTTAGCTTAGTGGCCCTCTCTCCTCTCCCCTTTTGTTTATGGCTCGTTTGCATCTCTGTGTGCGTGTCAATTAGCGTTGTTTTTATTGTGCTCCCCTTTCACACACACCGAGAACAGTTAAACCTGTTCTGGTTTCTCTTTCGCACACTTTTATGGCCTTTCTTTGGCTTTTGGTTTCGCGCAATCTTCTTCTTTGTATCTTTATTGGCATTGCTTTTTCCTCTTGAGCAATCGTTGCAAATTGACGAAATTCTCTTTCAATCGCCTCACCTCTCCCCGCTCCCCCTGAGCCCGCATCGCCAGCATTTATTCCAGTTTCCTAACTCGGAAGCTTCCAGCTGCTGCATGGAAACAGCAACAAAAACAATAATGAAAAGAATCTCATGGAACATCAAATCATCAAACAGTGCCTGCATATATGTATGTATACACAAGCACTACTAAATACGGGACTAACTAACGCACACAGCTATAGCAGCTGCTTTCCTGATGAAATCCAGAATGAAATACAGTCTTACTCCCTTACAAAGAATAATTCCAACGCTAAATCTGAGAAGCTTTTAAAATATGTCTTTTAAAATATCAATCCTTCGATCATCAAATTGGTATTCAGTTATTTTCAACTTCCCTATATTCAAAATCAGGTAATATTTCAGCTACCTAGCGGTGAGTCTTGGATTTTACCAATCTGTAAGCAAACTCTGTGGGGAAATCAAGGAAATCTCTTCAAAAATACGTTTCTGTTTTAAATATGTTAAGGAGGGGTTTTTCCAAAGATTTTCATACATATCTTCAATAAAAAAGATTTGAGCTCCTTATTTGGTTTATAAACTTTTTCCAAGTTCAATAATAGTTCAAGTTATTCAAGTACAACTGTATTAATTCATTTGCTACACAAACATTCATATTTCTTGCTTCCTTTAGAGACTTGCGAGTCCCCCGGGTAGATTCTGAGATTTCGCAGTCTACATTATTTTGCGTTTTCCACAGTATTCCTCACTATAGTCTCTAAGTGAGAAATCGGCGACCACTACGTCTGAGTATAATGATTAAATACACTTTGTGTATAATAAAAATAAATGTGTATGTGAGTTTGCTTATGTCTGCTGATTGTGGTATCATTCTTTGGCTCTCCTCCAATTTCTTTACTGTTAAAAAGGGGAATCCCACTGAAAGTGTCTTTGACATCTGTTGGAGGCACAAATTAGAAACATGTGTTGTAGTTAACTTGTATAATATAGCTTATTTTATTCTATAAACCACTTTAAATCGCGTCACGTTAAGCTTGATAATTCCAACATTGACAATGGGACTTTTGATCATTATTATCGTACGTGATCCAATGAACAACGGCTGACGATGCCGGCTTAGGACTCGAGCTCAAAAGTGCAATGCACAGCGTTGAAATCCAGACGACGCATGGCTAGATATTAAACGCTGAATCGGCATTAAGAGGTGCGCTTCTCATTCTGGTCTCTGTACATGTGTACGGATTCCTTTTATGGAGCCTCACTTTGTTGTCACCATAATTACTCAGCTTTATTGATAATTCTGGGAGGAGTTGAGGTCGAGGGAGTGGCTGCCAAAGAGGAGTATGATGTGAAGACCTTGTGTGAGAGTGCAGCAGTTTCCTAGACTAAATTTCCATTACGTGACAGGCGGTGGCAAAGAAAAATCCATCAGCCAGTTTTTTACTCTTCTCCGTTGTCTGCTGTCAGTTTCTCATTATGATGTCCAGCCCATCACTCTGAATTTTCTATATTTTTCTACGGGGTTGCATTATCCAACGTTGCAGTCCCCTTGCTTTCCCCGTATTGTTGCAAGTGCAGTTTCAGTGGCTGTGATTATGCAAACATTCTTGGCTGTCTGCCTGTCTGACTTATAAGGTGTGGGCTGGGGGTTCCATTGCCCCAACAATCGTACATACTTATATTCTTGTTCTCTCAGCTTTCAGTTGAAAATACAGACTGTTTTCTCTGAATTTCTCTAGGAAGCTTCTCTGGCTTTATCCAAATTCGGGTTAGAAATCGGAGCTTCACCTGCTAATTGGCCAACACTCAAACGTATATGTGTAGGTGTTGAATACACCTGTGAAATGAATACATAAACGCTTAAACAGCTGAAATTACTGTCTCTGCGGGTGACGTGTCTCCCAATTTATTCGCATATAATATATTTACTTATTTGTCACAGGTTTGCACGTTTGCCCACTTGGATACAAAATGGAAGTTTAACTGCCATCATAATAATCATTTTAATAAATCTAAAAGTTTTGTGTACCCTTTATGCATCCATTAAGCTGTTCAACGACAGATTTAATTGACTTGGCATAATCTAAGGCATTGGACCCAAGTCAAAGTCAAAGCCAAAGCCGTAAACCCCTTGAAAACTGTGGAACCAGAGAATTCCTTAAATTATACGAGACGAAATTACTTCGGTTATAATAGCCTCGTCTCACGTTCCGCGGTCAGAACATTTGCTTTTCATACCAATCACATTTGTTTTGAATACTTTATTTATTGTTTTTGCATTTGTTTATTTCAAATGTATTTTATCAGCACGCCCTGGCGTTAAATTGCCAACTGGATGTGAAACATTTGCGTTTCGGTTATTAGAGATCTCTTGTTTATTCGCTATTTGATTTCGCTATCCAAAGTCTGGCTCAAGTGGAGGGGTTCCTCTTACATATGTATAAGAAAATATATACAGTACTGTCGCTCCACCAGAGTCTTTGTTTAGTTTTAATCAAGTGCGCAGTATAGGGAAATAAATATGTATGTATATATCTTGGTACTGCCTTTTTCCCGCAAGATATACAGCAGGGCGCCAGATCTTATATTTGTTCTTTACAATATTTCTGGGTATATGAAGCTTGATATCAAGTATTATGGTACACTTCTACATATATTTTTCTATATCTAAAACAAAGTAGCCCTTAAAGACATAATTCCCAACTGGTTCTAACATTACCTACTTTTTTAAAATCTTAGCAAAGGAAATTCCCAGATCTAGGAGTCCTATAATTGAATTTTATATAACAGAAAGTATTTCCAATGGGTATCTATTACAGAGATTATCATCTATAAATTGTGCTTCTATTTTATATTGCCCAACAGAGCTTTCTTTGTTGTCTAAAAGTGTATTCCATCCACTTGAGAGTAATTTACTGAATTTTCCTTCACCAGAACTCAAGTGTATTTCATGCGGGGTCTTCGTGGGATTAGTCATAAAAATATAGTACAAGCACTTAAAAGGCACAAGCACACGTAGACAGACGGTCAGCGGAAATAGAGTGCAATTTGTATGCCGAATGTCCAGGTGTTAACAGCTTATAGCAATCATATATATATATATAATATATTTTATATATTTTCTTGTCCCATCAAGAACTGTTGTTTCTTTCAAGTCGCTGCCCACCGCGATAAGAAAGAGATATTTTCTGGTAAACAAACATATAGTGAGGAGTGCCACAATCACCGTTCTGTTGGGAAAGGGCATACGCATACACCAAGCCTCCGATTACAGGGGTTTATAACGTTTATCCCAAACCAACCTTATCCAAACATTTGTGAATGAAATCCGTATGAATCAGCCGAACCAGATGCTGATCATGAATGGGTGAACGGATTTGATACACGATAGTATTAACGGTGCCGGACACGTTTTCCATTGAACAAATCACGCACACTTCTCCATTATTCGACTCACAGATATAGTCTATAGTCTATGGTCTAGCATCACTTAACGTGACTCATCCACGACATTTCTATTTAGCTCATTAAAACAGCAATAAGCAATGTAAACAAATAAGTAAATTGCGAACACAAACTGGTTTTCTCGTGGAAAATGCACATAATGTGAGCGCTTTTCGCATTTAAATACAATTTATGCGGAAGGCAAAATAAAAGTTGCACATATGCCCCTTAAGTGGCAAAATGAAAATAAATGGCGATGAGTTAATATAATGTGTGAATTAAGGTCTCCAGAGTTCAAAGCATTTGGTTTGTTTAGTTGGGAATATTATTCATAGAGAAGTGTATATATTTTAGAAATTTATATATGAAATTCTAAAGTTATCAATCCAAAATTACTTTTAGAAATTCAAATCAGGGAGTAAAAAAAGTCTATTATAAGTTTCCCCCCTATACAGTTGCATTCTTTCTTTTTGAAAATCAAATCAAATCTGTTTGTTTCGCACACTTTTCGTTGTCTATTGTAGATTTAATTTATTTTTGGTATTATTCTATTAGTCCAATGGCCCTGACCAGATTACGCATATTCCGTACGACCGAATCGTTCGTTTACAGGCTGAGTTTAAAGAATTACTCACCTACAAATGAACAAATATCAGTGAACTCAAACGGGTCAAGCCTGTTGAAGGGTGATAGTACATAAAGTGTTCTTATCGCTGCTGTTCTTATCGTAATCTTTGGCTCAGTCGAGAGGTTGTAGTTAGTTATCGCTGAGTTTATATTTTTCCAGCTCATTTACGAAGCTGTTTCACAGTCTCTTAAAAGTTGATAGTATTCTCATTTATTTTAAGGGATATCTACATGTTATCCCAGCATGAAATACAAATAGTAAAAGTATCTTTAGATAAATACGATCAGTCAATGTTTATTGATTGATTGTAAATTATTAAGTCCCTAATGCCTGGCTTGGCTATATAAATATTTACTGCTTTAATGTTCAAATTTTTAAATGGTTTTTCCCCACAAGGCTTTCCTTTTGATTACTTTTTCTGACCTCTCGCTCATCACGCGATTTCTGGCTAATGGCAACCTTGACAATGACCACATTTGTTCTGCCATTTTAGAGCTGGAGCAAAAGTGGGTGGAGTTGGAGGAGGAGCACATGCCATACTGCTATTGAGTGAATCAGATTTCACGCTGGATAAGCCATTAAAAGTAAACCAGTAATTAGCTTTGCCATATAAATACGGATTGTGGATCACGACAATTCCAGCTCTAATTGTGGGTATTTTCCAACTGAACAGAGACATTGCTGGGCCATGCTTCACGTCAGTTCCTAATGACCAATGGCAAAAGGAACAGCTTTCCTTTGTGTATGACATGGTTACAGCTTAGTGGAGCTAATATTTGCTATTAAAGGGGGATGGATCTTCATTTCCGGAAAGGCCTCTGTTATGAAATCAATCAAGCTCACATTTCTCTATTGAATGATTATGCCATCTTCATTCCTAATGGGTCATAGGTAACTGTAGCCACTGAACTAGCAATACTTGGCCCAGTTCCCACATAGACTTGACCCCAATTATATGCAAATTCTCAATATCGCATTACTTTGAGACTTTGATTGAAATAAGAGCCACTTCAGAAGTGGTCTTTGAAGCATTTGCATTATACCCTAGGGCACTGAATCGAAACTGAAGTTGGTTCCCTTGGGAAAACCCTCCTGGGCTAAATGGCATCCATATGAGGCGGCGGTTAGTGAGTGAATCATGTGATATATACTATAATTGTTGCAAAAATAGGGGCTCTCTGGCTGGCGGGATGCAATTGAAAGTGAAATGAGAACGACGAGGCTGACCAACAAAGGCCCACAATCTTTCGCTGGTGTGATGGTGATGGGGCCCCAGCGGAAATGTTTTTGTTTTTATGCTGCTGCTTATTTATCATGCAGAACAAATTGCAGAAAAAAAATACACAAAAAAATAATAATTGCATTTGCTGACTGATGATGAGCCAGTGGCCAAATGGATTGTAAACAAATCAATAAATTTAAGGCATATTGATCGTGGGCAAAGCAAGATATTTAACAAATTTCAACAGATTCCATTATTCTGTCTTAAAAATAAAGTGTGATTTAAGGTCTTTGTAAATAAATGAAACATTGAAGTCACTTTGAGGATGTATTTAAAAGATCGATTAAACATCGTTTTGAATACCTTAATGTGTCGTTTAGCGTTTATAAAATTCCAAATCATATACGTTTACGCAAATTATATAATAATCTTATCTAAATCCCACTGCTATCTGAACTGGCTTCCATTTGTATCGAATTTAAATTTAGTTTTCTTTTCTGTGAGTTAAAAACTGGAAATTTATTTACTATTTTCCTTTAGCGTTGAAGAGGAGTATTGAACAAGAGTCTTCCTTGGTACATATTACGTCTGCTTAGTATTATAAAGTGTCCCTGCCTTGCCTGTGTGTTTGTGTCGTTGCTGCAACACAAAATATATAGACGATGTTCAGGTTGGTATCTCTCCAGGAAAGCCGTTGCTCGAGTTAGCTTGTGTGATTGGGGTTCATTGTGGATGGTCCTCCGCCTGCTCCTGATCTAGGCCAGACGCAGGCGCATCTGATGCACTCCTTGGGTCAGGCCCGTTTTCAAAGAGAAGGCCAGAGAAAAGGCAAAACCCACCAGACTAACAAGAAATAGCCAAGGCGTGGCCAGCACCACAATGAGGAAGACCACGGTGTCGTTAGCCTTGGCATTGACCATGCGCCAGAGCATTTGGCGCATTGTGCTGCGCAGCTGGGACTTCGTGCGCCAAATTCCAAAGCGACAGCTACGCATAACACCTCCCAAAGGTGCGGCCAGGACCACAACTCCACGCACCAGCATGACAAACAACTGCAGCACGAACAGCATATGCTTGGCAATGGCGCTCTGACTGTAGGCTTCCCAACGACGACGCCGGTGCTCCGGTATAGCTTCCAGCACGCAGTCAAGGATGCGTCGCCAGCGGGATTCGGTTATCAGGTCTGCTCCCTGTTTCTGTATGCATAGATCGCTTTCGGAATCGGTCTCCTTGGCGGCTATCTCTTCGTTTGACCGAAGCGACTCTATAAAATTCTGTGACTCCAGACTCTGGTTCGGCTTGGACATGCTCCCTGTCTTGGGTGTATCCTTTAGAAAGGTTATATCACCCTCGTAGGGAGCAAAGGCTGTGGGGACAAAGGGCGCCTTTCCGGTCCGCCCGTGTCCCATCACACCGCCGCTGCTGAGGAGGCGCTGGGCCATGATGGGCAGCGGCGGCAAGGAATCCAAACCATTGCCGTCCTCGGCCAACTGGCGCTGGCGACTAATGGAACGCATCATTGGCTTAATACTCGGCTGGCCCATGAAGGGCATTCCATTGAGGCCATCGGTAGCATGGCTAAATCCTTGACCTGTGCCCTCGCCAAACTGTGATGCGTTAAAGTTAAACGGAGAAGCTCCGAATCCTCCTGGGCCCGCGGTGAAGGGCGAACGCTGTCTATGCATCCTTGGACTTGGTTCTTTTCGATCCGGGATACCGATAACTTTTCGAGCTGCTTTCGATTTCTGGACGTGTTTGGAAATAATCAACGTTCAGACTGGAAATGATTCGGAACTGACGACTCGAGAGAGTAGAAGACAGTAGATCAGCTCCCACTTGGATCGATTTCGGAAGTTGTATTCTTTTTTAATACTTGAAAAATATGATTTTGAAATAGATATAAAAGAATATATCAAAAAATTATATTTTGAGCGTTAAATATATAATAATATCTTCTTTTTAAAAATGATAATTTTTGGAAAACATTTTTAAAGTAAAATATACTTTAAAAAACTTGTTTTTATATATTTATTATTATTATTATTATTATTATTATTATTATATCGCTCATCTTCTTTTCTGACTAACACAAAGCTCCTCTCCCTTTGTTCTTGCAGTTTTAACTCTGAATTAATCGCAGCTTGAGTCATCCCGGACTAAAGGCTGATGACTGTGACTTGTGACAGTCCAATGTGAGCCGGCCAGAGCAGCTGCATCAGTTAGAGAGTGCACACACACTGCTATCACTGCCATCATGTTTCGGCTGATCCTCCTTGCCTGCCTGGCCCAGCTGGCCCTGGCTCAGGCGGATCTCAAGGATCTGGATGGACCCAATATCTGTAAAAGGCGGGAAACGTAAGTTACAAGTGTTCTTATCTAAAAAATGTAGTACTTACTTAAATGAAAACACTCTTAATTCTAGGTATCCCGTGGAAGTAGTCTATACGGAACTGCAATCATACCAGGAGCGTGGCTCCACTTGGTGCATGACCATTCCACCCCGCTGCTCCACATATCGCATCAAACACCGAGTGGTGAACAAGACGCAGACAATAATGAAGAACCGAGTGGTACGCGATTGTTGTGGTAAGTTTAAAAGGGTCTTCCAGAGAAGTCCGAGTACTGATTAACTGTTTCCCACCTTTTCAGATGGCTACATTGCCAGTGCTGGAGAATGCGTTCCTCATTGCTCGGAGCCATGTCAGCATGGTAGATGCTATGCCCCGGAGAAGTGCAAGTGTGACCATGGCTACGGAGGACCCGCCTGTGATATAAGTTCGTTGACCCCTTAATCTACTTTTTTCTGTATTTTTGTGCCTAAATGTTGTGTGTTTTGTGGGGAATCTGTACAATGAACCGCCTTGGGTGTACGGGGAGTGTTTGGGTTATCCTGCAGTCCGGGAACTTAAGTTAGCTATAAGCTTTGTTTACGTATTAATTGTTTCGGACTGTCTGCGATGACCTAAGCCCAATTGCTCATAGCTTTATCTTATAAAGTGTCCTTGCAGAGCTGCTAAAATTATGGATTAATAATATTTACTTAATATAATCATCCCTGAGCTCTTTTATGAGCATTTTTCTATGAATTTTTGTGTGGATATTAAAATATATATTTTGAGGAACTTAAATTAAATGAAGGAACATAAATTACATTTACGAAACTTTTTTTTTTAATGTCAAGAGAGAGACGTCGCACTATTTTTGCCGCCTCTCTGATGCCAAACTTTTTATTGACATTTTATTTGTAAATATTAAAGGATTAGGAGCTATTATAAAATATCTAGGAATTTTGAAATTAAAACAAAACCCTTAAACAAAATGACAGTACCATAAAAACCCGAGCAAATAGAACAAAAAAATGAAATAAGAATAGAAAAAAAAATATTAAAAAACTCCGCACACATAACCTTTAACCACAAGAACACACCTAACACGCCATGGATGAGGAGGAGGACACTGACTACCTGCCGCCATGGAACACCAACACCTTAGGCGTACCCAACGATCCGGCCTTGATCGCCGTCTATGAGCTGTATAAATCCCCAATACATGCCAACCGCCTTCTGCTCACCGAACGGAAGCGTGTGACCTTCGCCGAGGCCTTGAATGGGCCCAGTAGTGTGCCCACCTTGGCGGATCTGTGCGTCCGGCAGCTGGCAAAGAGGGGCACCGCCCACATGACAGCTGACGTGCTCGAGAATCCGCTGAAGATGCGCATTTACTACGATTCCCTGGACGTGGATACACCCCTGCGCGAGTGCTACTCCGTGCAGGACCAGAGTTTTTGGCGACGCGTCGTCCTCGCCAAGTCTACCGACAAGTGTCTGGCGATGAAGGGATTGAACGGGTACGACTGGCGCGGCAAGGGACTAAGCCTGAAGTATGTGGAGCTGGTAGAAGCCTGTCCGGCGGCTATTTGGCCGGAAAGGGAGATGACCAGGCTAGCGCTGTTGATTCGAGACGACGTGCGCTACATGGACATTCGACACTTGCAGTCCCAGTCTGAGTTTAAATTCCGAAAAGCGGGTCTGGACGATGACAACACGGATCCCATTATTAGTTCTGAGGAGACGCAGGGCATGGACATTTCCAGTGATGAGCCCGACACTCTGGACGAGGCGGAGGGCGAGGAAGAGGAGGAGGACGATAACATAGAGGACGTTGGCATCACATTCACATTCGACAAACCTGTGACCGCCAACAAAGGAGATGATCCACATATAGAGCAAAAACGATTGCGACATGAACGAAATGCCGAACGACAACGGCTGCGGGACATCAAGGAAGCCCAGCGGGAAGCGCGAAAGGCACGCCAGGCTACCAGCTTGGTGAATCAGAAGCCAGAGGAACCGCGTCGCAAACGACGGCGCAAGCAGCGGATCACGGGCGCCTTCGACATCCGAGTGGATCCGGAGCCGGATGATGGGGACGACAAGGTGATGGACAAACGCAACAAGCAGCGTTACCTGGACCACCTCAAGAAGTTCGAGTATCCGGAGGAGGACTGCTCCCATATCGACCTGAGCTTCGTGGGCCACTTTGACAATCTAATCTCGTTGACTCTGGAGTTTCTCGGCCCTGCCGAACTGGGCAGGGACTACCACAAGCGACACTTGCTCTTCTCCGTACGGGACATGGTGCATTTGGCCCGCGGTCTGGTGTACCTGGAGCAGCTGCAGATCTTTCGGCTGCGCAACAGCCATTTGGACCACTTGAAGCTCTATTCGCTGTGCCGGGTGCTGCGATCTTTGCCTGCTCTGGAGGTGGTGGACTTTGGCTACGACCAGATGACCGACGATTGCGGTCCACTTCTGGGCCTTCTTCTGGATCGTCCACGTATGCTGAGCTCCTTGGAATTGGAGTTCAACCGCCTGGACACACGGGCCATGTTGGCCATTGGCGAAGCACTAAATCGACCAAGCCAAGTCAAACTCCAGTACCTGGGACTCGGGCACAACAATCTGGGACCCGAGGCCCTGACCGTTCTGTTGACCCACCTAAAGGGCACCGAGCACGTTCAGGAGCTAGATGTCTCCGGGATCAAGGTGAATGGCAGGTATTTCACTAATGAGATCACCGAATTGATACGCCACCATGAACCACTGCGCCGACTTAAGATGGTGGCCGTGCCACTGTCCGCGAATCTAGGAAGGCAGCTGATCTGCAGCCTCAATGCAAATACCAAGATCACCCACATCGATTGCCGTGGCTGCGATCTGGATTTGGAATTGGAACTAGAGGCCGACATAATTGTCAGGCGAAACATATTTCTGTCCGAGAATAGCTTCGTCTTGGACACCGAGAAGTTCCCGGAGACCCATGATTTGCTAGAGCATGCCAAGACGCTGCATCATCCCATAATGGAGAAGGTGGTAAACGCATCGGAACGGCGGGAAGAGTGTTTCCGCCACTATCCGCGCTGGTCGCAAACCCCTTTACGTATTGAGACTCCATTGGAGGTCCAGGAAGAGGAATCAGACTATAATATTTGGGAGGCTATGGGCGTCATCCAGAATAGATTAACCACGCAGTCCACGCAACAGGACACAGCAGTTAAGCATTCGCTAAGTAGTGTTTCGGTGCCACACATCTACGATCCGAACAGCTTTGATCTGGAAGAGTTTCGACAGCATGTCTACTTGCCGGGCCCGGGCAACAGATACTCGTACTTCCAGAAGCATAGAAACTCTATAAAATAAACGGACCTTTTCTGGAATATTTGCCCGAAAATCTAAAGATTTGTGAACTTGAACCATGAAGAAACGTGTAATACAAAGACACCTGAGAATTATATTAAATATATATATAATATAAGCAAGTTTTAGAGCATTTCTTATTTAATATTTTAAATTATAAAGTGTGCGCTATTAAATATCCCGAATTTCCGGAATTTGGTATTATATTAAATTGAAAATATGAGAAATATATTTTAGTTAAATTATAAAAATTACGTACCTTAAACCCCAATCGTGGCCTCTGCAAGGACATTAAATCCTTGGACTACCAGGGACATGCACGTAGTATCTGCTTAGTTGTGCTCTGTCTATATCTGTGCTTCTCCCTCTATGTTGCGTTGCTTTGTAGCTTGAGTTGGTTTTACCCCCTTTTTAAGTTGCCATCCTAAACCGAAATCTCAACCCCAACACCCCCACCATACACACACCAATCTCTCACGCACACACGCAGTCAGCCTACTCTACCGGCTACATTCTTTAGGTGCAAGCAGGCTTTCCCCCCTCACCAAAGTGTCTAGTTCCGGGAGCCGCACCTGGGATTGTCCTTTTGCTTAGAAATGAAAAATGCAAGTGGCTAAGAAGAGCAAGAGCAAGCAGCAACTAACCCGTAACCCGCTCCCTGTGATCCGTAAAGGCTGCTAACCAAAAATTTGTTGTCACTTTTCCGCCAGATTGCCCACCGGGCTGGTACGGCCGGAACTGCTCGATGCAGTGCGACTGCCTGAACAACGCGGTCTGTGAGCCCTTCACCGGCGAGTGCGAGTGCGCCAAGGGTTATGCCGGCGTCCGCTGTGCCGAGCTCTGTCCAGAGGGTTTCTTTGGTGCCAACTGTTCGGAGAAGTGCCGCTGCGAGAATGGCGGCAAGTGTCACCATGTCTCCGGCGAGTGCCAGTGTGCGCCCGGCTTTACGGGTCCCCTGTAAGTGGGAAGAGGAGCTGCCTCTTGCCTCGGAGACATATCATTTCGCCTTGAGGTTTACGACAAAATGAATCGTAGATTTCTTACTATGCATGCCACATTTTATTAATTTTTTTTACCCCTGCAATCTACGATTCACTTTGTTTGCCCCGTGGCGCTTTGCCAAGTCTCCTTCCCACCCACCGAATCCCTACTAATCCTACGCTCCAAATAGATGCGACATGCGCTGTCCGGACGGCAAGCACGGCGCCCAGTGCCAGCAGGACTGCCCCTGCCAGAACGACGGAAAATGCCAGCCCGAGAGCGGCGCCTGTATGTGCAATCCCGGCTGGACGGGAGAGGTGTGCGCCAACAAGTGTCCCGTGGGCAGTTATGGACCTGGATGCGAGGAGTCCTGTGAATGCTACAAGGGAGCGCCCTGTCACCACATTACCGGCAAGTGCGAGTGTCCTCCTGGTTACCTCGGGGAGCGCTGCTTTGACGAGTGCCCTCTAAACACGTACGGATTCAACTGCAGTCAGACATGCAACTGCCAGAATGATGCCACCTGTGATCGAGCCAATGGAACCTGCATCTGCAGCCCGGGATGGCGGGGCACAAAGTGCGAGGAGCGTATCTGCGAGAAGGACAAATACGGAATGGACTGCAACAGCACCTGCGAGTGTGATATGGAACACACGGAACTGTGCCACCCGGAGACGGGGAAGTGCCACTGCAGCATCGGCTGGAGCAGTGCCCAATGCACCAGACCCTGTACCTTCCTGCGCTACGGCCTCAACTGCGAGCAGACCTGTAATTGTAAGAATGGAGCCAAGTGCTCGCCAATCACTGGAAAATGCCTCTGTGCACCGGGCTGGACGGGAGCCACCTGCGAGGAGTACTGCCCCGTGGGCACCTTTGGCCAGGACTGCGCCTTGCGCTGCGACTGCCAGAACGGAGCCAAGTGCGAGCCGGAGACAGGTCAGTGTCTGTGCACGGCCGGCTGGAAGAACATCAAGTGTGATCGTCCCTGCGATCTCAATCACTTTGGCCAGGACTGCCGAAGCGTTTGTGATTGCCAGAATAATGCCGCCTGCAATGCGCAGAACGGAACCTGCACCTGTGCCGCCGGCTGGATGGGCGAGCGGTGTGACCGGAAGTGCGAGAAGGGAAAATTCGGACACGGATGCAGCCAGAAGTGTCAGTGCGATTTCAACAATAGTCTGGCCTGCGACGCCACCAACGGACGCTGTGTGTGCAAGCAGGACTGGGGAGGTACTACCCATGGGATTTTCTATCTATCTACATTCCATTGACACCGCATAAACTCATGAGAATCCATTGAATTCATTGCAAAACTCTTTGAAATCTTAAAAATTGCTATATTATCCTTCTTTTAATTGATCTCCTTTGAATAATAGTTTAAAATAAACCCCTTTTTCAATAAATTAGTAGATTATCAATGTAAGCCTAGACCAAATCTCCCCAAGAATATCCCAAAAAACCAACCCAACCCAGACCCTAACATAACTCCCTCGCACTCATTACTCGCATTACTTTCTCATTTCGCGCATGCCTAATGTTTCGTTTCTTTACGAGTTTTAATTTGCTTTTCTCTGGTATTGCACCTTTGTGTTTCTGTTTTTTTTTTTGTTGTCCTTGTCTGATGCCCAAACGATGACCAAAACCAACCCAAGGCGTTCATTGCGAGACCAACTGTCCAAGCGGTTACTATGGTGACAATTGTGATAAAGTTTGCAGATGCCTGAACAACTCCTCCTGCGACCCCGACTCTGGCAACTGCATCTGTTCACCCGGCTGGACGGGCGCCGACTGTGCCGAACCCTGTCCAAGTGGATTCTATGGGATGGAGTGCAAGGAGCGTTGTCCAGAGATACTTCATGGTAAGAGAGATCTTAGCTTTGGAACTATCTCTGTACCAACTGATTAATTTCTTCGTTTTACAGGAAACAAGAGCTGCGATCACATAACCGGCGAGATCCTCTGCCGCACTGGCTACTTGGGACTGATCTGCGAGCATCCCTGTCCGGCGGGTCTTTACGGACCCGGCTGTAAGCTCAAGTGCGACTGTGACCATGGCGGCGAGTGCAATCATGTGACCGGGCAGTGCCAGTGCCTGCCGGGCTGGACGGGAGCCAATTGCAAGGAGCCCTGTCCCACGGACACCTACGGCCAGGGATGTGCCCAGCAATGTCGCTGTCTGCATCACAAGGTTTGCCGCAAAAACGATGGCATGTGCATTTGCGAAAAGGGCTGGACGGGCACCCGTTGCGACGAGGTGTGTCCGGAGGGCTTCTACGGCGAGCATTGCATGAATCATTGCGCCTGTCCCTCGGCCAATTTCCAGTGCCATGCGGCCCATGGCTGCGTCTGCCGGAGTGGCTATACGGGCGAGAATTGCGACGATCTCATAGCCTCCCAGCGGGTAGCCGATCAGGGAGAAGATTGTGAGTATTTCAGGGTGCATTTTGGGATATTTTAAAATGCTTATTAATGGTTTTATTTTTTCTTATCCTCAGCAAGCCGAGCCAGCGTGGCTTTGACCTTGGTCCTTATGACCCTCTTTGCCTGCATTATATTTGCTGTTTTCTTCTACTACCGCCGACGTGTGTCCAATCTAAAGACAGAGATTGCCCATGTTCATTACACGCACGAAACGAATGCCACCGGCTGGCCGCCCAGCAATCACAACTTTGATAATCCCGTGTATGGAATGCAGGCGGAGACACGCCTCCTGCCCAACAATTTGCGCAAGATGAATAACTTTGATCAGCGGAGCACCGTGAGCACGGACTACGGCGGCGATGACTCCAATGCCAGTGGAAGGGGTGAGTATTTGGGAGCTCTCCATATTTCAATTATTTTTTATTTATTATTTAATTATATTTATATATGTAATCCCTAGTAGGCAGCTATTCTATCAACTACAATCATGATCTGCTAACCAAGAACCTAAACGCGGACTTGACCAATCCAATTGTTTACAACGAATCGCTCAAGGAAGAGCATGTCTACGATGAGATCAAGCACAAGGAGGGCTACAAGGATCCTGGTAAGTTTGAAGGACTCTTGACGATCCAATCACAACTAACTACTATAACTATATCCTATATTATATGCATCTCATGGCATGAATCAGTGAAAATTTATAGCAAGATTTTGTTTCCCGAGGGTAAGCCAAGTCAAAACAAAAATATCCTGTGTAGTAGCAAGTGCCCTGTTCGTTCTCACTCATGTCCAGTGTTAAGAGGCTTCCTTGCCAGTGTTTTCCCATAAATAACGGCTTCGTTTCTCTACCCCCTCAGATGAGTACGACCATTTGGACTATTCGCGTCCTAGCACCTCGCAGAAGCCGCACTATCATCGCATGAACGATGCCATGCTTAACATCAACCATGACGAGGAGGAGAAGCCCAGCAACCTGAAGAATATGACGGTGCTGCTGACGAAGCCAGAGCCACCCGCAGAGCCGGAGCCGCAGCACGAGAGCTTCGACAATACAAACACCAATCTCGACAATGTGTCGACGGCATCGCCCAGTTCCAGTCCGGAGTTTCGCAAGTAAAGGAAACAGTCACCGGGACAGTCACTTTCTCCCCTGAATAGAACTTAAGTTGCAAACGTCGATATATATTTAACGCAGACTTGTAGCTTAATTTATTTCGTAGCATTTTTAGTTGTGTATGTGAATTCTGTGTAGCATTTGTGTCCCCCAATTTTAAACTTTGTATTTGTACTTGTGTATTTCGCTCAGTTAGGTCGAAAGTGTGTGTTCAGACAATTGTAAATTATTATTTTATGGGTCCCCAAACTAAACTTTTGTAAATGTCTACTTCATTTCAAAATTTTACTAACAAGTTATGCTCATTTGGATATTATCATCTACGCGATTAACACCCTAAGTGAAACCATATTAAATTAAGTAATAGAGCTGGAAATAAAATCGATTTTATAATCGATTAGTAAATTTTTGTTCAAATATTTACAATTATTTTTAATTTTGGAAACGATTTAATCGAAAAAGTTCTATGATGTAAATTCAAATATAATTTTAAATCTTTTCTTTTTCGATTTTAATCGATTTTAATTGATTTTAGAAAATATCGATCTACCAAAAATCGATTTATTTGCAGCTCTATTTAGTACCTACCTATTAGACACACTCTTCCTGTTGAAATTTGTGGAGAGTCTCCGAGAGATGCTCGTCCGGATCGAAGGTTGCAATAATTTTAGGAACGAACCTATGCATATACAAAAATGATATCAATATCGTAAGCATATATATATATATTTTCATAAACCACGTATTTACGTATTTGTGCATAAGCAATAACTTCAAACAGAGAACAAATCAAGTGTACCATAAATTGTTAATTAAATTGCTTATTACCTTTAATATGGAAACGATTGGCCAAAAATTGTATAAAACTCAACCCCGAATTGATGGATTTTAGAAGAAATATTAACGATTAGCTCAAATATTGGAATATCACGATTGTGTCAAGTTTTTTAAACGAGTGTATTTATGTTACTGCTCATAATAAAATTAAATTACAAATATTTTACACAAATAAAGTATTTAATTTCAATGAAAACACACATTAAGATATTTATTTAAATTTTTATTTAGTAGAAGCATCAAGTACAGTAATCTTTATAAATAGTTTCCCTCAGCGCTTTCGTCTTTGATTTCCGTTTAGCAAGTGTTCTATTACATAGAGACTACTCGGTAATGCTAGGCTAGATGATAAATACAAGATCCTGGCGGAGGATCCACACGCTCACACATACACAAATTACACAAGTATTCAATTACGGACACCGATAATAGTTACGAGTTAGGATTTACGAGTTACGAGTACAGTTTACAACTAGAAGCGTACTAATTAAGAGCGAATGAAGGTGCTTAATGTTGATGGATATAATGCTAATTGATTTAAATGTAGAGCTTGACTGGTGGTGGTGATCGGTTTAAGGGGAATCCAGAGGGAGGAAAGGATGATAATCCCAAGATAAATCTCAGTGATAACTCCCATTCCTACCTACAGGTAGCCATGCCCGGCCACCTCGGCTGGTATGAAGCCCTCGCGTCCATCCCGCGTCCTTATGTAGAACCACTGACGCTGATCCTTGGACTCGCGGCACTCGCACAGCGTCACAATCTCGCCCTTGTGCACCGCAATGCTCTCCGTGATGTAGTCCGTATTGATGGCGACTAGAGTTTGCCGCTGGCCCACCTCCTGCTGGCGGCGCAGCGCCTTCAGGCTGGCTTCCGCCTCCGCCTGGTTCTTGGCTGGTTTGTGCTCGTAGGGCGGCGGCAGCGGCACGAATTTTGGATGCAAATGCTGGCCATTTTGGCCGTTGGTAATGTAGGACACATTGGAGAGCCTACGGGCGGGTTGTGACTGGTGTAGGTGGGTCTGAAGGGTGGGATTGGGCAACTTCTTCGATGACTTTTGCTGCAGGGTCACATACTCGTCCTGGGATGCCCCGCTTCTGACCGAAGCGGAACCGGAGGCCACTTGGCGAGTGGATCGCAGCTGGGCATAGGCCTTCTCCACGAGACGGGGTTTGGAGGCGGCTCGCAGGTACAGCTTATCCACCTGCTGCTCCCCATACAAGGAGTTTGCCGTGCTGCCGCCTTTCGCCAGCTGGTTATTGTTGCTACTGTGATTGTTGTTGTTATTGTTGTTGATGGCGGTGTTGCTGATCTTGAGTAGCTCCTCCGCAGGCTTGGCACTGCGTGGCGTGCGTGCTCCATCGGAACGAGTGCCGCCCCTCAGTCGGATCTCCTTCTCCGAGTCGGTCATGTTGCCACATGGCCGGGGAAAGACATCTGCATTGGACTCCCAGCAGGGAGTGCTCCTTGAGCCAGCCCTCGCCTGCTGCGGCAGAATCCCCAGGGGCAGGCAGCAGGCATAACCCACATAGCCCTCTTCCGCGTGCGGTGTTTGCACATAGAGCCAGTTCTGGTTCTTGAACACCGCATTCACCACCATGCCTAGGGGCAGGGGGATCTCTAGCTGGTAGCCGCCAGGCCGGGTTTGGTAGAGAGTGCTGGCCGTGGCCAGGACCACGGGTATGTTGCCCGGCGTGGCCAGCGAGCAGCGCGAAAGAAACTCATCCACGTTGTGGATTTCGTAGCCGAAGCGCTGCACTCGATTGCGATCCCTCCGCTTGCGGTGGCGATGACGACGCTGCTGCTGCTGGGGAGCAGAGGAGCCTCCGCCGGCACCTCCTCCTCCTCCTCCACCCTCCGAAGCCGCCACCAAACTGGGCTCCGAGTAGGAGGTGCACTTCAGTGACTCCGCCCCAGTGACCGAACCCCTGGCCTCGCCCGCTTGCGATCCACTGGATCTCGCCTGCTGCAGTCTGGTGGCCAGTTTTTTGCGTATCTCATTCCTTTTCCTGGCCAAGAGCAAGGCCTCGCTGTGACCATCGCTCCTGGGCGCCCGTTGTGGTGTGCACACGAAGAGCAGCTCTTTGGTGGAGGCGGCGGCCACTGGTCCGCCGTTCTGATTGCTTCTGGACACGTCCAGCAGGTTCTGGTTGCTGAAGAACTTCTGATGGTTGCCCAGGTGCCCGTTGGGCGGCGCCTGATGGGCAGTGGGCGTGGTGGCATACCCGTTGAGCGGCTCTCCGCCGCTCGGTAGCTGCTTAACCCTGTACCGCTTCTTGGTGACATCCAGCTGCGTGGGCACAGGCTCTGTCCTGACCACCAGCACCTCATTCTCCTTGGGCTCCTGCGCCGTCTCATCCTCATGATGCGCCACCGACTCCTTCTGTGGCGTTGGGGGTGCCGCCTGCGTCTGGGGTGTCTGCTGCTGCTGCTGCTCCCGGAGCACCCAGGTCAGTGAGATGCGCGGCCGTCGCAGGCTCAGGTTCTGACCCATCGCCAGCTGCGGAGTGCTCTTGGCTCGCCCGCCGGCCACTAGTGGCAGCAGATCATCGATCTCCACATAGTCCGAGCTGTAATCGAAGCTCTCCTGCTCGGGATTGGGAGCGGGAGTGGGAGCTGGATCGGCTGGAGGTGGTGGCGTGGCCGTGAAGTTGCCCACGGAACTGTCGCTGCTACCGGGTTGCTGAAGGATCAGGGCGCAGGCGTGCAACAGGTCCGGACAATAGGCATCTGGTGAAGAAGGAGCTTTAAGTGGGTTTTATAGGATATCTTCTTTGCGAGCTTACCCCTCAGTCCACGCCTGCGGCGACGCTGGCGTCTGTTGGCACTGCCTCCTAGCTCGGAGCAGCTGAATTCAGAGCTGCTGGAGCTGCTGTCAGTGCTGGAAGCAAACCGAAGCTGCTGCTGCTGCAGTTCCCTGAGTCTTCTTCGGCGACGCGCCTGCTGACGTGCTGCTGCTGCTGCAGCTGCTGCTGCTTCACTTGCTCCTGTGACTTCAGCTGCCGATCTCAGTGGTATGACAGGATGCAGGGCATCCCGCGATCCTGGTCCTGCTGGTCTGGGTCTCTCCGTATAGCTGGGCGGCGGTGTCAGCGGCAGAGCACAGTAATTAATCGGCGGCGGCGGCGGCAACTGAATTGAGATGGGCACTCTCAAGGCGGATTCCTCCAACACGTAGTCGTTCTCGCGGGCCTGCAGCTCTATAGTGCTCAGGGGCAGGCTGCCTTCCGTGGCTGGAACATCGTTGATAACGCTCCCAACGGCATCGCCACCATTATGGCGATATGTGGGTGACGCCGAGGTAACTGCAATAAAATTAAATAAATTATAATACAATTTACTTAAAGAAATAATACTTAAAATATACATAAATTAAACAGCCAAATTTGAATTCGAATTTAAATGGACGATCAAAATATATATATGATTTATAGGGTCACTGCTTATGACTGAAATTATAACCCTGAATGGGTATAAAAGTGATTCCTAGTTGGCAACCCCTTACAAAAACCCTTATATCAATAATTGAAAAACCATTTTAATTAAAATTACAAAGCCTTCAACCCCCATAAAGCCCCGACTTGATTGAGACCGCCCCCAATAGACACCACTCAGTGTTAAACCCATCAACTACTAACCACTCACCCAGTACCCGCTCGCACTCTTCACATGACAATAAAAATTCCAATTATATTAAAGATTCCTTCAATTCAGAAACACTGATGTGGAGTCTGTGCAGTCCGTCGGCTGTCTTTTGGGGGCTAACCTAACCCACTCCAGCTGCTGGCCGTAAAGACCATTGAGAAGCGATAACGACACCTGGAGCTGGGCAGCCTGGACAACTCCCACACCGAGAGGGGGGAGCAGGGAATATTTAAAATATTTGCCAATATAAATGTCAGGAGCAGGCAGAGAGAGAGCGAGAGATCGGGAATCGAGGAGAGGATCGCCTTTATATGCGGCTATCAAGGCCAAGATCAGCCAGCAAAAGCAAAGGCAAAGGCGAAGGTGAGGATGAAGATGAAGATGAGGATGAGGATGAGGACGGGTATGGGTATGGGTACGAGGATGCAAGAAGCGTGGCCAATAAAATTCCAAACTGATATGCTCAATGGCAACATCGTGCCACAAGTGAGTAGTAAAATGTCGAAACGTGATGGTATTTCAAAAAAAGGAAAAAAAGGAAATACTCGTACCAAATATTGGATCGCCTCTCTCTTGGCTTTATTTTTTTTTTCTGCTGCGGATTAGCACATTTGCACAACGTTTCAATGGAGGAGAAAATAAAGTCAGGTTTGGCTGGGATTCGAGATGCGACTATCCGCCTGGTTACCCTCTCACGAGTTATGGCCAGAGAAATTGCAGCAGACAAATTGTGACAAATTAGCAACATGGTTACAAGGAATGCCATCATTATATATTTATGGGGATGACAGCTTTGTCTAGAGGAAAAGAAACTAATATTGATTATGTGTTAAGAGGGTATTATAAAATATTAAAAATACTATTTTATATAGCTTAGTATTATTATAGTAAAATTTTCTTTAATTTTTCTTTATACATAAACAAACCCAACCCAAAAGTCAAGTAAACCCTTTTGAAACACTCTTGAAAAGGGAAACTCCCAGAGATCATAACTAAGCCATGATGAAGCGCAGAAAGGACAAGGCCCTGAGCCCTGAGCCAAGAGGCCACAAGATCTAGAGAAGGCAAAAATCTGCGGGCCCAGCGGCGACTTTAACGACCTTTGGCGTGGCGATTCCATTGCGGGGGATCTCCAGCCCCAAAAGGGGGCAGTGTTCGGGGTCTGTCAGTCAGTCAGTCGGGTTGCCCCGGCCCTAATCAAAAAGGTTCAAGCGCAGAGATCGTGCGAGGATTACATGGGGGTGTGACGACAGGCCAGCTCAAAGTCATTCACTCAGCTCCGCCGACTCGGAGCAACGAGCTTCGAGCTACGAGCTCCAGCTTCAAGCTCCAAGCTCCAGAGCCGCTGCTCCATGTCCGTCTCCTGGCTTGAATCCAACTTGATCGTGATGCTGTGGCCTTTAATGGCCTCTACGTGAGACGTGATCGCCACTCTGGCACACTGGCAATAAATTAGGGAATTTACAGGGAAATAAAGGAAATATTAATATTAATTAGAGAAACTAAACTAAGAAAACATTAATTTTTAAGATAAATACCTTTGGAATTAGAATAAATATTTTGGTCAAGCTTATAAAATATTTTAGGCTGGTATTTACCTTTACTTTTTAATAGAAAAAGTTATCTAGATTAAATATAAATATTTTTTCTAGTGCATTTCTTCAGCAGCGAAGCGGTTCAGGGCCGGATTGAGGGCGTGGCCAGCGGCTAGGGGCCTAAAAATCGAAAGTGTTGCTCTGGGTCTTGAAGCCTGCTGCAGCTCAGCAACGGCGGCCCTCTAATTAAACGCAGGCGGCAGGCTGCCAAATTAGCTAATGACAACATTGCGCCGGAAAACAGCAGCAGCAGCAGCAGCAACTGCAACTACATCAGCAACAGTAACAGCAGCAGGCAGCAACACCAAGACTGCAACTACAACTGCAACATCGACGCATTGCACAAATCCAAATCACAAATCACAAAGCCAAAGCGGCAACGCCTGCCCAAAAATGGCCAGCTCTCTGACAAATTTGTTTTGCAACTTGTTGGCCCGCCTGCTGCAAATATGGGATGTTGGCCCAACATGAACATGGCCACTGGGGCATTGTGGTCAACGGACCGACGCGTTCCATAAGGCACCACCAGTCAAAGCCACCGCACAGCTCTGTCTGTCACTCGGAGGATGGAGGAGCCCCTGGTGTCCCGTGTCCAGTCAGTGGAGTGGAGTGCAGGGAACTGAACTGGTGTGGACATTGGCCCAGTGCGACTCTCCTCTGGTGATAATAATTCAATCGAGAAATGTCGAAGCGTGCAAATCGAGCACTTGATTTGTGTCTGGGACCGACAGCTAAAAAGGCCTTTGGAATTGATTGCTGTTGCATGTGATTAAAGGCCAATTATTCAAGTGTTTTCTAACAAATAAAAAATGCTAAATTATGCTATAGATTTCTAATAATATTTTTTATTTGTTTACCTTTCAGATAACCTTTTCATATATATATTTGTTCCTATATCTAGAATGTGGGAAATTAGCTAAGAAGGCTACAACCAGGTCAGGATAATCTCAGGCCAGCAGCTCCTGAGGAACTCTAGAAATTTTCCAATCAAGCCTAATCTCTTCTCTGGCCTCCGTCTCTAAGCCAGATTCCATGGCCAGAGCCCAGACTTTGCTGGTGGACAATCGATAACTGTTTTTGGTCGGCGTTTCGCGCACGTCCCTCGCATATATCTCTTAAATGGCAGCCGCAGATAAGACGCACTAATAAGATAAAAACATTTTAATTGCCACTAAACATGGCAGCGCCTCAGACGTACCACTCTCTACCCGATCCCGATCCCGATCCCCGCCAGACAACTGTAAAACGGCCACTGAGAGACTACTACTTGCTCGCGGTATAAACTGAGCTGACGTTGTCGCGACTAATGGGTTAACCAAACGCCAGGCAGACGTATAAATAAAACCCTGATTTCTTTGGGATTTAATTAAAATCCCGGGCCTTAATCTACCATATCCTCCCAGCACTTAGGCGAGGTGCCAAGACAAATTAAACAGCTTCCGGAGAGATCATCAAATCTTTTACGACCCAGCAAGTGCTAGCCCTGGTCAAGAGTCATCAAAGTGACCACCAGTCTGGTCCAACTGCTCCATGGCGGCCATAAAGTCCAGCATCAACTTGCCTGATTGTCAGATCGTCCATAGGTGAGTCGGCAGTGTTGCTAATTCATCCGGTTTCACGCTGATTTAATAGGGAATTTTTATTTTTTATATTTCATCGGTTCTTTGAAGTTTTAGGAATTATAAAAACAGAAGATTAATTTGCAGATAAAATTCTTAAAAATTATTTCCACACCTTTAAAGTAGATAAATTATTTGAAATCCAGAATGCAGATTTATTAAACTGCTGAAAACTATCTCAGAACAGCTTTTCGAATTCTATTTAATGCCTTTTTGACAAAGTTATGATATTTTTAAAGAATAAGAATATTTCAAGTCTTCTTGATGGCCTAAGATGGCCAGAAACGCCTGTGTTTTCCAAAAGTCATATATTAATTGACTGCCAGGGCCACCTCTACTCCGACCATTAAAAAGTCAATCCCAGGCGATGCCTAATCCTTGTTGACAGGGGCCCATGTGTAGCTGCTGGGACCTGGTTCAGGTGCCAATGCTAACAAGCCTGCCTGCCACTGCTTAGCCATCAAATGGCTAATTTATGCCAAAAATAATTTACACAAATTTCAGTTTTTACCTTTTCAATTAGCCGGGATCATGTTGCGATTGGGAGAGCCCAGTTTTATACGCTTTTAATGGGCTCTTGGCCTTTGGGTGGTCAAGACATTTCAGAGATTTGAATAGGTGCGATTGCCAAATGCGATCAAAAGTGAATTAAAAACTTTTATCGCCTGGAGATTGAGCAGCCCTTTTTACAGAGCTGGAAGGGATTGTGCGTGTAGGCCGGGGGATGCGGTTGGCTGGGCCAGGGCAATAAAATTAAACGTTTGTTAGCTTTTGGTTTTTGGTTTTTCGTGCGTGTTTTAAGCGGTTTTAAATATTTATGAGCCCATTTGCCACAGAGCTGGGGCCACAAAAATATCATTTTATGGCCTTAATAAATTTAAATGTTGTTGTAAGAGACGGGGAAGGAGGAGGTGGAGGTGGAGGTGGAGGAGAAGTTGCTGCTAAAATGAAAGTGTGCTATTTGCAGGTGAAAGGAATTGGCAGTGGACTCTTTTGAGGTTCATTTTGGTAAGGACATTAAGGCTGGTTGATTTTTCAAGGATTTATTTGGAAATTGTTGGGAAAATTGAGCCCTAAGAAATAATAATAAATACTTAGCATAATAATAATTCAATTTTCTTTAAGGTTTACAGTTTTCTTTTAGTATTTCTTTAGTTTTTCTTCGTTTTAAATGTCATAAAGAAACCTCCATTTCTGTTGTCCTGCTCCCTTTGACGTACTTTTATCTCAGGCTCCTTGTCTTTTGGCCAAACCACAGAATCAAATTCAAATTCAAATTCAACTAGGAAAAGTACCAGCCAAGAGGTCCTTGTTGTCCTGTTAAGCCCGCATGTCCAAGGACAGTCGAACAACTGCCGGCTAGTGCGTATTTATGTCTTGATGGCCAACTTTGAAGCACTTGCCTTCCATATGGCCAAGAGCTTGGGCAAATGTACAGGGTAAAAAGATTTAAATAAAAATATAAAACGAATAAAAAATGTTAAAAATTTATATATAATTTTCAAAAGCAAGAAACAAATAAAATTAAATAAAAAATACAAAAATAAACACAAAAGATATTGTCTTTATGAAATGTAAAAGTCACCAAGTAAATTTTAAAATATTTTAATTATATAATTAATTGTTAAAACTGATAAGTTTCTTTGCAAAAATATATTAAATATTATTAAAAATATTTAAATTATACCCCTAACTCTTTAGATTTTTCTCTCTGTGCTTTTGTTGGCCCATTGAAGCCGAAATCAAGTTAGTGGAAGACAAATGTGCCCCCCTTAGTGGCAGAGTCCTGGTGCCAGTTCCAGCGCCAGGCGTCACGATAAGCGTCAAAGGACATGAAGGCCATAAAAAGCCCTGCCTTCCAGCTGGGAGCGGGGGTGATGCTTTCTTTGCCCAAAAAATAAAAAGGGGGGAAGATCAAAGCGAAAAAAGCAATAAGTCCTGCGGGCGGAATGTAAATTGAAATACAGGAAGCTGGCAGCAAAGGGCGGAGAGAGAGGGAAAACTTTGAGCTCGAACTGAAACCGGAATCCGCATCCGTCGAATTCGTAACCAAAACCAAAAGTTGGTTCCGGATCCGGACCTAACCCAACCCGGAAAAGGAAGCAAGCGGCACGCAGCACGCACTTTGATTTGCTCGCCAGGATCTGCAGCAAATGGTTTGCTGTTGATGAACCTCTGCAAAAGGGCCAAATGAAGAGCTCTCTCTCTCTCTCCTGGAGCAGATGGAGCAAGTGCACTTTGGCCTCTCCGGGAAATATGTCTTCAAGTGTCATCCAAAGCCCAAAGGGGGGAATGGGAAAATCCCTCAATTGCAATTGCAAAAACCCCAAACGAGGAGGAGTTCTTTGGGAAGACAGGAGGAGTCGGAGTCGGAGATGGAGTCCCCTTTGTCTTCCTTTGAAATGCCGCGTGCTTTATTAAAATTTTCATCATGCAGGGAGAGAGGAGAGGTAGGTGGGACCTGCTGGTGTCCCTTTGGGGACATTGTTATAAATTCCTTTGCTGAAAAATGTGAAAAATGCGCCATGTAAATTATTTCTGCGTCATTTTTTCGCTCGCGCTCGCGCTTCTCTTCTTTTTTTATTGTGCATGATAAATTTTTATTGTAATTGGCTGTTGATTTATGGCCCTTGGCCTCCTCCATAGCCCAGCATAGACTCCGGGGAGCCGGAATCTCGGACTGAGCCGCGATAACAAGTGCCAGATAAACGATTCTCTTTCAATTTGCCATTAATTAGGCGAGGCAGCGGGAGTAGCAGTCTCCTCCTCGGGAGGCTCAAGCCTGGTCTCAAATGGTTGGGGCATAAAAACTAATCGCGGCATTACAGAAATCATCTATGAAATTGCGCCCGCTGATGCGTAACCTACACAGAGAGAAAATCGAATCAGGTTTTATGAAATTCAATAAAAATTTTAGAGGATATTTATTTTATTTGAATTTTTCTATAATTTATCTAATCAAATATAGGAGACTTTTCTTCGTATAAAAATCATAATTGTTCCAACACATTTTCTCTCTGTGTGGTCCTGCCCACCCAGGCACCCAAGCAGGAAGTGCAAGGCTGGAATAAAAGCCCCAAATCCAAATCTGTAGCCACATCCCACAACAGGCCCATTGTTTTGTTAGATGCTCTCCAGTCAAACACCATAAAACTTTATGAACCCTCCTCCATGAGCCAGAAAGGTTTCTATTCCTATTCCCGCCCAGAAGTGGCAGATTTTTTAATGCCTTGCCAGAGAGATTTCATGGTAATTTCGCCGGGTTATAACAATTTACAAATTATGTAATCGAAATTTATTGCCCCAGCCAAAGAGCTGCTGCTCACTCCCCCTCCTTGGGGCCATTCCAGGCAGCTCCTCTATTCGCGTTCTTGATTCTCGATGCTGGTGCTGGGTGGGCCTCCTTTTTGGACATGCACAGGTGGCCCTGATGGCCATCACAGGCTTTGATGTGCGCCACATTTGACTCCCGGCCAGAACGAACGGAACGAAGCGGAACGCAGTGGATCCAAGAGAGGATTCAACTAGGATGAGTTCAGATAAGCAGGAGTTATGCCATAAAATCTAAGCTTTTGATGGGGGAAAATCAGTGCCTAGAATGGGGAGGCATAAAACCAAAGGTTGATATATTTAATTTGCTTAAAAAATGCTGCTAACAATATCACTTTTTGTGTTAGTAATTATAATAAACCAGAGGAAAGCCCCATTACCATAGATCGCTTAACCATAAAAGAGCTCTTATAGAACTCCCACAAAATCCAATGACATGGAACTTCCTCCTTTAGAAGTTGACACAAATTGAGTTATACTAATTCCCCCACTCGAAGCTCTGTCCAAGGCCATTAGTTGACTTTCCACCTGTGAGTAGAGGCACTAGGCTCTTAGCCTAGAAAGTTCGCCACAGATAAATGGCAATTTGTACGCATTAACCTGCAGATCCACCCTTGAATCTCACAGAGCCGTGACCCATTAGTTACGGCACTTTCCAAACAAACTCCAATAATGCAGCCATTAAATGCCAACTATTCTGCCATCAAGTGCTTTAGTTTGACATAAATCTTTCGTCTCTCGACCGGATGGGCGAGCAAACTTTTGCTGCCACAAATCTGAGCTCGCTCTATCGCCCGGCCAGCTTCCCCTTTCCACTCGCCACTCCCAAGTGGCCACCCAGGACACACCACCCGCCTGCTTCTATTGGGAGTTCTAGCAATCCACCAGAATCAGCGGACTGTGTCCTGCGAGAGCTTATGTTGCAGCTTTAATTAACGCCAGGTTTTGTGACTGCCTATCCTCTCGTTTTCCCGTGACCCGCTCCAGGGTCCCCTTACCTTTCCGTTTGGCCAACAGGTGCGGAAAGTTTTGACCAACTAGCACTCTCTGGTCGCATTTCACCCCCTTTTCAACAAGTTTGGGCACTGGAAAAAAAGTGTTTTCTTAAGCAAGTTAAAAAAATAATATAATTGAATATTTGGGCTTTTGTAAAAACCTTTTCTTTACATTTTTCAATTCTAAAAAATACATTAAAATCAAAAAACAAACAAAAAAATGTGTATAAAGTTTATTTGTATTAAAGAAAATTATTTCTCACCCCTATTTCCCCGCAGTGCATCCATTTTGATGCCCACCCCATTGTATTTTTATTTAATTTAGAGTCGCGCATTGCCGGCCAGGACTTTCATGTTGTAATTTCCTCAAATTTACGAGTTTGCTTAGCCCGGATCCGGGTTGGGTTTTGGGATGGCTGCTAGTGCAGGACTTGTGTATTTTTTGGGCAAGGGAATGAGGATGAGGCTGCAGAGCCAGGATTTACGACTCCGCTTGGTTGGGTTAGTTTCAGTGCCTGCCTGTTGGGTTTTCCGGAGCTCCCATCTCCTCCTCTAAAAACTCTGCTGCGGCTTGTTAGCGCCTCGGCTTTCATTTTATTAGCAGCATCCTCTCTAGGCGGCCCCCCGCGTTATCCTTCTCAGCCAGATTGCTGTAAATGAGCAACTTTTTGGCCCTATAAACGGGAAAGTGTGCTGTGTGTGTGTGTGTGCCTGCTTTTTGGTAATTTCGCATGCAGTTTATGGCCAGGCATAACTAAGTCCCCACACCAACAACAAGTCGGCGGCCTGAGCTTATGCAGCTGTTAGCTGTTAGTTTGTTAGCTGTTGGAAAAGCCTCTGCACAAGAAGCCCCAAAAATCCTGGGACATACATACACACAGGTTGATGATGCCGCTTATAAAAGTTGATCAAAATTATTACTACACCCGGGCAAACATTGAGGAGGCAGGCATGAAAGGGATAAGGAGTTCAAGTGGGGGCTTAAGTTTGGGGAAACAAAATGTTAAATACCCTTTCAAGACAAATACAAATATTATTTTATATTTAGAAAAAATATATACAAATATAAATTATTAATAATATTTAATTACAAAGAACCTTTGTTAAAAACAGAGATTTCATTTGGTTTCATTTCAAAAATATAATAAAACCTAACCACATTAGGAAGGTATTCCTTTTGATTCTACAAAAAAATAATCTTATGTTTAAGGTAAACATTGAATCTTAGTTCTTATTAGTTTATTATTATTATTATTGGTTCTTAAATTCATTATTTCAGCCTAAACTTCCCTAGACCCAAACTTTTTGCCAAGTAATACCCTCTGCACAGGACATAAAAACAGAAAAAGAGGTGAAGGTAAAGGTGAAGCCAAAAAGGCATCAACGCACTTAATGTTGAACAGGTCCTGGAGCATCCTTCGGGTACTCCCAACAATTAGAGTACGGCCATGGCCATAAAGTTATAGAATTCATGGCGCACGTTTTCCACAACGCATTTCGGCGTTTACTTATTACTGCAGTTTATCTGCTGCTGGCCTTGCCCCACCCTCCGCCCACAAAAACTTTCCCGGGCCACGTTTCATTAGCCATATGCTATGGATTCTTCTGGAGCCTGGATTTTCGTGTGCTTTTCGTCCTTCAGTGCTTTTTACGAGTGCACATTCTGGGCGCGATATTAAATCCAAATAATGAGGCTGAGGCAGTGGGTGTGCAGATACATACATATGTGTGTAGTTGGTACAGTTGTGCTCACAGTCACTCAAGCAGAAAAATATATATATATATACATATAATATATTTTTGCTGATTGCCAGCTGCCAATTAATAGCCGAAAGTCGTAAAATAAAATAATAATAACTTTACGATTCCCACAGCGAAATTAATTGAAATAATCTGATGAGTTATGGTTTGAATAAAGGTTATTGAATGGAAAGTACAGCATGGTAAAGTGGAATTGTAAATATGAAATAAAGGCAAAAGCTAATATTAAAGTAAATATTATAAAAGTTAATAAAACTAAAGTAAATATAATAAAAGTTAATAAAATTAAAGTAAATAAAATTAAAGTATAAAAAATTAAAGTAAAATAAATGTATAAAATTAATTTTAAACCCATAATATTTTATGATTTAAGGAGAGGTTTATTTTTCAAATAAGGTAATCGACTATAAACTTTAATAACTTTCGAATCACTTTTAGCTAAAGCAAACAAGAAAAAAGGCATTTAAAAAAGGAAAAAAAAAACATGTAAAATAATATAAATTTAATAATAAGAAAAGTAAAGATTTTAAAATATATAAAGTAAGGAGATAGTTGAACCTTTTGTGTAAGGAAATGAAGTAATAACAAATATAAATCCCCTAATTGGCCTAATTATATTAACCTTTCTCATCAAAACCAAATAAAATCTATATAAAATCAAGCAAACAATTTAATTTAAAGCAAGAAAACCCCCTAACACCCCTAAAATCTTCAAAACTACCCCCCATAGAACAAAGAGGCGACACCTATTACAATATGTTACGCATACGCCCCGTTAACTGGGTGAGCCATTGTCCAAGTTACGTATGCTAATGCAATCAAACGCTGGCAAATGCTAATGAAATGCATTTCTAATACGCAACGAATTAAGCACTGGCCCCTGGCCACCTCTCGCATGCCTTGTCAGTTAATTAAAGTAATAATGTTAAGTGAAAAACACACGCTCGGAATCTATGTCTTTTCCGCATTTCGCGGGCATTGCATAAAATGTTGAACAAAGCTCTCGTCTCAAGATTGAATGCCATGGCTTTGATGGATTGGATTTAAGGCGGTGTCGTCATATGTGAGATTCCATGGCTTGCGGAATAGTTAATTCCGTTTCGCCGGCTCCCCAGAGCCAGTCACCAGAAACGCTGCGCTTCCGATTTCGGATTCGGGAGCAGCAGATCGAATAGATAGATGAGAGAAGCTGTGGCGAAATGGCGAAAATGTTTTTGTTTGGCGCAAAATACTTGGAGCGCTCCACTGGGCACCAACCGCGCCCAAAGGTTTAGAGGGGGGTCACTGAGAGAAAATGATAAGATGAATTATAAAATGAAGAAAAAACATTTGAGGGAATATAAGGTTGTATTTAAGGGTGGGAATTTAAAGAAATTAATCATAATGTGACTTTGTTTAAAATATATAATTATATAGTGTTTAAGATTAGTGGAAGGCTTTTTAAAATGTTACCTATATTCAGTCAGTTGGGAATTCTAGTGGAAAGCAAGCTGAGGAGGAGTGCTACTTGTGGGTTTCGGACTTTATTAAAGGCTTAAGTTCTTAGCCTTAATCATTTTGTCTGCCAAATATACATAAAATTTTTATAAAATTTCTCTCAGTGCCTTAATGCTCTACAAGCTGTAAGCAATAATTAGGCACACGTAACTCCATGGACGCCACTGTCTGTGTGTGTGTTGCTGTGGCTCTGCACATGCAAATATTGCGGCTCCGCGGAGGCTGCACTGCACTGCAATGCAATCGACACCGCCGACGCCAATGCCGAAGATAATGATGGATAGGCATTATAGGGGGATGTGTATATATGCTGCCATGGTGCACTGAACCTGATTACCGCATCCAAATATAAAAGCCCCATCGATTCCAGCCGGCGAACACAGTGTTGAAAGTGAATTCGCGCCATTCGGTGGTCCGGCTGGACAAACTAAAGGATTAATTAAAGGATCTGCTAGACAAACAGCAAGCAGAGTCGGGAATTAACCACAACTGCCAGCAGCAGCAGCATCAGCGGCAGCATTAAAATGACCAAAGTGAGTCAAGAATATTGGAAAATTTACCAAAGGACTTGTAAATAAATTAAAAAATTTAAGACTCCTCTTGGAGCCTTGTAATCAACTTGATTTCAAGCAATTTTGTGAATATTTAATGGACTTAAACAAGTTGAGTTTAAAGAAAAGACTTAAAAGGAATATATTTATTATTGGAAAAATAATCAAAGCCATAAGTTTATTGAAAAATATAGCAATTGCATAATATTAAAACTAGGAAAAATATGTATTAATGGTCATTATTAATATTATTCATTTGCTTAAGTTCAAGAAAATACTAGAAAACATTTATAAAAATACATTTCCGACCCTATAAACCATATATATTCTTGATCAGCATCAACAGGGGAGTCTTTCTAGCCATTTAGGAAAGAAAAAAAATTTCGGTAATTTTTTTCAAAAATTCGATAAGGGGTTACATCATTAAAATTCTCAAAAATGGTCAAAAATTTTAATTTTTGAAAATTAAAAATTTACTAAGCAGATTTATTAATCTAGAAAAAACTAGCACAGAATCGCTTTCCGTATTAAATTTGATGCTTTTTTGGCTGAGTTATGATTGATTTTTGATTCGATGATATGATCCTAAGGCAAACTGCAAGGGTATACAAATTTCGCTTTCCCGAAATTAATATTCCTTCTGATTAATGTTTAATTTATAAAAAGCAAAAATTAAGTTCCTTAAATTAGTTGTTACCTTAAATTTTATCTTAAATCCCTCAAAAAGAATTATTTCTATTTCATTTCCGCCGCTAAGTGACACCTTAATTTTAATGACGTACAAAACACCCCCATATTTAACCCACACAAATCGCTTTTAACACCTATTCTCAAATATATATTCCCCCCAAAACACAGGCGACAACGCGAAGTCACTTGTTGGCGGGCAACCTGCTGGTTGTAATGCTCCTGCTGACGGCAACGGGCATAGCGGCGCGCCGCCTGGCCCATCGCCGCCTCATCATCCACGTGCCGGTCAAGACGAAGACACACCATCACACCCACACCGTCTACAAGGTGGTCCATGCCCACGGCGGAGGAGGCGGAGGACACGGTGGCATCAAGCAGACGGTGTACAAGGTGATGGGCTTCGCCTCGAACGGAGCAGAGCGGAATGGCAACGGGATGTCCAAGGGCTTGGGAGGAGGAGGCGGAGGAGGAGGAGCCAGCGGAGGTGGAGGAAACGGAGGATCTGTTGGCTATGGCAGCTACGACCTGGGTGGAATGGGCAGGGGCAAGGGACACGGCGAAATCACGTACGAGGATATGCACGACTGCGAAAGCGGAAAGGTGGCTCCGGCGACCAGGGACATGATTTTCAATCATTACTCGCGCCATGGCGAGACCGGTGGCTCCGTGGAGGATTACGCCGAGGAGATGGACGACTTCATAGACCTAAGGGATGCCTACTTGTGAATAAAGACTACTTACTGTTTACCGAGTGTGTGTGAGAAACCTGTGAAATTTGCGATTAATTATAAAATTCCCGCCATCAGAGAGAACCTCATCTCCTCCTCCTCCTTCTCATCTCACATTTTGCATGGCGAAATTGTTGACGAAGCATCATCACCGCCACCGAAATTCCAATTCCCCTGGAATGCGTGTCTTTGTCTTTGAGTCGCAATCCGCATTTGTATTGTTTAATTAGAAAGCACTAGAGGGGGGGAGCAGGAGGAGCAGGAGGATGAGGTGGTGGCATCCGCCAATGCAGTCGCGCACTTGAGGCAAACTTCAAGTATTTGCATGGCTCTCGACTCGCCTCGACGGGCATGCGGCATATTTTAGTGGACAATTAAAAGGAAACGAGCATTGGCACTTGAGCAGAGGGAATGTTCAGATCGCAGAGTTTTAGCTACTTTAAGCTGTCTTAGTGAAAAAAAAATATAATATAAACATTTAAGGCTGCCTTAATTGATGTTAAACTCAAGGAAGGAAAGCTTGAATTATTTTCCACCTAATAATAAGCTGCTAAAAAAATATCTCCAATACAAAATCCCCAAAAAGCAGCTTGTAGATTAAATCCAAAATATGAATACATCAAAATATCAACTTAGATCACCTCTCAAATACCCCACATAACGACACAAGTTAGAAGTATAATCCGCTTTCCCGAAAAATACCCAATTGATCAATCAATTTAATCGCTGCCAAGAGCAGCCATCCGAACTGGAGCATCAGATTGGCATCGGTTTGGCCAGAGCTTGACATAAGGCAGATTGATCACTGGCCGCCCCGGCAGATGAAGATAAAATCCACTCCAGCACAGAGGCAGGAAGACCAGGTATGAGACACAGGTGCCGCCGTCCCGTCTCCCGTTCGCTGAGCGCAGAATAATTTGCGTGTAATTGAAGGCGACAGCGCGTCACGGGTACGGGATGATAAATGCGTCTGCCCCCGGGGAGGAGATGGAGTCTCTCTCTCTCTTTATATAAACCTGATCTTGCCAGGCAGTTCCTCTCTGTTTGCTTTCCAAGAGGAGACACACGACGGGTGGCCTCTTGGTCACTGGTCACTGGTCGCACCTTCGGTGCTGGCGCCATTTGGTCAGGGCAAATGGATGGGGCCTCTTTAAAGGCATTTAGCTGGTAATGACATTTAAGGCCAGCGATATAAATCGCACCGCCGCAACATTGTTGCAGTGAAACCAATGAAACCCACGCCACGCCACGCCACTCCATTCCACTTCCACTTCCATTCCTCCCCCCCACAACAGATGAAGTTGTTGGGGCTCCAGCTCAGGTCTAATCTGCACAGGACGGACACGTGGTAGAGACACCAGATCGGAGCCAACTAAGCGGATGAGCCGGGAGGGAAGAGACACTGCACTGGGGGAAAATGCTATTAAATTCGAATTAAAATCATAATAAATCCTGGAGATTATAAACATTAATAAGCCATAAGCAGGCTTTTAAGATAAAGTGGGATACAAGATCATCTTTTATTCTGTCTTCAATTTCCTTCAAAATTTCCCACTTTTCCTAAGAGAAAACTGACTTGGAATTAAAGGCAATTAAGTAAATTAGAACTCAACTCTAAAAGCTCAAAAATCCTTCTTGCTCTGTATGAGCTCAGCTCTGAGCTGCTTATGTCCAATGATGACGAGCTGAGTCCGCCGAGCTTTGTCCATCAGTGGCTCCTACTCTCGCCCTGTCAGTCTCTGTCCTGCTCTCTGTCCTGGCTTTATTGGATACGTTAAGCCTGTGCACATATTTGCATCCTGGCTGGCCAAATGCCTGGCGGCAACAAAGCATAAAACGATTTGGCCAAAACCAAATAGGCAGTCGGGAGTTACCTTTACAATATATTTTCACCGCTCTCTCTCTCTCTTCCGATATATATATATATCTGGCCAAATGCTAAATACATTTTGTGTCGCTTTCGTCGGCATTTGATTTGCTTTCCGCTTTGCTTTTCTCTCCCTTTTTTGGGGCCCTGTGGTCTAAATAAATGTATTGATTTTGGCAAATGGCTTTTGCATGGCCAGGAAAAACCTACTACGGCTCTATGGGGGATATGTGTGTTGTGGGAAATTGGCACAGCTGGAGGTATGAAATTCGCTTTTAATATTGGGATTTTTTTCCTGGATTTCTAACACACTTGTTTACATGAAATATATAGGAGTAAAAGGGAAAAACTAGATTTTAAGGCGCTGAATTTTACAGAATATTAATCTTTACTACATTAAAAAAGAACTTATTTTATTTTAATTTCTATAATTTTAAACATATTTATATTTCGGTGCCTAAAAAGCACTATAATCTCCCTCTAACCCTAACTCTATCTGTATCTTTATCTCTATCTGTAACTCTATCCGTATCTTTAGCTCTCTCTGTATCTGTATCTCTATCTGTATTCGTATCTCTATCTGTTTCCCCTTTCCCCTTCAACAATACACCTTAATTTAAGCTCGTTTAAATCAACCACAGAGAGCATTTAAATTTGTAAAGTCCCATCAATCGACAGTAACTTTTCCCCCCTGATGTTGTGTGTTCATTTCGTGATTGAGGCAATCCTTCCTTTTTCAGTCCATCCCTTTCAACCATCCACTTTCACCCTTTCTCTACCGTGTTTACCCTTTGTCTAGCCTTTGATTTTTCATCATTTTGCAGCCACAATTTTTGGCCATTTGGCTGTTTGCTTAATTGGTTTCATTAGGGAAATATTCGGTTTTCCCTCTGGAGAGGCTTCATTTTCATCACTGGCCACTTACCTTCCTTCCTCTTGGCCGAACGGAGGATGCCAAAAAAACGTCTCTCCTGAATAGCACCTGAAAAAAAGGAGAAGAAGACGGGGGAAAAAGTTAGAAAAAAGTTTCCTCAAAATGGAAACTTTAAGAAGGAAAAGTTTCCGTTTTTTTTTCGGGGTGAAGACAGGTAAAAAGAGCCAAGAGCCGGTTACACGTGTCGCAGGAGCAACAACATGGCATAATTTCCTACAGAGTGACAACTAAATAAATAGAATAAATAGAAGAAGAAGAGGACGAGGAGAGGACTCCTTGGGCAGATGGCAAACTTTCTGCCTGGAGGTTGAGGTGAGGATGAGGGCAGCCACTCCGTCCGAGGCACTAATTTTAACACCATTAATTTGCCAGCCCCGGACTGTTGCCTGGCTTCTGCTCCAGCCCAGAGATAGAACAGAGAATTTTAAATGAAATGGACACAAGTTTTATTGAATTGACTGGGCGAGAGAACCCAAGACCAAGGATGGGTGGGAAACGGTGGGTTTGGAAGAAGCTGCCTTCCGGAAGCGGAAACGCATTACTCTGTCGCTTTGAGATACTGCTACTGCTCCTACTCCTAGTCTTGGGAGCTGCTTTTGCCCCTGCTCCTAGTCCTGGATGCTGCTCTTGCTCCTGCTCCTCTTGTTGTTCGTGTGGCCAGCACTTTGCCCCACACGTTTACACGCAAGCTTAGGGCGGCCAAGTGGGTGAGTGCACCAAGGAAAAAATAAGGATACTTGAGAGGTAATAATAAGCCTTAAAATCAAGGGCTTTATATAGATTTTAAATTAGATTCTCAACTATAAAATTAAAGAATAAGAAGGCCATAAACTATATCTAAAAAGAAGGTATAAACCCTTTTACTTCAAGCTAACAATTATTTCTTTATGGTTTCATGGGCTAATTGTGTCCATTTTTCTAACAGTGTAATCTTTAAGGACGATGGGGGTCCTGCCACCAATCAAAAAGAAGAACGGGGCAGCCAAGCAGAAGTAGAAGTTGTGGCAAAGTTTTTGATTTCATGATATATTTATGGGCATCCGTTGCGGCTGCTACTTTGGGACTCTATCCAATTCCTTTGAGTAATAAACTTGGGGCCCGAAAAGGCGGCTCTGCCAAAGGATGCGGCTTACTTTAACTAGAAGTTATTAATTTATTTTGTTTTTTTCCCCATTTACCATCCAGTTTAAAGTGAAAATATTGCGTATACGCAGCGTTGGCCTGCTGTGAACCCACCATTAACCAACCGATAACAATGGAATTTTTGTGGCCGAGTGTATTTTTCGGAAATATCATCACAATTTGCACACTGAAAATGAACCCGATAAGCCGGCACTAATGTCCTGCACAAGGACTCACCGGGCTACCTGAGCGGGGTGGCTTGATAATGGAAAAAATAAACTCGGCTCGGTAGCGGATTCAATTAAATATTAAATAAACGATATCCAGCAAACAGCAATTTCCTGCCTCTACTCCTGGTTCTGCTCCTCCTTCTCCTGATGGGATTCCCCGATATTGGTTGGGGGAGGGGAAATGCAAACACAATTGCAAATGCCCGGGAAAAAACTTTATGAGCCAGCGTAATCCGGGCAATTATGTGCTGCTCTCTCACTCTATCTATATATCTCTGTCTCTTTCCCTGGACCTGGACAGAAGCAAACATTATCTCCATATTGCATAAGAGTATAAAATGAACCTATAAGAGAACTACACATTGCAGTGGCAATGCACTGGGGAAAAAGGGTTAGATAGAGGGAATCTATTTTTACAAATAAACGTAAATTACATATTTTTTACATTTTTCTATATTTTAAAATGACAATCTAAGTTTAAAAATATCACAACCATGCCAAAAAAGCATTAAATTCAGTTGGGAAAACATTTTTAAGTTAGTTTTTTTTAGGTTAAACAATCTGCGTACGAAATTCGAAATTAAAAAAAATCTACATTTTTATCGATTTTTAAGAATTTTAATGATGTAACCCCTTATAAAATTTTTAAAAATTAAAAAAAAAAATTGTTTTATTTCCAACATGACCAGAAAGATTCCCCTGTTGATGCTGATCAAGAATATATATGGTTTATAAGGTCGGAAATGACTCCTTCACTGAGTTTTAAATTACAACATTTTTGGGGAAAATCAAATCTTAAAAATTCTATAACTAAGCCAAAAATGCATTAAATTCAATTCGGAAAGCTGTTTTGTCTTAGTTTTTATAATGTTAATTAATCTGCATACTTAACTAAAATCTTTAAAAAATTCAAATTTTTGACAATTTTAATTATGTAACCCCTTACATTTTTTTCGAAAAATTGCGAAAATTTTTTTTCTTCCAAACATGGCTTATATGACTCAGCTTTTAATGCTGATCAAGAATATATATGGTTTATAGGGTCGGAAATGACTCCTTCACGGCGTTACCAGCTTCTGATTGAAATTATACTTCACTACAAGGGTTTAAAAATATATAAAAATTTGTCTTAAACATTATTTCGTCCCTCAAAAAAATCAAATAAAATTCCTGATTAAATTCTAAATATTTAATTCAAGTGTATTCCGACCATAGATGTTGATGCAGGCCATGGAACGTGTTGCTGCATGGACATTAAATTCAGATTGCGAATGATTTGAACAGGTGCTGCAGTAGCAACATCGTCAGGAGCAGCATCAGCATCAGCAGCATCATCAGCAGAAGAAGGAGATTCTCCTGGGGGTGGAACTGGGCCTTGGCTGTGACCTTTTTGGGGGTGAGAGGCTGCAGCAGAGAATGGGGGAGCTTGGCAAAAAGACTAATTATGTATTCATTAAAATGGCAAAACGGCAGCAGAAGGATATGCATGTGAAACCCGTGTGCGAATGTCTGTGAGCATCTCTGCATCCGGAATCCTGGCTTCGAAATGAAAATGCAGGAATAAACCGACGAAAAAGGGGTGCAAAAAGCTAGAGGATTGAGTTGAGCAGTCACGAGTGCAGTTGCCTGGAATATATTCAGCATAATGGTCCCACTCTCCCTGTGTGTGTGTGTGGGTTGGAGTTCACATTTTGATTATATCCATCTCGGCTTGATAACCTAATAGGGAATGACGCCACCTCCTAGCTCCTGCTCCTGCTCCTGGCTCTGCAAATGAATGAAATGCCCGGGTAATGATTCCTAAATACACACATTTATCATATTTGCTCGAGTTTCCTTCCTCGAAATTCTGTTTGGTTGAGTTTGTGGGTCTCTTAATGTGTTTGTGGCACAGGTTGGATTTTTGTGGCTTCTGGGGAAAGGTTTAATGGAGTTGTTCTTATTTTTCTCCGAGTTGCTTTAACTTTGTTTAAATTTTCTAAATATATTTCTGCTAGAGTTAACCTTTAATTAAGTAGTTCAAATAATTATTTTCAAATAAAACCAAAGGTTGTGTGGGTTTATATGCAATTTACTTTATGTTAAGGGACTCCTTGTCTTGATATTTACTTAGCTAGCGTTTAAAAAACTTAAAATTAATAATTGTTCCTTAGTTCGTGTTTCCTGCTTAGTTCCTGGTTGTTCTTTCAGTTATTATTTACCCTTCCTCTCTGTTAATTAGAGAATCCTCCAAAGATTCCCTTAAAAAACCGATAAATGGGCTTTGGTATCTCCACAGCAAACAGGACAGAGTTCTCCTCCTCCGCCTGGACTCCAGCTGGCTCGGCGGCAGACTGGGAACGCCTCTCGTCAGGGACCAGCGACTGCTTCTGGAAGAGCCTCTGGAACTGGCTAGCTCCGTTGCTGGCCTGGAGCTTCAAGGGCTGGCTCACATGGACATTGGTGGCCCTGATCAGATCCTCAAGCTTGATGCTGCCGCCGGAAGAGTAGACCGAAGAGCCCTTTCCCTGGCTGACCTCCGAGGTGGGAACCAAGAGCGGCAAAGCAGCCAGATTCACAGGCAGCAGGACATTGGCATCGCCAGCCTTTTGACCATCAGTGGGTACTTGATTTCCCAGAGGATTGGGCACAAGGTAGAAGTTGGGCTTCTGCTGCTGCTGCTGCTTCTGCTGAGGCTCATCGGAAAACGAGCGGAACTTGTCGAAATACTGATACTGGACATTGCCCGAGGAATTGCCCACGCTGCTCTGGCTCTTGTTCACGTAGAAGGGATTGGGTAGAAGGACCAGGCTTAGACCCACTACCTTGGGAAAGTCGGTGAAAGGATTGGGCAGGAAGGGGAAGGGCCTGCTATCCGTGTACTGGGTCTGGGTCACGTTGCCAGATGTTGAGTTAACGTAAACATAGGTGGGTTCGTTTTTCTCAAAGGGATTGGGCAGGAAGGGCAGCGGGAATCCGGGCTTCTTGTGGTTCGAATAGTAGTGAGTGTGGTTATGGATGTGATGGGTCACATTGGCACCCGTGGTATTCACCACAGTCACAGTGTCCGGCACGTACTCCACCTTGGGGTAGCTTTGGAACTTGTTGAAGGGATTACCATAATAGTTTTGATACTGGCCGGAGAACTGGGATCCGTTGAACACCTGCACTCCCTGGTACTTGAAGATTTTCTCCAGATCCTGGACGCCCAAAAGTTGACCGTTTGCATCGTACACATACTGGACATTGCCATTGTCGCGTCCTTGGACTTCTGAGGGTTTCAGGGGCACAACATTCGATTTAGGGGCTTCCTCTTTAGGGATCTCCTCTTTAGGAGACTCTTGTTCCTCTTCCTTGGTTATCTCATTGGCAATGGGTTCCTTCTCCTCGGATTTGACTTCGGCTTGGACCTGGGCCTCCACAGGTTTGGAGTTAGCCTGGGATGGCTGGGCTTCCTCGATGACTTGGTTGGTAAGGGAGTTGCTAAGTTGGGGCTTTGGTTCCTGGTTTCCCTTGCTAACTTCTTGCTTGACTTCCACAGGCTGGAGAGCCTGAGGAGGCGAGGCAATCTCCTGATTGGACACCTTCTCCTCAACCGGAACCTTCTCCTGATCCAGAGTTCTAGCCTGGCAAGCCAGGAGTAGGCCGAAGAGAACCAGCAGTCGTAGGAATTGCTGGTGAGGAAGTTCGGAGTTAATTTCTAGTTTCCTAGGTTCTCCTGGTGGTCTTACCATGATGAGGGTTTCAGTAGAACTGTGTCTTAACCTTCAGTTGCACTGGTTATTTATACAAAACTCCAGAACCTGCTAGATCCCTTCCTAGTCTTATCTCCCAAAACCCAGCTCTACCGGAAGTAGAGTTTTATTTCAAGAATTCCTTATCCGGCAGGGCACTTTGAGTTCATTTGCCATTATCGCTCTGCGATTTGTGTGTGATTTGTTGTTCGTTTGGTTCACTTCACTTAAAAAAGGCGCCACTGGCAGTGGAATATATATGGATAAAAACGGAATTGCACTTAAGTTATATTGTGCGATAGTAGTACTCGTACTTGTACCTTCTCCCCGTAGTTTTTCCCCGGCTTTATTTGGTTCGTTTTACGTGCAACATGAAAATGCCATTGTTTCCGAGGCGCACAAACGGAAATCTATGACTCGCTTTTCAATGTTTTTTCTCGATGGCGGAAAACTGTATGGTGCAAAAGTGAGTGCAAAAGACTGTCGTCTGTGAGTGCACGGAGGGAAATGAATATAAATGAAATATAGATAAAATAGATTACTAAAAATAATTAAATAATAAAATACTACACCTATTCCTCTCTTGGAGGTTTATTATATAAAAATAATCTAACAAAAATATATTTTTCAATTTGAAAAACTTTATTTTGATCTTAAATAATGCTAAATTCCTCAAATTCATATGGAATCTTATCAGTGTTACATAGAAAACTATTAAATTAATATTCTAGAGAATTTTAATTTCATATTAAAATAGATTAGCTACCAATATCTTAACTTTTTCTCTCCCTGTACCAGGAGCTTAGGGCTAAAGCGTTGGAAAATGTGGGAAAAAAGGGACAAAGCTGGTGGGGATTGGGTGCTCCGGCTTGGGTTCGGGTTGCAAGTGCACATCAGCTGCATATTCATGCCAAGAGCTTTATCTTTGGAACTTTGTCTCCGCCCCATTTCCTCCAACCCCAACGTGTACCCATCCTCCCAGGTTGACATGTCGCCAGGTGAGCGATGAGCCCTACCTGGTCATTGACATGACAAGTGAAAAAGAAGGCGTAGATAGAGCTCCTGCTGGGTTTTGTAATTGAATTGCCCGATGCATAGCCCGAATTTTTGGCATACAACTTCTCCCCCTCCGCTCTTTTGATTGAAGGTTTTTGTCGTTGACAGAACTCATCCAACTGATTTGAATCGATTTTTGAGAGTTGGTCATAGACACACAAGCAAAAAAAATCAAGGAAAATGTGAGAAATTACACTCAATTTCAGGATTTACTTGGGGAGGTAGAAGAGGAATTCCTGTGACATGTGAAGGAAATCATAAGGTAGAGGAAATATTTATCTTTTTTTATGGAAATGCGAGATAAATTTGTTGGTTCTTGATAGATTTAATTATCTATAGTAATTTAAGAATCAATTTTCATAAGGAAATTGAATTCTTTGTATTTTAGCTAAGCAAACTTTATATATATATATATTTCCCAAAAGAAAGTAGTCTAAGAAAACCCACTTAATTTAGTTTTCCACAGCAGCTTCATTTGTTCAGCTCAATTCATGCATAATTCACACCCGAAAATACAATCAAGGTGAAATTATTTTCTTGCTTATTTTCTTGCTGATTTCTTTTCCTTTTTCCTGAACTAAAACTTAACCACTTGCCAGTTGAGAAATTCAAGAGAGAAGAGTGGCGGCAAACTGGGCTCCACAACTATTGGAATCCAGGTAAGCGAAGCTCAGTTTGAAGTCGGAAAGGAGGCAAAGTTGCTGCTGATGCTGCTGCTGGGCCAAGAAATTGTTTTGCGCAGCGGCAGATGAGCTGTTGAAATTGCAAGTGCGGCACTTGCTCAATTTTTCATGAGCCTCCCACAAGCTGGACTCCGACTGAAATCAAGGAGAGCTTCTAGCTATAAAGAGTCGACTTGGAGATACCCTAAACTTGAAAGAACAACTACAATTTACAAAGATATAATATAAAAAACACTTCAAAGTTTGCCAAGGAATTCTAGATTTTTAAATGAATCCAAAAGGAATCTATATACCCTTCCCTTCCTGTTAAAAAAGAACTCCTTGCCGCCGCAGACCCAAGGAATTTCACCTGAGCTGCAACCCACACAAGCTGGGACCCCAAAATCGCAACTTTTGGATGCACAAGAAGCTGCAATGGACACCAGCAGAATGGCTAAAGGGGGCAGTGAGGCAGGGATCGGGGATCTGTGAAGAGGCGAAATTAGCGGGCAGGTCCAGCATCATCGTGGCCAGACAATGAGGCGAGCCGCGGCCCTTGACTTGGCCAACTGCCCATACCCAGCCGCAGCTCCTCTCCGAGCTCGAGAAATAATAAGGAATGAATGTAAATAAATGGTGCTAGGGGTAATGGCAACGGATGGACGACAAAAACAGAAACCCCAAGAGGAGCAGGGAGTAGGAGTAGAAGGAGTAGATGGAGTAGGAGTAGGAGGAGGTGGAGGTGAAGGTGGAGGAGGAAACGCCCAAGGCCAAGGCAGCATCATCATCATGGTCAGTGAGATAAGCCCAAGTCCCGAGCCGGATCGGTGTTGCAGTTGCACTTGCATACTGAGGCTACGTAGCACGGCAGCCCATGAAGCTGGCAAAGGCAAAGATGCAGGGGGTTTACAGACCAGGTTAAGTTTATAGGATTTATTATTAAACAATTTACTTTAGGTGTGTGATATTTGAAGCTTTAAATGTCTCAAGGAATTTTTAGGAAATATCTTATATTTAGCACTACAAGACTTTGATTTTATTCAAGAAATATATTACGTCAGTTTAAAGGAACTAAAAAATATAGACCTCGATTAAGGTCTTAATTTAATTGTTTAAACCAAAAACATTCCTATTATTTTACCCTTGACTGTGCCCGCGAAGATTCTTCTGGCTGAGCTCATCCACTCTTTTCTTCCTTTATTTATTTTTCTTCTTTTTTGGGCCAAACTCTTTCATTTTGGGTGTGTGCAGCGATAAGATCAACGTGTGAGCCCGGTACGGGACAGTATGTGGTGGTGCTGCTGCTGCTGCTTGCATCTGTGGCATCTGCAGCAGGTGTTTCGCTTTCAGCCAGCCACACAATATTGGGTAACAAGTTGCACCATCCTGGCCAAGTTTATCGCCACATAATTCACACGGAGCCCGAGCCCAAGCCCGAATTTGAGCCTGGAGCCGCAGCCGAACCGAATTGATTGACTCCCGCCGGGTAGCTAAAGAGAAGTGGGAGTTGGGAGTTGAAGTGGAAAAATGGAAAAATCAAACAGGCCACGAGGAACGAAGCACATCAACACTCTGCCAGGACCATGCCCCACTAGGCAAATATGGCAGGCGACACAAAGAGCCAAGCGGACGCACATCAACAGCATCCCACATGCATCACCAGCCAGATCGCTCGTCCTCGCTTAGAATTCAAAACATTTCAGACAAATTGGCGTCGCTCTTTGAGCTCCAACTCCAATGTGTGACAAAATGGAAGGCAAACAGACCGGACCAACCGAAATGGGCGGAGGGGGAATCCCCTCCTGCAGCCGGACAATGCCGTAGTGCAGTGGTGAGTGCGCCCCAGCCCTTGTTTAATTTATGCCAAAACATTTCTGAAGCGACGTTGACGACGTCATTTGGCCCGGCGCAGAGCAGTTAGCCCAGCTCTTAGCTCCCAGTTCCCAGTTTCCTGCTCCCCTCATCTTGAATCTGCCCTGGGATTGAGGTGTCACTTGATATGCAATAAATAAGCTGCTGGAAAAAGTGTTAACGAGCCTGCAGGGGCAGAGGACTGTCATAAGAGTTGCACACAGAAAAATGCAGATTTTTAAACAAAAGAATTTATATTTATATTTATTAAGAATTATTAAAAAAGTTTAAAGATACCAAGAATAAGAGAAAAATACTGGGAAATCTATATACCTTACTTTGAAATATTTCTCCCATATATCTAATATTTTCTCAGTGTTTGGAGTAAACCTCTGGCCGAGGGATTCTGGACTCCCCGTCTCCATACTCCGGAGAGAGCTACTTTTGTGCTGTCTGTTTTTCCAGCAGCTTGCAACGCCTTGGCGCCACAAAATGAATGCCATTCATGGGGCAACGTGCAACGGGAAGAATGTGACCCATTTTTAGCACCAGTAGCTACTCTCACCTCCCATTCCCAAAGAAAAAAGCCCAACCGAGTGTTCTGTGTTCTGTGTTGTGTTTGTTTGTTTAAATGTTTGTCCATATATGGGTATTCAGAGAGTCGGCTATATAAATATGTGAACAGCTTTTAGCACCTTGCCCCCGCACTAGAGCTGGAGTCGCCTTGGTGCTCTGAAGTGGACTGGGCGACAGCCCGAACGTGTCCCATTCCCAGTTGGCAGTTCGTAGTTAGTAGCTGCCACTGCCACCCGGAGATGGGCCCCGGAGAATCACACGGAGCACGTGCGTCGGCCAGACAATGGGGACTTAAGAAACCTCTCCTCCGAGTTCCGTCTAGTTGCACTGCTTTTTTTTTGTGTTTTTCAATAATAATTCCCTTTGGATTCGAAGCAGCTTTTATTTTTTATTCCCTCTCTTATTGTTGCTGCACAGAAAAAAGATAATTGGGACAAGGAGACAACTTTATTTATATGCTAATAAAATTTAAAACATTTGAAACATTGCTTGGAAACTGAGAAAATCCAAGCCAGTTCTGCTTTTACCTTTCAAATCTGGATTTTGTGTTTAATTTTGTTTAAAAATCCATCACTATTTTCTCTGTGTATTATTCGCGAGGCGGGCCATTTTCAATTAAGCAAAATTAAAAATTTATTACAAGCCACGACCGAAGGAAAACAAAGGATCAGGAGCAGGAGCAGCGGCAGGAACAGGAACAGAGGGCAGAAAAAAGCAAATTGCAGAGTTACTTGGGGTAAAAGAGATGTTTATGTTTTCATTAAAAAAATAAAAAATAAAGGAAAAGGCGAAACCGAACCAGGTTTGCCGAGGAATGGGAATGGCAGCCAGTGCGTCGGTGGATGATTGGGCTGCTGCTCGGACCCAAAGGAACCAGCATCACCATCAACGCCCCTTCAAAAA